CATGGATCACCAATATCTAAACGCGCTTGTCATTTTCTATTATCGGATTCTTCACGCGTTGACCTTCCACTCACTCCCCGACTTTTTACTTTGATCACAAATTTTCACAAGTGCCCTACTTGGATAAGTTCCTTGATTCTGTCCTTCAGAGCCACACACTCTTCGGTTGTGTGGCCGAAGTTTTGGTGATACTTACAATGCTTGTTTTGCTCTCTCATGAGAGTGGGTAGGTACCTTTCGTGTTGCTCAAATCAAGTCCATGTTCATTACTTCCTCCAATACTCGAGATATGTTGGTGTTTAAGAGAGTATAATGAGCGAACTGTGGGGTTCTTTTTTCCTTGCTTCCACTGTGATATTGTACTTTCCTTCTTCGGTCTTTGTTGGCCATCTGCCTATCTACCGAGTTGTTGGCTCTCTCCTCATTGCGATATTCCCTTAGTTCCTCTAGTTGCACGAACTTTGTTGCTCTTTTCCTTAATTCATCAAGGTCTTTGTCGATTTTTTGCATAGGTTGTCGCTAAAGGCCCCAACTTTAAAGCGGTGACGAGGTGATATAAGGCAACTTGTAGGCTTAGATTTCTTATGTTTAGGGCGACCTTTCTGATCCTTTCCATAAATGTCGGCAGACTCTCATTTTTCTCTTGCCTTATATTGACGAGGGTGAGTGACATTAAGTGGTGCGATCGACTAATGGCAATCTGGGTTCCAAATTTCACCACCAAGGTTTCAAAGCAATCGATCGAGTATGAGAGAAGTCTAGTAAACCAATTTAGGCTCGAACCTTTCAATAAGGTTGCCGCTAGGTTTCGTGTAAAGGTTCATCTAGGTTTCGTAGATGTCTATGTGCTCGTCCAAATTTGTTGCTCCATCGTAGCGGTCTATTGTCAACCCCTTCCAAGAGCTAGGTAACACGACTTCTATGATTTTGTCCATAAAAGGATGCCATTGCGGTTTGACAAGGTAGGGATCACACAATGAGTCAGACCGCCCCATTTTGGCCTGGCCCACCAAAAACGGCGCAGGCGAGCTACAAGTCTACGCCCAAAGGACGGACTAACCAGTCATATTTCTTATTTTATTATTTTTAAATTAAATCTTTTAATAAATTTAATAATAAAATTATCATTGTTAATAATTCAATATATATATATATATACATTTCAAGTTAATAATATAAATTGATATATTATTTTAATCAATTATATTTTAAAATAATTAAATTAAGATAAAATTTATATAATAATAAATACATGTATGTAACAGTAAAAATTTATTAAATCTTTATTTTTATATTGAAAAGTTTAAACATTTAAATAAAAATTACATTATATTTATTTATTTGATAAAACTTCACATTGTTCTCTCATTGAGTAATTCTCACATCTTCAATTCAAAACAATCAATGTCCGGATCATTAGATGTAGTATTTGAATATCTCTCTAGTTTTCCATTTTTGTCATTTTCTTCCTCATCTTCAACAACACACAGAATTGAAGAGAGAAAAAATAAGTAAAAAAAAGATTATAAAAAATAAAAATAAATAATATTTGAATTAAATGAATTACCTTCCTAAAAGTCATGTTTCCAATTTGAAGTACAAATTATTGCTTCTACATTCTCGGGAAAAAGACGATTTATGTACTTATTAAGAATCTTAGAACCAATACTGAATACAAATTCGAAGCAAGCTGTAGTAATAGATATACTTAACAAATTCCTAGCCAATAATGAAAGATTAGGAAAAATGTTGACTATTATTCTTCCACTTGTAGAACATCTATATGTTTTGTAAAAGAGAGTAAAAAAGTATGAAATATATATGATTTTTACCTTATGAAGATGAATAAGTAAGAAGGAGATGATGAGTAAGAGGAAAGGAGAGAGTGAGGTTTGTGCTTGAGAAAGAAAATTGTTTCCCGTAATGTGAGTTTAAGTAATTATAAAACTTTTTGAATTCTCTTACTAGTGAAATACTGAGACTTTATCAGACACTGTAACCTTTAAAATTCTCTTTTCATAAATCTTTATATTATATATTGTCTTTCTGACTCTTTGTAAAAAAATAATAGTCTTTTCATAAGACAATATTATATATTGTCTTTATCACAATAAAAAAAAATTATTAGTAAAACGGGTTGTAGGGTGGCCCGACAGATTGGCGGGGTAGGCCAAAATGAATTGATGGACTGAAAGTACTAACTCGTCTCGCCATATTATGGTGGGCTGACGGATCGGTCCGTTCTTACCTGTTTTATCATACTACGTATGTGTGGGGGCTGTCTCCGAGTTTCTCAAGCAGGAATAACTTGGGGCCTATTTCAAGGGTGACATCGAGGGTGATAAGGGTCAAGTACTTGTTGAGCTGCTCCTTATTCTTGATGTCCTAAGTCTTTTCAGGTTGTGTTCTCTCTCCTTTTCTTCTAGCCCCTTTCGGATTCTATCATTTTCTCTTTCTAGTGCCAGCATTTCTTCTGAGTTTTTATTTTTGAAGTTTTCAAGTTCTTTTCTTAATTTTGCCAATAGAGTTGCCTTGTTGCTTCGCTGTTCTCCCTTTCTTGGTGAGTTCTGTCTATCTGTATGTGTCATGTTTCTAGTAGATACCATTCATAGTTTATTTGACGGTGACCCTAATTATGTTCTTATCGGACCAAACAATAAACTTCCTTGGATCTCTTCCTACTCTTGTGTGACTGAATACTTGATGTTCGACTCTCTTCCATCTACCTTTTCTTGTTAGGTCGAACACTTGGTGTCCTTTTAGCTTTTTTTGTATGACTTCCTTCCGTGGGCTAAGTACTAGGACTTTTTTGTTCTTTGGCTGATTAGGTTTGGGATTAAGTGTCCATTAGTGTACTTGTGAAGATACTTCGACACTTAAATCAAAAGGAAGTATTCTTGTAAAGTTTTTAGGGGATAGAATAATATCACCTTCCGATTGTGCTTGCTTCTATTTGTAGGACTTGTGGCTGGGTGGCATAGGTTGGATTTTACAACGTTTGGACCATGTTAAATTCCTTCTAGTACATTAATGGTGGATTAGGTTGGAGAAAAAACACGGGAATAGAATTAAATTGGGAGTGAGTATAATATAATGAATGTATAGAGAAAATAGCGGTGCAGAACTCATGTTTGTTCATCAACGAACTTCTGATCCGGAAATGAGACACCGTTAATCGGGCCTTTAACACTTTGTTTCTGACAATTTTAAAATAAAACTAATTATATTCAACACTTTTTAAATAAGAATGATTATTAATAATACTGACAAATCATTCTCTCACATATTTTATGTCATATATTTTATTATCGAGTAAATTATAAATATTAAATAAAGTAAAATTAAATATAATTTAAGATCTCATATACATGTGAGATAGCATCAAAATATTATATTATATATATAAATCTATAAATGATACTAATATAAATATAAATATGAATTACAACCTGATTAGGTTTATATTTACTTTTTAATATAATATATAATACATAATTAGGTGTAGAAAAAATAACAAATAAATGTTAGTAGGTCATTGAACTTTTTTTTCAAAGAGAAATAGATCTGTGAATTATTTTTGAAGGAAAGTAGGACATGGGACTTAAAAACAGTAGTTAAGAAATTTAAAATGTAATAGTTTTTATTATAACTTATATTAAAAGTCCATGAATAATAGTTTTTATAATGTAATATTCGATTTTAAATTCTTTAAGTTTCTTTCCTATTTGCCATATTAATATAAAGAAACAAAGTAAAATCAATTCACACAAACTTATTTAAAACTACATTTTTCTTAATTTGTTTTCAATCTTTATTTTTCAGCTTTTGTTTTTGTTTTCAAAATTTATATTTTTAATTCATATAATTTTAAAATATCATTTTAATTTATTTGTCTAAGATACAATTAAATTTTACTAATCAATTATAAGATTATAAAAAATATACTTAACATAATAATGGTCCAAAAAAATTAAAGAAATGGATTAAATTAAACAAATTAAATTTATAATCTAAATAAAATTAAACTAATTTTGAACTAGTTTATTTAAATAATAAAATGAAACTAAATTAATATATAGGTTTATTAGACTGTCAGTTTTATAAATGATAATTTTTTTAAAAGTAAAATAATATTATTTTATTAAAAATATTTATATATTATAAATTAATCAAATACAAAATTCGTTTTTTCTTTAACACTTACTTATTTCAAAAATAATAATTATTTTAGATTATTATATTAAATAATGATAATAAAAAAATTAACTTTTATTTTAGAATAAATATATCCATCCTCTTATATTTATATATTAAATATTTTAAATATTTACACAATTTTTAAAAATTAATTAAATAATTAATATGTAATAATTACACCATTTTTTAATCAATATTATATATTTTAATCCTTACACATATTATTTTATCTTTTATAATTTTATATAATTTTAATTTTTTAATTTATCTAAACTCAGAAAGACTACAATATATTAAATAGTATACCTAAAATTTGAAAATAAATTATTGTTAAGTAAAAAATAAATCTGTTTAAATATAAAAACTAAATAAATAATAAAATCCATATACTTTGTCACCTGTATATCTGTTAAAATATTCATTTAAATGTATTTAGGTATCACTTGAGGGGAGGAAATAGAATAATTTTTTAGCTAAATTATATGGTTAAAAGTAATTTTACATTTAAAATACAAAAAATAAATTTACTCTAAATTTAAATAAATGAAGACAACATATCTAGGCCAATAATTTTAATCTAAACTTATTTTGTTTTAAAAAATTACTGACAATTAGAAAATGCACTTGGAAGTGAGAAACGAAGCAAAATTGGAACAGAGAGACACGAAAGAAAAACGCATAACATAAAAAAGAAAATAAAAGGTTAATAAGAAAGGGCGAAGTTGAAAAAACTAAAACCCTTCGCCCCTACGAAGAGTGTGTTAGCGAGTGAAGCCCTAGACTGCACACACATACTCACTCCAATGGCGGTTGTTGCGCAAACCCCTGACATCGCCGGTGAGCGACAGTCCGGCCAGGACGTTCGCACTCAAAATGGTACGGTCTTTCCCTTTCTCTCTCTCTTTATATTCTTCTTCCGTTTCTAACATCGTTCGTTCATTTATCCGTGAACGTAGTGGTGGCGTGCCAAGCCGTTGCGAACATCGTCAAAAGCTCCTTAGGTCCCGTTGGCCTTGACAAGGTACTCTCTCTCTCGCTATACACATATATATATATATATATATGTATATATATTTATATGGTTAGATCTTAGATGAAGTAAGCAATGTTTGATTCGATTCATTGCGCACTTTTTTTAGATGCTTGTCGACGACATTGGCGATGTCACAATAACCAACGACGGTGCGACAATTCTTAAGATGTTGGAAGTGGAGCATCCTTCTGCCAAGGTGAACACGAGAAAACGTTTTTTCTTTGCATTGTATGTTTTTTTTTTGTTTGTTTCTTAGCCGTTAATGACTTGCGTGGTTTTTTAGGTTTTGGTGGAACTTGCCGAGCTTCAAGACAGGGAAGTAGGAGATGGTACTACCTCTGTTGTCATTGTAGCTGCTGAGCTTCTCAAAGTAACTGCGATGATCTCTTTTTGCTACTCTGCGTTTCGTGTTTTTCTCAGATGTAATGGAAGTAATTGACGAGTTTTTTTTTTTTTTCTGCAGAGGGCAAATGATCTTGTCAGGAATAAGATTCATCCTACCTCGATTATCAGTGGATATAGAGTAATTGCCTTTTCATTTCTTCAACCTAATTGATTGTCTATTGCCTTTTCGAACTTTGTAGCTACAGTTATGAAGTTTTGATATTCTGCTATATGGATTGGGAGCTTTCATGTTTAACTTTTCTTTATCATGATTATTCTGGACAGCTTGCTATGCGGGAGGCTTGTAAATATGTAGAAGAAAAACTAGCTGTCAAGGTAAGATGTACTTACCCTTTTTATTTTTTGTGTATTTGAAGATGTTAATCACATATTGTATATTTAAAGTTGCGATTGTAATCTGTCTCTTCTTAGATCGTTGATAGGTGTTTTTGTTAGCTTAATTGAAACCCAATAATATTTGTTCCATAATGGTTTCTCCTATCACAGTTTTATAGTCATGGATGTGTAGGGAATTGTATGTTGTATTGTACTCATTACGAGTTCTTATAATTCTATTTCTTTAATTAATCCATTTCCCAATAGAAAAAATGTATGCTTATTTTCTTGTATTCTATTTTGCATCAATTTTAAGATTGATATATAATTCAAAATAAGTTTGGGTTGTGGGGATGATAGTTAGCATCTGTTGGCTATTGTTTCTTTGTCTTATTTTCTTCACGAGACTACTTTTATAACCATTGTTATGTTATAATATTAATGCTTTTTCAAATTGTGGTATATAATGTGTTACTCAGTCAAATTGTTTTCTTGACTTGTAGGTTGAAAAGCTCGGAAAGGATTCACTGATTAACTGTGCCAAGACCAGTATGTCCTCAAAGTTGATTGCTGGTGATAGTGACTTCTTTGCTAACTTGGTATGTTTGTGATTGCGATAGTTTTTATTGAATGTTGGGAGTTTATATCTCATGATTAATGCACTCCATGTTCTGCTGCTTCTGCAATTTATAGTTCATATTCAATTGTAAAAAGGTCATATGCATTTTTCAATTACATGTATAAAATTTTAGTTGGATTAGTAGTTGAACTTGATATTGTTAAAAGGCTATATTATTTTCTAACCTCATCCCATTTTAAAATCTGTTTTTTTTAGTAAAACAACATCCTAGCCTTTTTACTAGATTTTACGTTTCATTTCTGCTTGAGAGGAAAGAAGGTAGAATATATTCTTGGTTTCATGTGTAAATTTTTTTTATTGTTGACCATATTTGGCTTGTCAGTATGAGTATTGTTACACAAAACTGAAATAAAAGCTTTATTATTGATACCTGGAGAGTTTTTAAAACTAATAAAATTTATTTCAATGTCAAACAACAAAAAAAGTTTTTGAACTGAGGATTTGATTAGAATTTGAGGTTCAGAACAGAATCACGGTTGGAAGTCATGAAAGTTTTTGTAATTAATTATATTATTTTTTAAGCATTTTCCTTTTATTATTGGGGGGGGGTTATTGGAATATGTGATCTCGTTTGTTGAATTCAACACTATGCAGTTTGAATTTTGGGGTTATGGTCCATTTGAATTTTGAAAGAAGTTGTGTAATGCATATATTGGCTTATTGTTCTAGAGTTATTATTTGGCCATTAAAGCAATAAACTAACTTAACTAAGGGGTCTTCTTTTGAAGATTCCTTAGGTGGTCACCGGTGGGTTAAGGAATGAAATCTGTCTTGGTGTTCATCACCTGGTTAAACAGGTAGTAAAGTGAGGTCGTCGATCAGGGTGGCTGTATGTTGCACTTTACTGTAAACAAGCATCAACATGCTTTATGCACTCTTCTTCTACTCACCCTTCTAATGTGAAGGCCTTGGCTACCGATGCAGCGAATTCTTTTGATTAATTCAAAGAATTACTGCATGCATTGGTATGTTCCGTCTATTTCTAGTATTCCTTTCTATCTCTAGTATTCCTTTGCTACAAGGAATTACTTGGGATCCGACCTGGAAGGCCACACCATCTAAGATGAAGCCTATCCGATTGCCGATTGCCGATTGATTGAAGGGCTCTCGTCGTAAGAAAGGAGTTCAATCTGTCTTTTGAGCCTTCCCTTTTGAAATCCATTCTTGGTTTCAACTTGCTGAGTCTCGAAATCAGTTCCGTGGGCGTTAACAAGCTAATTGGTTAGGTGCGTTGTGGTTTCCTTGGACGAGGCATTGTTTTGACCCTAACAACGAACTCATCTCGCAGATAGGTTGTTCTGCATTTGAGGAAGCTATTCGAGCTATACTATAGAAGATATAAGATAAGATATAAGATAAGGAGTTGATTTGCATCCTTGTCTCGCTAAGCGAGAAGCTGTGATCGAGGAAGTCCCGCCCAGTAGTGCCTCTACTCTACTAGTCCTAGTACTAGATAGACAGGCCGATCACCAGTGGCATAAGATCCTTCTCTGCTTGTCGAACTCAAGCCAGATAGCAGCAATCACTCAAAATAGTCATATGCGAAACATAGGCAAGTCCAGATTGAAAGATAAGAGAGCCAAGTCTATCTCTTTAGACCAAAGTCAATTATGGGGGATGGTGCTTTATTTACCCAGCTAAGTCTTCCGCTTAACGCACCAAAGATGGTAACTATTGGGACTTTGAAAACTATTGCACCCTTTGCCCTAACGAGTATCTCCTCTAGATGGAACCCAATCAGGATGTGAACAAAGGCCACTGCTCAAACTCTTCAATATGCGCTAGCTAGGCAATCATTTACTGGTCTGAAGGACTCAGGGTCTCCTCGATGCCTTCTCGTATATGGTCGTTGTTCCTGGATGGAGATTGAAAAGGGGCAACATGCTTTCGTAGTCAAGGAAAGTTGCTGAGGTAAGACCCACTCTTATAGCTAGCCAAAAGTAGCTCTTAACCAGTCTTGCTCCCAACATCGATGAACCCGTCCACGATCAGGCAACACTCTGAATATCTACCCTTCCTCGCTTCGAAGGAGCAGCTCTTATAACGAGGGAGAACTCTCAGGTGGAGGCAAGAAGAAATAAGGAAAGAATGCGAAGTAAGCATCCAACCCTAGTACTAGCAAACGATGACTCAGGAAAGGAAGTGAAGGATGAGGGAAGGCATTAGTGGGCGAACGGTGTAGTTCCCCTTTCATAGTTCTCGGTACTAGGGCCGATCCCTTCCAGTCAGCCTAAAAGTCAGTCCTTGCTTTCGACTCTGAAATCGTATCAGCTTCCCCAAGCAGTTAAGCCAGTTGTAGCTAGAGCGATCGATGGTTTCACAGCAGTTCCCGGTAGTATACCAAGGGCACCATCCCGCCTAACTGAGAATGTAAATCCTAGCTTAGCAAAGTAAGTCAAAGCTGGGTAAATAAAGGAAAGACGAACCGGGACTATCAGACTAGAGATTTGACTTTCTTTATTAGCCAAGATAGTGTAAAGGTAACAGGCGCTTTTACCGTAGGTTTGGGCCCATGACGAATGTCAAAGAGCTTTGACAAAGCCTCACTTCCAAGAAGCGAACTTTTGACTCCAGAGACCTTGTCATCATCACTAACCAAAGTCTTTCCTTTATTTACCCAGCTTTGACTTACTTTGCTAAGCTAGGATTTACATTCTCAGTTAGGCGGGATGGTGCCCTTGGTATACTACCGGGAACTGCTGTGAAACCATCAATCGCTCTAGCTACAACTGGCTTAACTGCTTGGGGAAGCTGATACGATTTCAGAGTCGAAAGCAAGGACTGACTGGATGGGATTGGCCCTAGTACCAAGAACTATGAAAGGGGAACTACACCGTCCGCCCATTAATCCCTTCCCTCATCCTTCACTTCCTTTCCTGAGTCATCGTTTGCTAGTACTAGGGTTGGATGCTTACTTCGCATTCTTTCCTTATTTCTTCTTGCCTCCACCTGAGAGTTCTCCCTCGTTATAAGAGCTGCTCCTTCGAAGCGAGGAAGGGTAGATATTCAGAGTGTTGCCTGATCGTGGACGGGTTCATCGATGCTGGGAGCAAGACTGGTTAAGAGCTACTTCTGGCTAGCTATAAGAGTGGGTCTTACCTCAACAACTTTCCTTGACTACGAAAGCATGCTGCCCCTTTTCAATCTCCATCCAGGAACAACGACCATATACGAGGAGACCCTGAGTCCTTTAGACCAGTAAATGATGGCCTAGCTAGCGCATATTGAAGAGTTTGAGCAGTGGCCTTTGTTCACATCCTGATTGGGTTCCATCTAGAGGAGATACTCGTTAGGGAAAAGGGTGCAATAGTTTTCAAAGTCCCAATAGTTACCATCTTTGGTGCGTTAAGCGGAAGAGGGGGCAGGTTAATCTTCAAACAAAGATTGTCGCGCTATTCCTTTCATACTTTACTGGAAAGTGAAATAGATAAAACAAAGGGATCAATCAGTCGCACATAAAACAAACCTTTTCTCTTGACTGACTATGGAAAGTTTTCCACCAACCATGAAAAGAAGTAGAAGTAGTGAAGCCAGAAGGCGAGGAGTATAAGGCCGGGAACTAGAGCAGGCATAAATGACCTTGATCGAAAGTGAGCCCTTCACGAAGCACGGAAAGTAAAAGGATGCGAAGAGAGTGCCACTACTCTCTTTCTGGGAAAGATCACTCTTAGGTTAGGCTGACAAGACATCAAGAGGAAGTCCTTATTGGATGAATCTGGTAAATGTGTAGGTACAGATCCACTTGATATCAATGACTTGTCATGTCTAAATCACATTAGTACAAAACTATTAAAGAATTTGAAAAAGAAATATGCTATTTTAGAAAAAGAGAATCGTGCTCTTTCTCTGAAATTAGTTCAGCTGGAACAGGAAAGAGGTAGAATAGCCCAGCAAAGAGTAGAATCACAAAAGAAGACCCTTACATTAGAAGATAAGAATACATTAGAGCAAAAGAATGCTAATGCTAAAAGGGGTGAAGAGGAAAAGGGCGAAGAGAATATCAATACGGTGAAAGATCGAAGATGGACTATCTATAAACAAGATGGGGATCCATATATGAATCCGCCGGATACAAAGCCACCTGATAATGGATGTGGATAAAAAAAAGACATATACAACATTAGATAAAGGAAAGGAAAAGGAAGATGACTCCTCTCCTTACCTTTCTATGGCGAGCCACTTCATACCTGTTATTCAAAGTCGAAGACTATGTGAAAGACAGAAGCCAGCGATACTGATCAAATAAAAGAACTATAACTGGAAGAGCGTCAACTGCCATCCTTTCCATAATACCTTAACAAGTAATAAAGTGAAACTGCCATACTTGAACAAGTAAGTCAATGACTTTCCCTTACTTATAAATAGTAATATACCGGTTGAAAGCTTTCTTTCAAACCTTCTTCAACGGTCTCAGTCAAGCCTGTCTCAAATGATCCAACAAGAGTAGAGGAAAACATGGGGACACACCTAAGACCTCTCTTTTGGTATTCTCATATGCCCTAACAATCAAGTCTGAAGGAGTGAAATCTGATGCCTCAAGCCTCAGACAGCTTGCAACCTTTCATGGACAGACATTCAAAGCTGAGCCATTGTCTATGAGTACCATTGGGCTTACTTGACTTTGTAGGGCTTTCCACAAGCCATTACTGAAATGTACAGTGCCTTGTTGTGATCACTTCCACCTTTAGGTAGGTCTTTGTTGAAGGTAATGGCGGCTGTCTAGGTAGCATTCATCAATGTTGCCACCAATGTTTCTGGCGAAGTATCACTAGGTACTTGGCACTGATTGTGTGCTTTACTCAAGCCTTGGCGATGGTGGTATGAGGACTTTCTAAGACTCTAGATCGAGATATTAGCTTGAGTCTTTTTTAGTTGTTTGAGGATAAGATCCTCTTCTGGCGTTGGATCAAGCTTTATTTTCTCGATTGGTGGAGGAAGAGGACTGTCAGGGACAGGTCCTTGGTACTGCCTTCCACTCCTAGTGATGACATTGATACTTTATTAAGTCGTTGAGTTCAAGCACCATACAATCATTGTCACTAGGTGCTGGTAAGTCATCTAAGTCCATTTCGTCTAGAAATCCTAGTCTATGGTCATGGCATCAGTAAACTCATCCTAGTCCATGTCTATGTCCATATCTTCCTTTTGACGGTCTTGTTCTTCAAAATCTGGACCCCATCCCGTTGGAATGATGGATTCCAATGGTATGCTCGCATGAGGTGGGGCAGTGTAGAACACCTTATAGTTGTTAAATTTGCCCGAGGGCTGTCCCCTCTACCCTTTCAGCTTCCTTTTCTTCAGGATTGATTAGGTAGGTATAGTCCTTCTCATCATCATCCTCGAGGTAGTTGATGGTAGCCTCGTGCTTAGGAAGTAGATTCGCAGTAACACTTGACTTAGGTGATGGTGGAATTATTGATCCATTATCTATAATAAATATCCTGGACCACTCTTCTGAGAGTTCGACACAACAATATTGTGCCCTTTCTTTGGCTTGATGGAAGTCACAGTATTCCTCAAGCTTTGTTCCTATGGCTTTAGATTCTGGATTCGGAACAGGTTTGATAAGTCCTTTGCTATATGCTATCTTGTATACCACGCCCAATGGGGAAGATATATTGTTGCGTAATGACCGTACCCTAAAGACTATGTACATCTTAACTGAACAAGTACTAACACTAAGAGAGTCACCTGTGCTCAGACAAAGGGACTAGGAAGATAGATAATGGTTTATTCTTGAGTCGTATCCAGAAAGAAGGCATTATATCGCCATAGGACTACCTTGTTAGAGGTAGTGCCTATCTATCCCTTGTCATAGCAGGCCTCATCCGTTAAGGCTAAGACGAGGATGCACTCTAGGGTGCGAACCTTTTCTTTCTTTTTTTGAAACTAAAAACATAAGATGATAGGCCGAAGTTGGAAATGAAAGGTCCCGAGGTCCATAAAACAAAGGCATTCTAAGCCCAATTATCATATCAACCTTAGATAAGAAAGAATTATGACCTAAATGCGTGTAGTGCGTGTATAGTGCTGCACGACTGGTAAGATAAAGGAGAGCCTTCCAAGTGTGCATCAGACTAGTAAATAGATTAACTACCAGCTAAGCTAATAGGATGGTGGCATAGCAAGGAAGTCCCCCTCAGAGAGGTGGCCTGGGTATGAGCGAGTCGAGACCATGGATACGACCTTCTCAGTAGATCGCCAAGGTGAGACTCTTGAATCAAAGGTAGACAGCCTAAGAGGCTTCATTCCAAGGGGCAAACAGTAGTTTATTCAAGGAGATTTGGCCCCACAACCTAATAGAGTAGAGCACAAAAGACTTTCCCAAAAGATTGTTTTCTATCAGTAAGAGAATCTCAGAAGCTAAGCTTTGAAAAGGCACTGCTCTAATCGGCGTATGTGCCTAGATTAGGACTAGTTGCTTAATTGGCCACTTGACTCTTTCCTACCCCTATGGGAAGGAAGCATGAAGGCTTTCTTCTATGGCTCTAGGCGAAAGGTCATGGATCACTCTTACTATAGAGAAATCCTTTAATTGAACTCCTCGTACTAAAACTTGTCCTACACCATGGACTCTACACTACATACTTGATTGAGTGGCTTAGTAGACCGACACCAATGTGCTAATTATTTTCTTGGTAATGGTATGTTTTGTACGTGGATACCACGAGGTTTAGTAATTGATATGGAACAACAAACTTAAAGTCTTGAACGTTCTATGAGGACCAATCTATCTTCTGCTCCGTAGGTACATGTTAGGGCGCTTAAAAGTTGTTTCATTTAAAAAAGGGGGTGTTTATTAGCGGCATTGGCTTGCGCCAAATTTGCTCATTAAAAAATCTTCTTTAATGTCTGAAGTTGCAATTGAACTTTTTTTTTTTTCTGGCTACTGATTGATACATAAATACCTTCTCCAAAGCAACTCGCACCGCACGTCGCGAGCGTTGGGTTGCCCTATTTTGGCTTACTAAGTCACGTGTAAGGCTTGCATATTGGAGACTCTTATCAGTTAGTACAAAGCCAGCCAGGCAGAAGAAGGATTCTCTTCGAGGTGTCCATCCGTGCCAATAAAAGAAAAAGAAAGAGTTCAACCCACTTGAAAGAGGAAAAGGGAGTAGGAAAAGTACCGAAAAGTACGAATTCGGGTTCATCCCTCAATCAAGCACTACTTGAAGGATAGATTCAACCATACGCCTAGATCGGAAGGAGTACGCTCTAAGAGCAGCTTTCCCCGACCAATGCATTCAAGCTCACCTAACCTGGTTCTAGTGTTGTGACTAGTACTCTACCAAATCAAGAAATTCTTGGATTGGTTGCTTCTGAGAGAGCAACTCTTCCGACAGCTCGTATTCATCCCTTCCCCATGAGGACAATCAGCCCCTTGCTTTCATTTGAATATTGGCCCTCGCGCTTCACGGCTAGATTGGAGTAACTCATAGCTTGGGCTTTCTATTTCATCAGGACGACTTCTCCTCCACTGAGCTCATCGCCCCTTTCTATCCCTTGAGTGAGGTTGAGGTCAAAATTCTCTTATTTAAAGAAAAAAAGGAATCTCTCTGACTTGTCAACAACTGGGAAAGAAAAATACCTTATCTATCTTTTCTTGTCTCAAAGAAATCAATTCCGAAAGTGGAAGGTCGGCTTGGCCTTGCGTAAATCAGATATCTTGTCCTAGGCTACTCCCTTCCCTTCTTCGTAGGGTACACTCCCAAGAAGATCAGGTGAGCCCGAAGACCGAATCAATGTAACTTACACTTTTCTTTGAATTGAGGCTGCTATAAAGGCAAAGGCTTTTGCAATTCCAGAGGGCTCTCCCTGCAGGCTCAATGTATGCTATAACTCCATAAAGTGTGAGTTTGGCCTCAGGATAGAGAGAAAGCTGTGAGTTCTCGTTGTCCTTCGACCCCTTTGGCCATGTCTACCATTTCATTAAGTCAGTTTGGGAGCTAGGTCAAGACCCAGTCGTCACATCAAGATCGTAAAATGACGTATATGATAGAGTGGAACTAACGGCTTATGAGCTCACGCTTTGAGAGTTGCTGTAGCCTACCTAAGCTCAACTTTTTTCAGTTCAATCCAATCAACAGTGGGATTAGAGAGCAAGCTGGCGTGGGGGCAAAAGGCAATAACATCCGACTCTACTTTCTTTAATCCGACTCTGGCACTGATTCAATCAGGAATTGAGAAGCAGCAGGGAGTTGATGGAACACTTTACAAATTCCTATTTGAACAGGGTCCAAGACTTGACAACTTCAATAAGAATTGAGCGTCAGATGATTTTCTTTAGTCACATATGCCTTCTCCGACATGTCTCGTATGTCAAGCTCTTTTCTAGACCTCATGTGGGAGAGGGCTGAATGTTGGCAATGACTTGAAGTCACAAACGATAAGAAGATCAGGATTTCCTCTAGAAATGAATGTTGCAGCAGATGAAAGTTGCGAATAAGAGAATTGCGACAAGAGAGCAATTCTTGCCCCTTCTAACTTTAACCCTTAAAGTGAGACCAGTTGAGCCATTTCATACCTATCTCTATTCCCTATCAATCGACTTTGTACTCGCTTCGGTCGAGCAACTACGTACCTCTTCTTTCTTGACAGTCGAGTAAGAGGAAGTCAAGCTAACACCAATATTGAACTTATGCATTTCTCTTTCTTTACATAGAGGCGATTCTTCCTTAACTTAATGTGGTCGGGATGCACCGTGGACTGAGATTGTAACTAATCGACTCAAATAACGAATACCTATGACTGAATTGGTCACTTGACTGCTAAACCGAGGATGTTGACTAGGTTGCAAGCAAAGACTAGGGTCATTGCACATACAACTCTTATTGGTTTTAACACAACTCTGCTATCAGAATAGGTAAATTGGTATGAAACCGAAAGCCTAACCTGTACTGCTAACAGCTTCTTCTAAATCATGATAGTAGTGGAAGAAGACACCAAAAGAAAAATAAATTCCAAGGATCAAAGGCACTTGGGGCAGGCGACTAACCCCTCCGAGGACGGTCAGGCGATTAAAGAATGCAACTCCTGGGCTTCTGGGGCAAGGAAAACTATGTCCACTCAGAAGCTCTCATTCTCGGCCAAGTCCGAAAGCAATGCATGAAAAGGCTCACGAAGGCTTTCCCCGATGCACAGACGAGAACTACTCCCAAATTTTGATTGAATAGTCAATGTCTTTAGTAATTTAATCATTTAAGCCCTTTCTTTTCTTCCAAAATAGAGAAAACCCAGTACCCCGATCTAGGCTTCCAAACTACTATTCCCGGGTACACATATCGTAACGAATGGCAGAAAGACAAGGCGAAAGGGCTCGCCCTCGAATCAAAAGGCAACAGTGAGTCTAATTCTATCATGGCATGGTACAGCTTCAGACAGCTCATTGGCTAAATCGTATAATATAATAGGGCATTTTGAGGAAGAACTCATTTATGTCGAGAATAGAAATGACTTTCTTTCTTTGGGACTTTTATTGTCTACCTATCACTTAAGATAGAATGTTTGGATGTCGGCCCCTACTTGTTAAGTAAGGCGAGAGTCAGTGCCTTCCCCAGCGTTCAGTGGAACGTGAGGCACTCTTTATTGGCTTTCAGGCAATGAAGGGGCTATTCCCACTTGGATTTTCCTCTGCCAGCCAATGCTAACTTAGCATCCTTGCCATCAGAATCCACTAAATAAGGAAGTAATGAGACGAACCGATAGAAGAAAGAACTCAAGGAATCCGCGGAAGCTTGGGCCGATGCTATTCTTGCTCCTGCTAAGCACCCGGCTGATGACGGTTGGATGGATGATATAACGTATCTAGTACAATGACCCCAGATCTCTTCGTGAAGGAAAGGACTCCTTTTGACCAGCTTTTCCAGAAACGAATGCAGGTGCTCGACCTGGAACCAAATCTCGATCTATTTCACCTGGGTAGAACTTTTTTGATCTCAATCGCCCAATCAAGATCTGGGATTGGGAGAATGACTGGTACGTGCTCTGATGGAAGAACTGCCTTTGCTTGCTTTGCCACGACATTCCCTCACCTTCACTTTCTTTGAGTTAGATTGTACCATACCCTCCCTCTGAGAGACGTTGGCCTCGCCTTACCTACTAATCTTAGACAGTCGTACATGTACCTTGCCAACCTAGGTTCTCTTTTAGATGAATCGGCCGGTTTGATGAACCGAGAGTTTTGGGAGTTGGGGGCCACACTGAACCTGAAAAGCTTAATTTGCATCCTATGTATTCTTAGCTTGTGAAGAGCTATCTGGCTTGTGAAGCTACCCAGCATGAACACGCTTTGGGTCAGTCCCACATCACAAAGAAGAGGTCCTTAAAGAAAGAAAGAAAGAATAAGGAAGCGAGACTTTTGACAAGAAGAATAACGGACTCTCATTAGTCTCAGCCTGTCTCCCGTAACAACGAAGAGATAAACTAGGGCACAAAGTGCGTACGGCCCGTCCACCTTTTGCTGATGCAACAGTAATAGGTGTCGGTTGTGATGCAGCAGCGTCAGCAGCACGCTGTGGTTCTTCTACTCTTCTTATTACTAGAAACCCAGATCCTTTTGGAGAGGAGAAATGTCTTGTATCCTGCGGGGTTGCAAAAGGGGTTTTGTTGAAAAAAATAGATGCGGCTAATATAATAAGGTTATAGATAAGTCTGGTTGGTTACTTGTCAAGTCAAGGAGATATCAGTTGGGGACTGAATCAACAAAGAAAGGTACCAGGTATCTTGTGCTTTGCCCTAAAATAAGCAGGGGAAAATGCTAAAATGGTTCACAGGGGAGAGATTGGGCATGGGAAGCACCTAACTTTCTTTGTGGGTCACGAGAATGGGCATCCAGCAGAACGTTTGGTGGTAAATATATTAGTGGCTTACTAAAGGCAAGGTGAAAACAATTCCTTACTCAAGGAAGAAGTGAAATGAAGAGTCTAGAAGATGGACTTTTTCTTTCTCGTCTCGTTGTAAGCTTCATCTTCATTCTGGCTTGTGAAAAGAGCTGATCTTTGGCTCGTTCTTGGGCCTTTGATTTTTTAATCCCAAGCCCTATCCAAAGGGAATGAGTCAGGCAGCTAGCTCCTCACTCTTGTCGATCGGCCCTCTCTTGTATAGCCTTCCCTGACTCAAACTCAAATGCAACCCCTCACATGCATTTGCAACAGATTATAACTAAGCCTGGTCATCTCCGGCCATTCTCGGCATCTTCACTAGTAGCCCTTCTTCTTCCCTACATATCGTTTTCACTCTAGTTTAGTTTGGACTAAATTAATAAAATAAGGATGCCTATCTAAAACTAAAAGAAATCCTAAATACAAGAAGAGATCCCACTCCTGCTTTAGCGCTTGTTCGTAATATAAGACTCCCTTCTCGTTCTCGGTGAAGGAATCAGAGTTGCTATAAAGCATCTTACTCTTTAACGGCAAGCTCAGCAACGATTAGTTTGACTCTGCTGGAAAGCAGTCCTTCACGGATATGGGAGCTTACTCCGCTGTTGCTGGTTTAGTAAGCTAAGCATTTCCTTCCTTTATGATTATGAAAAAGGAATGGATAGAGAGGAAGGCTCCAGGCTTCCTTTCTTTCTCTTGGTGTTAACATAGGAATGGGAGCAGTTTGAATGGATGCCTTTTTTCCCTTCCCTTGTTGAATCAGCCAAGTCTGTAGCCTTTCTTTAAGAGGGATTGCCTGTTGATGCAAGGAATAAGGGCTGCTAAATCATCTGCAGTACAGTAGTACTATTATATTATATTATATTATATTATATTAGGTAGGTATATTATATTATATTAGGTAGGCAAATGGGATTTTTCTTTCCTAGGCTCAGGAGCGTAGTAAATGAATCAGGAAGGTTGGGTATCATATATTGGCTTATTGTTCTGGAGTTATTATTTAGCCATTAAAGCAATGCTAACTGGTATTTTATGACAGGTTTTTTTGTCTGTTTATAAGTACCAGTACTCATTATATTTTATGTTGTGAAATTGACTTATATGTGCAATTTACATAGGTTGTAGATGCTGTACAATCTGTTAAGATGACCAATGCTCGAGGTGAAGTTAAATACCCAATCAAGGTTGGTAATAGAATTTCTCTTATTTTGGTTTCTTTCCTTGATGAAAAATGCCAAATTTTAGTAATATGTTGAACACCTATAGTATGTATAGTATGTAGTTTAATCTTGTTTCTTACCTCCTTTAATGTTCGTAGCATTTGAATTGATTTAATTTGTTGTTTCTTTTGTGGCTCATCTTCCAGGGAATCAATATCTTGAAAGCCCATGGAAAAAGTGCTAGAGACAGCTTTCTGATGAATGGTTATGCTTTAAATACTGGCCGTGCTGCTCAAGGAATGCCTCTAAGGGTTACCCCTGCAAAAATTGCCTGTCTTGATTTCAATCTACAGAAAACAAAAATGCAATTGGGTGTTCAAGTTCTAGTAACTGATCCTAGAGAGTTAGAGAAAATCCGTCAAAGGTACTATCAGTATGATCTTATGGTTTCTACTTCTATGATACCCAACCTTCCTGATTCATTTTCTTTGGCTATGAAAATAAATATATAGAATTTTGGAGAACAGGCATGAAGTCAATCCAAAACCTCTCAAGTGTTTAGCTAATATATATATATATATATATATTATGGGTACTTGTTAATTCGTGTAGTTCTTGTATTAAATATTGATCTAATTGTGTAATCCATCTTATTTAAGTTTCAGTGTAGGGATTCACTTTTACTTGGTTTGGAGAATTCTTCATCCATATAATCTTGTATGATAAAATAATATCTGTAATACATTTTAACAAACGGCCACTTTTGTAACTTCAGAGAGGCTGATATGACTAAGGAAAGGATTGAAAAGCTATTGAAGGCTGGAGCTAATGTTGTTCTGACTACTAAAGGAATTGATGACATGGCTCTTAAGGTATTCCTCTTTGTGGTGCACACTTTAATGGTATTTTTTCTTCATGCAAGATGATTCAGCTATAATCTAAATTTAGGCTGTCAAAGATAGTGAGTCTATCTTTCTGTATTATATATCAAGTTTAACACATCATTTATTTTGACCGTTGTAGAAATTATGCTTCCTGATGTCCAATCTGATAGAGGAAGCTAACCTATAGTCCAGTAGTATGGTCTGATTTAGGTGCATTCAAATTATAATATGTTATCAGATTTATTTCTTGATTATCATCATCTTGTTGATGGATCTGGTGATGTAGCTAGCAAACTCAATAGCCTCTTTCTGAATGTGAATATTGATTAATGTTGAATATTGATTAGTTTATCCTTGTACTTTTGATTTCCAAATGACAATTCATAATATTTGCTTTCTTTCTTCACCCTTGGATGTAGGGCAATGTAGTTTGCTGTTAAAGTCTATGTCTTTATCTCTTCTCTGTATACTCTGTTACAAAATATTAGGGGGAACATACGCCCTCCATATGGTCCATCTAAATATACGATACATTCTATGCTGTAAGTATAAAATTAAGTCCGTATCCATCAATGTATTAGGATTTGATCAATCAGAAGTAGGGTTTCTAGATTATGACAAAAGGCAGAAACTAAGGGACTTGAAAATATTATACTGCTGAGGAGTTGGCTTGTTAGTATAAAAATGAGGATCATTACAGGGTTGTTTTGTTGCCTGAATTTCACATGTGATTTGGAGTTTCATGTTTGATATGATTTATTGATTTGGGTGAAATTCAAGCTGAGTATTGGGTTTGATGGGGTAATTTTTAATACTTTCTGCTGATGATATCAGTCTGATTATGTGACAATTGAATGATGAAAAATAATTTGGAATTAGTTGACATATTAAATGAAGCAGAACACCAAAGAACTCATGACATAACAGAAGCTACGATTTTACTCTAATTTTTTTTTTTTTCATTTACCATATTTTTTTTACTGTTGGTTGTATCATTATGCGTATTGACTATAATTAAAACTTAGGACCAAATAATTTAAAATGTCCAAGTTATAAACCTTGCTTGAATCCAATAACTAAGGTCTGTGTTTAGGGAAGCAAATGCCTGACCTTATTAATTTACTTTAAAATGGTGAAATAAATAAATTATCAAATGCTTCATTAATTAGAATCCCAGTGTTGAAATTACACCAAACTTCTTGTGACATCTATGCCTAAGGATCTTTAAACATGGTTTACTGACTTAAGATTTTCTGTTTTTTGCATTAATTGATTTTGTGGTTGTTTTTAAATTGTATGTTTCTTCTGATGAATGATATAAGAAGTCATGAATTTATCTATTTCTCTCTGAATATTTAATTTTTGTTTCAGTACTTCGTTGAGGCTGGGGCAATTGCTGTAAGACGGGTGCGGAAAGAGGATATGCGCCATGTTGCCAAGGCTACTGGTGCAACATTGGTAAATTTGTTTATTTTAAATTTTTTGATTTAATTGCAATGTAAGTTGTCAGTAAGGCTGAAAATTTGTGTCAATATGCTAGTGCTCCATTCCTTCCCTTTTATCTCCCCCTTTTTTTTAAATGATAAAAAAATTGTTGCTATTTTATGGGGTTGGAGGGAATGCAATGTATGTTTGATTCAATGCATTATAACAATTGCTGATTCTAAATTCTACCTGCATAGAATCTTTATGTTTTTTAATGCTATCCCAGGAAACCCTTTTGCATTCTGAAATATAAAATGTTTGCAGCTTATGAATGTCGAGTTTAAATTGAACTGAAGTAACCTTATTTGTAACCCTTGGATCTCTGTTTTGTAGAATGGATTAGGCTGTATTCTTTTCATCATGCCAACTGTAGAATGACTTCCCATTTATTGTATTTGAGTTTCCTGAGAAATTTTAACAGAGTCTCTTATATACACCTGATCATGTTTTAAATTAGCAACCACCGATGACGTTTTGTAGGAAATAAAATGCCACAAGACAAGTGACTATTATCCATCATTTTGTATGTTTCAATTTATGTTTATATCGTTCCCTTTTATAGTCATTTACTTTCCTTGAGGTTTGTACCAAATTTCTTTTCTAACAACATCTTAGTTTTTATATGTCTAGCAGTATCTTGTTAGTGTCCTATTTTTGCGTAGAGGTTTTGAATACTGGTCCCTTTATGTACCGTTTGACGTTATTTTTACTTTGACTCAGGTCTCAACATTTGCTGATATGGAAGGGGAGGAAACATTTGAACCATCTTTTCTTGGATCTGCTGATGAGGTTGTAGAGGAGCGCATATCTGATGATGCTGTAATTATGATTAAAGGGACCAAAACTACAAGTGCAGTAAGTGAATTGATTGACTTGTATATTTTCTCTTTCTTTCTTAATAAAAGAATAAATTCATATTACAAAAGCCCAAGGAAAATAGGTAAAGTACTTAAAAAAACTCTGTAAAGCATCTTGTTGACAAAATAGCAAGAAAATGTGAACCTGCATGTGCTATGGTAATAATTTATTCATTGCAATGACAACTAAGTTAATACGTTATTGATTGGAAATTTTATATCTTGATGGAGTTTTTATGAGAAAAAGGGAATAAAATCAATTAAATCCAAAAGTGAATCTAGTTAACAAAATTCCCTGTCATATGGAATTTGAACATTGTAGAAAGTGTGGATATGAAATTATGAGGAAAATAGGTGATGATAAATGGTGATCATTGGGCCATGAGAATCATACATTATTATTATAGAAGCAATGTCTTTCAGCCTGTGCAGTTTCCCTCTATGAAAATAATTATATATTATTTATGGTTAATTTTAAATTATTAAAAAATATGATGTTTATTATTAGCTTTATATGATATAATTTATTATAGTTAATTTAATATTATTTACATAAATTATTTGTTTACAAGTTATTCATTTGGATAAACCACACAATTTAATTTAATTTATTTATGTAAACTTACAACACATCAGAGAATAAGTCTCTTATCAAAATATTCAAAGATAATAAAAATTTTCATATGAAATCATCATACAAATTCTTTACAACAATTTTTTCTTACCGATAAATAAAGTATTATCTCATTATTATTGAGGCACTTAATTATGAAATATGTTAAAAAAATTAAAATTAATACATTGTGGATTAATATTTTAAAATTAAAAAATGTGTTTTTGCTCGTGTAAAGCTATTTTTCTCACGATACTAAATCACATTATTTTCTGAAATCCATTGCTGTTTTCAGTTGCTTTTTCAAGAAAAATAACATTTTTTATGATAATTCATTTTATATCTATCAAGCACCCATCTTTCAGGAGAAGATTATTAAATTGTATTATTAGTCATAATATTCTTTTATACAATATCACCTCATTCTGTTATTCTTCTACAGGTCTCTCTGATTTTAAGAGGTGCAAATGACCATATGCTTGATGAGATGGATAGAGCACTGCATGATGCACTATCAATTGTCAAGAGAACTCTTGAATCAAATACGGTATCTTGCTTTCTTTAGCTTTCATCTTAATTTGGTTCTAAGTAATTATGTTAGTTTAGATTCAATTTTTCAAATGATATCTCAATATGATTTGCCTTCTTCATATTGAGATATCATTTATTTTTGTAATATAATATCTTATTTATTTATTTTATGGTTGTCTTTCTGCGTTTTACTCTTGCATGCTTGTTTGTGACATATTGTATGACGAAAAATTTCATATCCTTGGTCTGACTTTAAGGCACTTACTATCATGTGAATATTGTGACTTGGGGTGATGAGAAGTAATATGTCCCACTTAAATGTACACATTTTAATATCAAGATGCATATATAAAACCAAAGTGATTCTTTTTCCCCCCACTGATGAGTCATCTTAAACACTTGGATTGCAGTTCGACAGACAGAATTTTCAGGATGCTACCTCAGCTCTCTATTTGTCCATGTTATTTTATCTTTTGCTATACATACAACCATTTAGGTCACGAAATTTTGTGTGGTAAATAATACTGTTTTATTTGATTATGAACTACACCCAGAGTGTGATACTGGAAGGTCAATTAATTTGGATACTAAAAACTATTAGAACTTATTAACAATACACTTCAGAAATACAAGATTCTAATTGTTAAGAGTCAGAATGTAGATTGTGTGCCTGCTTTTTATAGCTTCTTTGAAATAAAACACCTTTTTAATTAAAGAATCACCTTTACAAGTTTGTCATATGAACTCAAGCTAGAAGCAAATTTTGAAAACAATCAGAAGCTGAAAAGAATCTAAAATCTGATTAAAATTAGAAGCAATTTTGAATAGCTTGTCATAAAATCGATTGTATTTTTTAGAAGTCTTATGATTGTGAACAACCATAAATTAGTTTTTTGCCTTTTCTAATTTTTCTAAAAAACATCACTAATGTTTATTTTACATCAGAATCATATTTTTTTAAATAATTTAACAAACTAGTCATATATTGCTTAATCACTGTCAGCGGCAGTGAGGATTTGGGGTTAGGAGTTTAATGGTAAACAAAGTACTCAGTTTTCATTGATGATTCTGAATTTTCTCCTGTGTATATATAATAAGCCTACACTTCATGGATACTCTTTTTCTATTTTTAATTTCCTATTTTGTTTGCCTTGTGAATGATTTTTTGATATATAAAATTCAGGTGGTAGCTGGTGGAGGTGCAGTTGAAGCAGCTTTGTCAGTTTATTTGGAGTACCTTGCCACAACTTTAGGATCTCGGGAGCAGTTGGCTATAGCAGAATTTGCCGAATCTCTTTTAATCATTCCAAAGGTAAGTTACAAGCAAATAATGTTTTAAAGTTTTAGATTTTCTGCAGATTTGCCGAATAACTGGGGTGGTTGGGCCTAGTTGAACAAATGTTGTAAAGTTGTCATCATCCCCGTTCAATAAATAGATTTAACTATATAGTTGTACGTAGATGCTGCACTAGGTAGTTAATATGTAATTGTCTGTAGTTTTAGTACAGTGAGCTTTCATGTGGGGTTATGTAATTTTAGTACAGTGTAAATTAGTTTTGATAGATTTATTCTTGTTTTCAGCCATTTTCAAATGTATGCATTGATGTCACTTAATTGATGCAGGTGCTTTCTGTTAATGCTGCCAAGGATGCCACTGAGCTGGTCGCAAAATTACGGGCCTACCACCATTCAGCGCAAACTAAAGCTGATAAGAAACATTTATCAAGGTATTTGCTTACAAGTAGTAGTAACTATATAGTTTCCTTTCAATTTTGTCTTTCTAGCTTTGAGCCTGTTTGTTGAATTTAGTTTTGTTATGTCATAATATTTCTCGGCTTTAATTTTCGTACAACCTGTGTTGGGGAATGGTAATTCACCGAAAATGCTTCATATACACAGACACACTAGAACTTCATAACCACCATTTTGACGTGAAGCTATTGAAATGATTTTGCAATGTCATGTGCATTTATTTGGTTATTATGGTGTTGTATAGAGATAAAGATACGATATATAAATTTGTTTATAGGATTTGGACAGGGAAAATAAGTTTTTGCATCCGCCCATCATTCCAACTCAGGATGTGTTAACAACTGAAATTAGAGAAAAGCAACATTTGAGAATACATATGAAATGATGCTTGATAAGCTTTCACATTCTTTTCTATTCCATTAAAAGACCGATATTCTTTTGCTCTTTTTTTTCCCAGCATGGGCTTGGACCTTTCTGAAGGGAAAATCAGAAACAACCTGGAGGCTGGAGTCATTGAGCCTGCTATGAGCAAAGTCAAAATTATTCAGGTATGTATTTTTAGTTAAATATTATCAGTTCTTGACTTCAAGAAACAGTTTGCATCTTATCTCAACAAACTCTTGTATTGGTTTATTTCAGTTTGCTACCGAAGCGGCTATTACTATCCTTCGAATTGATGACATGATCAAGCTTGTCAAGGAAGAAAGTCAAAATGAGGATTGAAGTGTAATTGAATTTAGGAAGCATCCACTTCCCAGTTCTTACATAAGGGAGGGTTTTGCAGGTTGTGCTGGTGTGTATTTGAAGAGGGTATCTGCATTTTATCTTCAATGCTCTTGTTCTTGAAAGACAAAATGTTCTAATTATTTTTCTTAATGTAGCGTTTATTATATTTAACTATTATTGGCATTCCATATTCCTACAAACTTTAGGCACATTTTTGGTCCGCATTGGCTGGTTGCATGTTTGTACATCCGAGGCGGTGTTTGGCATGTGGAATTTTGATGTTATATTGGTAGTGATTATCAGTTTATGTATGAACGAAATACGAGTGCAAATTGGATTAGGATGCCATTTTTATCTTTTTCATGAACGGGTTGATGACAAATTTTCCATGCGGTGGATATTTTTGAAGTTAAATCAATTTTAAATATGAATATCACTATAGTATCATAAGAGACTTTATCGTAATGAAGACTAAGATATTATTTTATCAAAATAAGAATAAAATTTTAAAATTGACGATAAATCTGTTGCGTTGATTTATAAATAATATATAAAAATAACTTTTTTAATTGTCAGGTGTATTGTAATATTTATTTTTCATTTTCTTGTTTACACTTTAATCACATGTTTTCTTTAATATTTTTTATGAAAGAAATAAAATTAAAATATTTATTATATTTTTATCATTTACTTTTTCAATTTTTTATTAAAGAAATAAAATTAATTAAAAAATATTCCTTTTGTTTAACTCATTCTTTTTTATTTTTTTCACTCAAATATAAAAAAATTAAAGTTATTCTTTCTCTCAAATTTTTTTCAATCATACATTGTTTTCGAATTCTTTCCCATATCTAATAACTTTTTTATATATAATAATATTTATGTTTTAAAATCAATATATTTATTTATTACAATAAAAAAACATAATAAAAATATATGGACACTAATGTATGAGCGCCTTCTGTGAATCGGCTGGTAGATACGGAGAAGCTTTTAACTTTTTGTCAACGGTTACGAAACGCCTAATTCACAAGTCATGAATGAACAGCAGTAGAAAAGAAAAACGTAAGCCGAAGCCTTGGCCTACCATTTATCATCACTGTGACAAGTAATCACAGAATTTTCATATAATTTTTTTTATATTATAAATTTAAATTTGAACAAGAAATATATTTTTTCTAACATATTTCAGAAATAGTATTTCTTTAAAAAAAAATCAATAGTTTTGTTTACTTTTATACGTTACAATATTACAATTTCAAATATTAATTTAACTTATTTAATATTAATTTTTCATTTTTTTTAATTTTACGTCTTTTCTCCTAAATGCAAACCACTAATTATGTTTCTCTCACTTTAATTTACTTTCCGAGTTTAAACTTAGTCCAACTAAAATGTTAGTTTATGATAGATATTAAGCACAGAAGATTTTAGAAAGTATTTTTCTTCTTTTTCAAGTAATTATGTGTGTTGTGGGGACCACAAGCCCACAAATACCGTCGTCAATTTCAGCACGGAAACAAACGTCTTACCTTGATCCGCAAGTTTAATGCCCACGTCCAGACTACATAAATATTCAACATTTCCTTTCACGCATTGCTAATGACCTTTTGAGGTTACAATTGGGAAAAATTTTACATATCTCAAGAGGTAGAAAAACAAAATGCAACCAATAGAGAATTTGATTGGGAAGGGGCTAATGAAAGTAGAAAAGGAGAGTGAAGAATACCAATCCATTAAGAATGGTTTCTTGAAGGGTATGGAATTTATGGGACATGCCACAACTGTCATGGCCCTTTACAAGAACGATGTTTCCTTTAGTTTGCCAAGACAAGCTCGCTGGGATTCGTTCAAGATTTTCTCTCAGGCTGTGGCAATAAAATGTGGCGGGAATGCTAATCTAAGGTATGCTTGGTATGGTTCTTCATTGGATGATCTCCTAGAGATTGTATCTGAGGGATTCAATGGATGCAAAAGCCATGATGATAATAATGGTGAGTGTCATGGTGTTGGGATTCCCTTATTTTCTGCCAATTTCTCCATTGATAGGTAAGCACCACAATATTTTGAATGAACTAGTTCTACTTTTCATCTCAATTTTATGTCTCTGAGAAAATAAATCAAGCTAAGAATTTGTTTACATAATTCACAGTGCTTTGTGTACAGTGGCAGATGAACATGGTTGGAGACATGTGCTACTAAGCAGGGTGATATTAGGGAAGGTGGAAGCTGTCCCTTGTGGTTCAAAGCAGAGGCAACCCAGTTCTAAGCATTATGACTCTGGAGTGGATGATATATTAGCACCTACAAAACATATTATATGGACTGCTTCTATGAATTCACACATTCAGCCAGAATATATTCTAAGTTTCAAGTATAATTACATGAAGGGTAAGTGGGGTACCCTTTCATTTCTTGCCATAAATCTTAAGTTTCATGTTTGTAGCAAGTGCTTGAATGAAGGGTTGATCATTTCTTGACTTTGGTGTGCAGATTCAGGGACACATGGGGCACTAAAACCCGGATCACCATATGTGTTGTTTCCCAATTTAGTGGCAAGAGTTTCAAACCATTTGAAACCACCACAAATGACTATGTTACTCAGAAGTTACCGAATTTACCAGGTAATGATCAATATTAAATAATAGCCCTTGTTTTCAGGTTCTTGTTGTTTTTGTAGCCACTGTTTCATTTGTAATGTAAAAAATAGCAGTAACTGATGAAGATTAACACTGCATGGGATCAGGAACGAAAGATTTCACGAGAAGAATGGATAAAGAAAGTGAGATTGATTGTAGGAGACACACTACTGCATTCAGTGATCACAAAATCCAGCAACAATATGCAGATTCTTTAGTCTCTCTTAGTTGATTTTTACCAACAAATTTTGGTTTTCTTATTCCTTCCATTTTTGTGTTTGATTTAGTTTTACTTTTTGGAAGTTTCTAATAGGATTTTATACGATAGTCTTTACAAATTCACATGAAATTGTGGTATGAATAGAGAGATATGAGTACAACAAATTAACAAAATAATCATAAAAATGATGTTGTGGAATTGTATTCTTATCTTCGGTTCTTCGAACTTCGAAGTTTTGTAATTAAAAGCTATTTTTTAGAATCAACTTTCTTTCAGTGCAATTTATGTCGGGGGATAATTACTTACTTTCCAAGACTTAATTCATTCATTATCTTATTAATTTAAAATAAAAATTGTTTTTATTTTATTTTTATTAAATTATTAATTTGATGAATTCTTAAAAAAAAACTTGTTAATGCACTAAAGATTATAATAATGAAAATAAATCTTCTATAATTTTAATCATAACTATTTTTATGATTATTAAGTATATGACACCAAAAATTTAAATATATCATTATATGTGTAATTATTTTTCTTAGAAAAAATTTTAATAGTTTTAGTTTATTGATTTACATATACTATATCATTATTAAGAATAGGAGATTCTGAATTTATGATTATTATGTATATGACACCAAAAATTTAAATATATCATTATATGTGTAATTATTTTTCTTAGAAAATTTTTAATAGTTTTAGTTTATTGATTTACATATACTATATCATTATTAAGAATAGGAGATTCTGAATTAATATTTATCATATTTTAATCAATAAAAAAATCCATCAACTATTTGATGATGAGATTGAGTTATATGAAATAAAATTAAAAAAATATTAATATTGCACTCTTGATTAATAAATTAGTTAATATTGAACTACCAGTTACACAATGAATATCTTAGTATCTACGTAAATTAGTCGAAAAAGTTTATTTATTCAAATAAACATTGTAATGATATACAGACATATCTTTACTAGTCTAACGACGGATTATAAAAAAAATTATATAATAATAAATAAATAAGATATATATTTAAAATTGTATCATTCATTTTTTTAATGTTTAAACCCATTAATAATAGAATCAGAATTAAAAATTTTAACTATTTCTTTTTTAAACTAATCATATTATCGGCAAAAATTTATTTTCCATTCTATTTCATAGTCTTGTTTTGATAATTTTCTATCTATTAAGTAAAATGTACCTGACTTAATATTAAATTCATTGGTTTAATTTTATGAATATTAGAAAAGAGTTTTTCTAATTGAATAATTAGATTATCAATATCATGCTTTGAAACAGGAGAAGAAGATGTTGAATTTGTTTGGTTTTCATCTCTATAAATATATTTTTTATCACTTTTAAAAAATGAATCTATTCTTTTATGCATCTTATCTAAAAAAATGAATTTATTATTATTTTTCTAATTATAGAATCATAAAAATTTATAAAAAACAAAAATATTTCTCTCGAGACAACAAATGTTCCACAAAAAAAATCAAAATAACAAATAAATAAGCAATGTGAAAAGAAGATAAAGAAAAAATATATTGGTCAATCAATATAATTTCAAGGTTAAAATCGCTTCAGTGAGAGAATATAAAAATGTGAGAGAATATAAAAATGTGAGAGAAGATGAAGAACTACTTTTAATCTTTCTTATTTAATATATTCCTTATAAATTAGAGAAGCAGTTAAATACTAATAAAATATTATGGTTAATGAGAAAATATGAAAAAGTGAGAGGAGATGAAAATGTCATATAATAAAATTATTTTTAATCTTTCTTATTTTATTTATTTCTTCAGTTTTTTTCTTTATGATACATTTAATATTGGAGTAAAAATTATAAATATATAAGTAAGTTACAAAACTTTTGAGAGGTCATGGCTCCTTAACAAAAATGTAAATAATATAAAATAAAAATAATTATTTTCAAATATGTTTGAACATAAAAGTGTTGGAAAAAAAGCATAAATAAATAAATAAATATATTATTAAAAGTTTCATTAAACAAAAAAAAGTCTTCTAATAATTTTTATTTGTAAAGAACATCATCTTCACTTCACTCTTTGTGTTTTTATATATCAAAACTGGAGAAGATTGCTTTTGTGTTTTTTGTGTTTCACTCACAAGGAGTTGAGAGGTGTTGATACATTTAAAGCTTCAAGAACCATGGTTGAATATACAATTTCATTCATTTATTTTACTATTGTTATATATTTTTTCATATAAAATAAATATTATTTTATTCCAATGCATTCAAGTGTTGTGATCATTCTTTCACTTTATTAATTTATTTTATTTAATATCCAATGTATAATTCCGTGATTAAAAACAAACTTTAGTGCATACTGTTGCTCAACTATTATTCAAATCACAATTTCGTAGAAGGAAAAGTAATTTTTTGCACAAAAATTGAAACAATACACTCCTAATATTATTTTCTTTGACATACATCTGCACAAAAAGTAATTCTGTTTTTTTTTTCTCTATTTTTGGTTTTTTCTTTCTGTAAAAGCCAAAATTTTGTTTACCTAAATTTTATTAAAAGTAGGGGATTTTATTTGGGATGAATTGATGTAAGCGTTTAGAGCTTTACCTTACCAAAAAAATGAATATCTTCTATTCTTATTTATTTGATTTTTTTTTTCAATTTTATTAATTTATCTGCAAAAGTTTATAATGTTCCTAATAATTTATAATATTGGGCTAAATTATTCAGAAAAATTAGAAAGTCAATTATTTCTATGCTGTATGTTTATTTCTTTTGTATTTGTTTTGAGCACTCACTATCTTTTGGCCCAATTAATTTAATTTGTGTCCTCTTCTTCTCTGTTCACGTAACAATCCATATTTATTTCACAAAAATAAAATAAAAAATTATTATATTCAGATATTTTTTTACCCAACCTAAATCACATGGGTGCACATGATCTCAAATACAAATTTATAGTATAAGAGTGGAAATCATAATTAAATTTTAGTTTTCATCTTAAAAGAGTAATCAGATATTTATGTGTCAACTTGTAATGTATCATATTCTTCATTCAAAGACCTAAAAATGTGTTTCACTTCCACCAAGCCATCACCATTCATGATTTTATGCTCTACATATTCCAAGGAAAATTAAATTTATCTCTTCGATTTTCCTACACATTCCACCTTTTCGATTTCGATGCTCATTTATAGTATTTCAACCCAAAAGCCTCTTCTTTCTCTAGATACATATAGTATAATCCAACACTCCAACTAAAAATTTCTCAAAAGTATATCAATGGAGTCCTTGCTGACCATTGTCAAGTCCTTCTTCTCAAACATTTTTTTTCGCTTCACCCGTAGAGACACTCTTTTAATCCTCGATCGCTATCACTGGAATGGAAAAATCTATGATCATGACCTGTTTTTGCTAGATGTCAAAGGAAAAAAACTCAAACCACTTAATGTTCCGAAGGTCACAGATTCTGACATTGGTTTCAAGATGGTGGGTTCATGCAACGGTTTACTTTGTGTCATTCACTATTCTTTGGACCCTAACTCTACCATTTTTCTTTGGAACCCCGCCACAGAGCAAACCAAGCGGATCATGGAACCACAAAACGCTTTGCTTCCATATATGGTGCCACCACATTGTCTCATAGGCTTCTATTTCAACAAAAGTGACAGTGATTATCAAGTTCTGAGGGTTCACTCTTTTGAGAACACAAACAACGAAATGTGTTTAGGTGATTCTCTTACAAAAACTTGCGCGATTCGAGTAGAAAGGTACTCTCTTTGTAAAGGGTTGTGGAGAGAAATAAACTTTTGTGACAATCAGTGTGTAACTGTGAATGGATGTTTGTTTTGGACTGAGAACAGTGTAACATTGAGGGAAACTTTGTTTTGGGTGGCTATGGAGGTAAGTGACAAGGTTAGTAATGAATTGATAATTTCTTTCAATGCATGTCATGATATTCTCAGCAAGATTGAGTTACCCCCTTTGATTACTGATTATCTTGAAGTTTACAAGAAACTTGCAGTGTACAAGGATTTGGTTGCGGTGATTATTTGCTTGGAAACTAAAAGTATGTCACAGTGCTTAGATTTATGGGTTTTCTATGATGAGTACGAAGGTGTGGAGTGTTGGTGTAAGCTGCACACAATAGGAATGTTTTCAAGGCTAGAGCGTCCAGTGGGTATTTTGAAAAATGAGATTCTGATGTCAACAGATAAAGTGATACATAGTGATCGTGGAACCATAGCTTTTCTTCCTGAAGATGATACTGGAGTTGACTTTTTCTACAACTTGTTCAATTATGTTGAGAACTCCTTATTTGATGGAAATGTGGTTGTGGAGGAAGATGATCCGCTTGAAAGCTAAGGTTTCCCATTACTTTATTTGTTTAACTGCAACTTAAGCACCGAAGATTATGGGTGCTGAATATTGAAGAATTGAATAGGCTTTTTCTTTTTTTCCTTTAGTTTGTGTGCATTAAACATGTGAAAGGAATTGTGTTGTTAAAGCCTTTTATTTCCCCTATATTTGATGTGTATTTTTTTTCTGATTTACTTGAGTACACATGCTAAAACATGAAACTAGAACCGAAAGGCTGGAATCAAGGTAGTTTAAGTAAAAAAAATTCTCTTCTTTTAACATCTTCTCTTGTTATAGTCAAATATGAGATCAAATGACACATGGATTGTTTCACTAATATATATAGTTAGATAAACTTCTTTTGACTTAGGTGTTTTGCATACATACAAGAAAATGAGAATGAGAATTGCTGTTTCACTGTTACGAGTGTGTGCTCTTTTATAAATAACAGATATTGCTGTATGTTAGGAACATTTCCTAACAAATCAAGAGCCAAAAGCTTATAAAAAAATGACACCTAATATTATGAAGAATATATATCTAACTATATTTAAATTAGATTTTGGGAAGTTTTTAGTTATGATTTTATTTTTGAAATACAAGAGATATCTAGTAGTCTCGAAGATTTCGTGCAGCTAGAAGTGTAGAAGCAGGACATGGAATTGCGCCATCTGGATCAAATGCTGATACAATGTAACAAGCTGTTTTACCCCTAAGGATTTACCAAAGTTAGAGATCGAAATCGGGACTATTGACCAAATAAAAGTGAGAGATATTCCAGCACTAAAAGAAAGGGTAGCTACCAAGAACCACAAAGGTGTCTTTTATAGTGAAACAATGTCTTTGCGGCTTATTTCTCTATTGCAAGAAAAATAGTCATTCTTCCTTAAAAAATGTTGATAAAATTTAGATGTGAAATATGATAAGTGTGATCGATTGGAACATGTTAAACATATATTTTCTAAACATAGAAACTTGTAAGAAAAACATAGAAACTTATAAAAAATTGACATTTAATATTATCAATGTCTTCCCTCTGTCTAACAGAGTGATATCTATATTTAATCCTTACAATGAGATGAGAGAAGCACAAAATTGTCTTTGAGATGCGTAGATTGGGGTTGTCAGGTAATCTCAAAAAATCTGATGCACTTGCAAGATGCAATTCCCTATGCATTCTAAGCACTGGGATAACATGCATGGGTTCCTCACCATTTGCAAAACAACCAAGTTACATGGAACTCTTACCAATTTCACTAAGTCCAGAACAAATTTTAGATAGACATTATATATCAAAAGCACTCAAATCATTATTTGACACATAACTTTAAGGTTGTTATCATAAAAACACAACTGTTTAATCATTAAAAAAAAAAATGCAAAAGTCAGTAATGATTTGAGTGCCTAATGTATAATGTAATAATATATGATGCCTATATAATGTTTCTCCTAAATCTATCCCCAGCGAAATTGATAGGTTCATGCTGTCCTACATAATCACGTCGACCATGGATGCCATGGCCGAGGTATGATCCTTGTATGTATATGAAGCCATTAGGCTAAGAGCCAGAAATTTCTGTGGGTTTTGGAATTGAGAACATAACCTCCATTTTGGCCTTTTCTCTGTACACTAACACAGGTGCAGGAGCTGTTTTGAATCAAATACTCTGCTGTGTCTATGCCTTTCGCCCCTTTCAATGATCCTCCTGCAGGTCGCTTATTATATCTGTTGCCATGCAACAAAAATCATTAGCAACAGGGGTTATAACTTCACCATCACTTACAAAAACATTTCAATAATAGTTTAAAGAATGTTTAGCGCAGTAATAAATTCGAGCTAAATTCTATAAGTATTCAAATGAAAAGTAATCTAGTCACAAAAGGCTACCAACTTTATAAATTTCTTTCATTTCAAATCTCCTAATACCAATGCAAAACCTGTCTTTCTCTTCCTTGAGACAAAAGAATTCAAGAAATGACAAAAGTGTATAAAACATTAATAACATGCAAAGCTAGATAGACAAACACGAAAAATTATCAAGTAGTAAAATATCACTATATTTTCAATGTTCCAACCAATCTCTAGATAATATTGCATTTCGAAATTAGTAACATTTAACCATATCTTGATAACATTTTCACACCACCTAAAAAATTCTCAAGCAAAAAAGAAAGGAATTCCAAAAGAAAATTTTAGACAAAACCTGGAGACAGATGTCATAGATGTGTTTCAATCAAAAACTGAAGTTTAATCTCAGTAATAAGAGATCAAATTTATCGAAGTCGTTTAAATATTATCCAGATTATCATAGTAAAAACTTCATTCATGATTAGAAAACATAGCAACACCACATATGAAACAATACTCATAACACTATATCTGAATCGTATGGTAAAACTAAATGATAGGTACGTTGAATGAGCATAGCATGTCTATGGTTTACGAACCCTAATATTGCAGAAGAAATACTGCGTTTCTGGCCGATAACTATGACATCCACCCCATAGGATTTGCTGAGGGAAAGAATGGTGGAGGCTCTGTCTTTTCCATCCATCTCAACCCTCACCGCACGAACTTTCATTTTCGGCTGAGAAGCCCTGCACGCGTGCTTCATCTCCTCCAGAAAATCAATACCTTCTCCATCAGCCGCAGCACCCCCTCCGCCAAGGTCAAGGGACGCAGTGGTGGAGCTTCCCAACGAAGGCATCTTAAGGAACGTCGAAATAGTGTTACGCCACGTGCTAGGGTTCTCAACGTGCAGAAGAATCAACTCATCTTGCTCGACCACCGCATGCGACAGCGCGTACTGCAACGCGCCCGCTGACTCCCGTGTGGGGTCCGCTACCACCATGACCTTCCGCGCCTCTGCGCCCGCGCTCCGGTTACTCGCCATGCCTTGCGCCATTCCTCGGGTCGCCGCCGCCGCCGCCGTCAGCCGAAACTCCGAGAGGGGTCAAGAGAAGAAAAATGTATGTCCGAAGTGAAATGTGATGAAAATATTGATGGTGATAATATGAGAGGCTCATTTTTTTGTGATGGTGGGAGTGCATAGGAACAGCTACCATCATTGTTAGCTTCCATTTTTGTGCTTTTTTTGTTCTCTCACACTATCTTTAGGTTCCTCCTCTTCTCTCCTTCTGACTCGGTCAATTCCTTTACTTTTTTTATATATTTTTTTCCTCTGTTTTCATTTTCCACTCTAAATATTAAATGCTATATTTTATGATTTATTATACTATTCTTTTAGTTGAAAATGTTAAATTCTTATTTTTATTTTTTAACAACAGTTCTTACAGTGATATCACGTCAGAAAACTTCAATAATAAAATAAAAAACTTACACATGAATTCTTAATTACAAAACTAACTCGAAAAACTTGCAGTAAATATGATCTCAGATAAATTTATTTACAATTTAAAAAAAAAAGACTTTTAATAAAATAAGTGTATTTTTATTTATTTTATGTGTTTGTTTGTATTTACCTTTTTTTTAGAATAAATAGTTTTCTACTATATATATATAGTATTAAATAAGTTTTTTTTTCAATATTTGTTTATTTTAATATAGCTATTTAAGTTTAGGAAAACGATTATTTGACAACTGAAAACAAACATCCGTTCGATAACCGGGGTTAAAAAGAAATTAATTAAAAATAAGGGTTTGATTAGTAAAATTGTAGAGGGGTAGAGATGTAATATTGTAAAAATGGGGGATGTTATTGTAAAAAGTGAAAGATACGTTTGAAGAAAGCTTTTCACATTCGCGCTCTTCCTCGCTGGACTTCTTCTCCCTCGACTTAGGGTAAAATTTCTCCATCTCGCTCTTCACGGCGCTCGACTTCCGTTGCTTGGCTTCGTCCGTGTCGTTGGAGCTCGAACATCACTGTGTGTTGCTTGAGCGACCCTGCGGTGGTGAGTGTTCGTTTAACAACATTTGCTTGATTTTGTGTGTATTTTTTATTGGGTTTCCATTGTTTTCTTTTCTGTTTATCTTTGATTGGGTTTGTAATGAAGGTGTTTTTCACGGTTTAGGGTTTATTGAGTTGTGATGCTATATTAATGTTGAACAAGTGTTTGATGAAATGCTATAATGAAGAATTGTATTTGCGCATTCTTGCTTTGTTTTCTGTTTATCTTTGATTGGGTTTGTAATGAAAGTATTCTGGCATTATAGTGATGTTTCATTATAATCCTCAGTCTCTTTGACACTCTTTTTCTTTTGTCGGTGCCAGGCTGAGGACAAAGGCAAGAGGTCATGCTCTTCATCAGGTCATATGTCAACCCTGTTGGTGCAGTGCCACCAGAAAGAAAAGACAGGATGCAATTATGTAGTGTCTTGTGTACAACGAAATGGTGGAACAATTTGTTAACATGAAATTGAAGGATTGTAATAATGAATGACTTGTGAATTTTAATTGTTGTAGACATATAAACATCAATGTACATTTGACATTATATATTCACAGAATTATATTCACAGAATTTGACAGAATTATAGAAAACAATTCAAAATTTGACAAATTAATCTAACAAATTATCAGGTTTTTGTGCAAAAAAATATTACATGACTCTCTGCTACATCCAAACACACCAATTGAAAAATATTCATGCCAAATTAACAGTTTAATCTACTTCATACACAAATATTCACACCAATTGAAGGTTTTGTCGCTTAAGCAATGGTTTCGTTTGGTAAAGGTTCAACTGTCGCTCAAGCGATTATATAGTCGCTTGAGCGCGAGGCGACCTAAGATAGCGGTTATTTAGAACCGCTTTTAAAAATATATATTAGATAGTGGTTGGCAACATAACCGCTATAATAAATGTAGTTCAGATAGCGGTTGGCCAAACAACCGCTATCTAAAGTCATTTATGTCAAACTGATCGATTATAATTGGATAATAATCGATCATAATGTATAGTTCAGATAGCGGTTGACCAAGTAACCGCTATCTAAAGGCATATACGTAAAACTGATCGATTATAATTGGATAATAATCGATCATAATGCATAGTTTAGATAGCGGTTGTCCAAATAACCGCTATGTAAAGTCATATATGTCAATCTGATCGATTATAATTGGATAATAATCGATCATAATGTATAGTTCAGATAGCGGTTGGCCAAATAACCGCTATCTAAATGAGGGGGGGTGTGTGTTCTTCTTTAAAAGTTTTTCGCAAATAACAGATTATCTAATATCACCGGTGTTTTATACTGGTTCACCCAATACCAGGGCTACGTCCACCAAATTCCAACTGGGTTCCACTAGATCAAATGTTTTACAGATTTACAATCTTACACTTAATCTACCACAAGAACCAAATTCCAGTTCTTGATAACCTCTACAACCAAATTCCAACTGCAGAGAACCCAGTGCCCAAATTCCAGGCACCAACACCTAACCTTTTACCAAGAACCAAATTCCAGGCACCAAACAATACAAAAAGAATGTAAAGAAATGAAAAAGAAGAAACTAGAATGCTCAAACCAGTTTATGCAATTCTGCTGTAAGTGTTTCTTCTTCAAAAGAAAACAAGTTGCCTCAAGAAAGATTTTCAAAGAACTTCTCAAAAACTGATGCGAATCTTTCTTGAAAAGAGTGCTGAAGTTTGCTTTATTGATTGCTCAAGGATGTGTAAAAGATGATATTCAATGTGTGTTTAAAAAGTTCAAGCAACTCTGTTTTTATAGAACATTTTCACAACTGCTGGTTTAATTAATCTGTTAAAAGATTCTTTTAATCTGTTAAAAGTGCAGTTTTAATCTGTTAAAACTTCTTTTAATCCATTAATACGTTCTTGATTCTTTAACAGATTTGTTTTAACTGATATGACAACGTTTGTATCAATTAAAACACTTTACAAAAAAATCTTCTAAGTTGATTTAATCGATTGTTTCGTGATTCAATCGATTGAAATACTGCAAAACTTTCTTGTAAAACTTCTCAAGTTATTTTAACTGATAAAAATAAGTTTTAATCGATTAAAAAGCTGTGAAGAAATTTTTCTAAGTTATTAGGTTAACTTTTCGCTCAAGCGATTACACGGTCACTTGAGCGGGACAGAACCCGATAGTCTCCCTTGTTTGAAGGCTTCGTCGCTCAAGCGATGATTTTGTCGCTTGCGCGAGTTTAGACCCAATGACGAAACGTCAAACGCAGTTAGCCAAATAATTTAAGTTGGTTCACCACATATTATACTCACCTTTCGCTCAAGCGATTACAAGGTCGCTTGAGCGGGACAGAACCCGAGAGTCTTCCTTGTTTGAAGACTTCGTCGCTCAAGCGATTAGTTTGTCGCTTGCGCGAGTTTTGACCCAATGACGAAACGTTAAACGCAGTTAGCCAAATAATTTAAGTTGGTTCACCACATATTAGACTCACTTTTCGCTCAAGCGTTCAAACGTCGCTTGAGCGATATAGAACCCGAGTGTCCCTATTGGTTAAGGTTCCATCGCTCAAGCGATGTCATCCTCGCTTGAGCGACTGGTGAACCACTGATGAAACGTCCTACGCAGTTAGCCATCTAATAAATCTTGGTTCACCACATATAAGATTCAGCTGTCGCTCAAGCGATAACCTAGTCGCTTGAGCGCCTCTGAACGCGACCTTAGATAGCGGTTGATCAGAACCGCTTTTAAAAACATATGTTAGATAGCGGTTAAGTTTAAACCGCTGTCTAAGCAATGTTAATAATCGAGTATAACCTAAAGTAATCGATCATATTATCTCATTTTTCTAATATCGCTCAAGCGGTGTCATCCTCGCTTGAGCGACTGGTAAACCACAGACGAAACGTTCTACACAGTTAGCCATCTAATAAATCTTGGTTCACCACATATAATATTCAACTGTCGCTCAAGCGATTACTTAGTCGCTTGAGCGAATCTGACTGAGAGTCACGAAGCGACCTTAGATAGCGGTTGATAAGAACCGCTTTTAACAAAATATATTAGATAGCGGTAAAAACTAAACCGCTGTCTAATGTATGTTAATGATCGATTATAACCTAAAATAATCGATCATATGATCTCATTTTTCTACATAGTCGCGTGACCTTAGATAGCGGTTGTTAAGAACCGCTTTTAAAAATATATATTAGATAGCGGTTAACAGTAAACCGCTGTCTAACGTATGTTAATGATCGATTAGAACCTAAAATAATCGATCATATTATCTTATTTTTCTAATATCGCTCAAGCGAAATTCACATCGCTTGAGCGACGCCACCTCCTAGGAATGGGGATTCTCGGGTTGTGTTTCGCTTGAGCGAAAATAATCTCGCTCGAGCGACGCCACCTCCTAAGAATGGGGTCACCCATGTTACATTATGCGGCTAACTTTGATCGACGTTTAGCCCAAGGTCAACATTCGCTCAAGCGAAATTTACATCGCTCGAGCGACATCTGGTTCAAACATGATATTTGTCACTTTTAAGAGTTGTAGACATATAAACATTATGTGGTTAATTATGATAGACATTTAGTCATGTTTTACTATTGGCTTAACCATATATCTGCTGACCACCTCAACTTTATGTGCTTAACTGAACATGACATTTTTGTGTTAATTAGGTGCTAAATTTGTATAGCCCACATTATATGCTTAACCACTTGACTATATATCATTAAATGCACATAAACATACATGATCAGTCGAACAACACATCGGAGGAAGATACAATGCTATCACTATGAGATAAAAAGTATGTACAATATAACATTATCACAGGCCACAAAAATTACATCATAAAGGTCTGCATCAAATATAAATTACAATTACAACAAAACCTAACAAAATAATTCATCTACACAACACTTATGTCGCCTTTTTTCTTTTCCTTGAATTAGTCGTCCATGGTGTTTTGACCATAAAACTTTTATACCTTATTCTTGGATGACCTTTAAGTCGCGTATACATATTTGACCCTTCACAATGCAACTTTGATTCTTCGTTGCTTCAACATGATGCTTCATCTCTTTAATACTACTACCTTCAAATACTTGGAGAAAAGTACATCCCACATGATGGAGGATTTACTTCTTCGTTGATAGTTTTGCTTCATCTAACAATTCGTGTAATTGTGTTACATCTTCCTCTAGTTTTTCAATTGTTGATTCCTGTTGTTTGGTTACTGCGATCAACATTTGATTCTCAAGCAATAATTCCACACAACATATTAGTCAAATTTTTCACTTCTTCAGATGCATAAGTGGTATGTCCTAATGCTTCTTTCACTATATCATGAGCAAGCTCTTCATTTCTGACGCACAAGTCATGAATAACCTATGAGTAACAAACAATGTTAAATTGAAATCACATTTTGACATATGGTAAAGTAATATTGCAAACAAGTTCTACTAAATTTTTAATGAACTAACCCTATTATGATTAAACGCAACTACAATCTTGCTTTCCCCAATTACAACAGAGGTCCATTGTAAAAATCTCGGAAATCGACTTATCTCATTACATGATTTGGTATTATAAAATACATGCTCCATAACCCATACCCGAATTCATATAAACAAAATGCACAATATCAAATCAGCTGACTATATTGAAAGTATTCTAACAAAACATATATCGTAATTTAAGATTTACTCGTAACAAAAACACACATCCTAGTACACGGAAGTGTGAACAATTTCTTCGTTTCTTCAAATAAATCGATGCTTCACATAAACTTCCAACCAGATATTCATACACTCGCTTTTCCCCAATTATACTTTCCAAGACAAGATATATTATCTAATAACTTAAAAAATCCACAATGTGCGATACCTACTTTATTAGGGAATAAAAACTCGACAAACCTAAAAGTATGTACAACCTACAAAAGTCATCCACATCCTTATCATTTTGACGTTTAACAAGTTCATTAAAAATCATTTCCAAAGTAACATGTTTCCCAGTAAATAGTCTCCTAGTATGACAATCAATGTTTCCTTCTACAATGTTGACATTTTCGCCTACTACACGAAGTCCTAAACCTAAACACACATCTAATAGTGTAAAGCATACTATCTCGAGACCTTATATTAAATCCTCCTCTCTTTTCAACCCATCTACTTATTAATTCACTAAGCAATGTTCTACTAATTTTGACCTTTCTACCCAATGACATCAACCATTTAAATGGTGTTGCCTCAATACGACTTCTTTGCTCTGTAGTAAGAATGTTATTCACTTCACCCAAATAATTAGTCCTGCAAACATGTCGCAAATATACCTGAAAATCACATTAAATAATTATAATTATCATCAACAATATCCTATATTATATAAATGGATACAACATTCACCTTCTTAACATTTGAAGATCCATCGTCTACGCTTTCCATTTCAAACTGCAAATACATGTAACCCTATTTAATTTGAGTTCATAGTATAACATTTATTTACTGTCATGACGTTTACTACAGGTCGAGCACATTCATACAAGTATTTCATGACAACAATCTGAGTATCATCTAATAATGAATATCATAAAAGTTATGTCAAAGCATATACTCATTTTCATTACTAAGGGTCAATAACATGCAGTAAGAAAACACAATTTCAGATAACAATGTAGACAAACTCTAAACCCTAAAAATATATAATGCACTAACTCCCAATAAGCGCGTCCTACAACAACAATGGCGAATGGAGACTGGAACGCGAACTTGGCGACACACAAATATATTACAATGTAATATGCTTCAATGTGAGCAAGAGAATCAGAAAGATTGAAAATACAAAGAACGTACCTTTAGCTTAATAGAAGACGCAGACAGCGAGAATGAGAGCGCAGAGAGCGAGAATGAGAGCGCAGAGAGCGGCAAAAAAAACGCAGACAGAAAGAGTGCGAGGTTGAAGAAAGTTAGGGTTTAAAAAAAATATGACTTTAGATAGCGGTTCACTCGTAACCGCTCTTTAAAAGTATGACATAAGATAGCGGTTACTTCTGAACCGCTAATAAAACATACTTTAGTGAGCGGTTTTTATTAACCGCTATCTAAAGTGGAGTCGCTCAAGCGAAATTTATATCGCTCGAGCGACGCTACCTGCCACAACACTACGCATTTAATATTTTTTTATTCGGTAACACTGTGCATTTAATATTTTTTTATTGGGTTGTCAAACGGATGTTTAAAATCGGTTGTCAAAATATCAGTACTCTTAAGTTTAACCAAACTGGTTTATTACATAATTTTAAAATTAATTAAGGAATTCCGATGTTAACAAAGTAATCTTATTATTATTCTATTGAGGTTGGTGACACACTGTCGAATATTTTTCTCTTGAATTATCTTCATTGTTAAGAATGAGACTTTACTTTTATTGGTCAGAACGATGACATCCCTATAGTTAGACTGGGGTGAGGTATCCTTGCGGTTCAAAAGGAGAAACTAAAAATTGCATTAGCAAGATCAGGGGTGGGATATATAAGTCATAACAATGGTGGCAAACCCCAACAATCATTGATGCAATCGAAAATGGTATTTCAAATTCAGTACTGCGTTTGTGATATGAATGACACATGCACATTAGTCATGCAAGAAAATTGGTGCATTAGAATTTGTTTGTCTTTTAGAAAAAAAAAAAAAAAAAAAAGGTATTCAATTCAACTACTATTTTACTAATCATATCATATGCTTCGCTTCGTTTAATTTTGAATTTACACATGATCAAATTAAATTATATACGAAAAAAATAATCATTAAAGATAAATTGTATACTTGAATATTTAACATTAGTAATTATACTTTCACTCTCCCTTTTACCTAAATTCATGATTTTTAAAGTCAGATTCTTCGTCAAACTGGAAAACATAAATTTAGAGTTCAATTAATAATTAAATCGGAATTAAACCAAATTTAATAAAATAACATATTTAATAATATAATAATATACTAAATTCAAAATAAATTTATCACATCATAATAAAAATTTCAATATAATATAAATGTTATTTATTAAAAAAATATTATATAATAATAAAAATAATTTATAAAATACATTAATAAAAAATAACATAAATAAACATATTATCAAACATTTAAAACACAAAATAATTAACTTAAAAATAATTAAAAAAATCATGACTAATTTAAATAATTAAAGAAAAAAACTACACTCAACTCTTTAAAATAATTAAAAGAAAATTATATTATATATAATTTCAAAATTTATACATTTTATTTTATTTCATCTAACTTCAGAATTTATGATTATAGATTTCAAAGATAACTCACTCACTAAAACACTATTCACTCATCAATATTAATTTTATTCTTAATATCCAATTTTAAAAATTATTACAATTTTAAAAAACTCTAATTTTAAAATATCTTAAATTTAGTTTCATAAAATATATACTAAAAATTCTTCAAAAAATATTATTTATTTACGATATCACATTTTTAAAAATATTTTATCAAATTAATTTTTAAAATAAAAAATTATGATTCCTACGTATTATATTTCTACCAAATTTTTTAATAATAATAAAACACAGCGACAAGGGTGAAACAGAAAAAGATAATTAAAAATAATGGAAGAGAGTTACAAGAATAAAATTTTGCAACAAAAAAATAATACTACCATCAAAACTCAACTTTATCTCTTCATATTTATGTCTCTATTAAGATAAAATAAAACAAAAACAAATCAACATCATTTAACCCTTTAAAAACAAGAAATCAGGTTATCCGTCCAATTTCACCGTTTATCTAACTTTAAACTGATTTATCCAAATTTTGATTGTCGTCCGATTTTTAGAAAGCTCTAGATCAATTATGGTCCTGCTTGATAACCATGCCTAAATCATATAAATGAAGAAAAACAGTTATACAAAGTGACACTGAGACCGAGGAGAGTATGTATTAAACGGACATAGAAAAGGGGGTGAAGTGAGGTAGCATCCAAGAAACTTTCCACTATAAGCAGACGAGAAGAATGTTGGAAAAAAGGGTACTACACGTTGTACACCATATTAGCACACTTGATTAATACCTAAGTTAAAGATGAGGAGCATAATTATATATATTTATATAGAATACAACTTCGCACAGGGTGGCGGCCATATACGGTCTCTTCTCTTGGGACCAAATAATGGTACATTTAAAGCCTGTGACCGGTCACTTTAAAACTCACATCAAGACCCTTAATAAAAACCGGGAGGTGAATAGGAAGGAAGGAGGAAGGGAGGAGGGATTAGTAGCTGTTTTGCCATATTTGTTGGGTCTGCTTAGGTGGTTGGCTTTGAGAACCAGCAAGGGATGCTTCCCTAGGATTCTGCTGCTGATGTTCCAGAGATATCCCACTCTGAGAGTGGTAGAAATTAGGGTAACCAAGAGATCCAAAGTGCTGAGAAGGCTGCTGTTGACTTTGCCGAAATCCCCCCGTTTGTTGATTCTGTCCCTGGAAGCTGTAGTACGTGCTCGGAGGAACTGCAGACATTGTTCGAGAGCTAGGTCCATGAACCCACATGGGAGAATTCTCATTCTGACACAACCAAACACAAACTCAGCACACGTCCCTTCTTTAATATAACCAACCATAAATATTACCCACATCGAACACATCATAAACCTTTTATTTACATGACTTTAAAAGGACCATGATTTGTCACAAGCATAAAAATACTACCTCTGTTCCTCAATAACTGCAATTTAAGTAAGGACAAATAAATATAATACATTTAAAAAAAACAATTTAACTGACATTATCTCACTTTTTCCATAAATACATCATTACTTTTGAATAAGAAAGAAAAAGTAATTGATTTGAGGACATACTGGAAGGATAAAAATGCTTTATTGGAACACGAGAACATCAATCATTTGGGAACTTTTTATCTAGCCAAAAATTAAGTTCATTTTGGAATGAAGGTACTATAAAAATTAACAAATAACTCCACTTTGTTTAGGTTGAACTATTAACACTAAATAGGCTCAACTCCCTAGACATTGTACATGGAAAACAAAAGCAGTTAAATGTGCAGTAAAATGAACATCTCTCTACCTGCTGTAATGAGATCATATGATTGTTGTCCTTGTACTGAGAGTTTATAACATCATCATATCCAATGGTTGTACTAGTAGGCGCAGCAGGTGGATTCAATGGATAATTTCCTCCAGGAATGCTGGTGGAACTTCCAAAACCATATCCAGATGCAACAGCAGCAGACTGAGGTAAGCTACTGACAGAAATGCTATTTTTATATTGAGGAAGCATGGCGGCCAAAGATTGGTGGTATGTGTTATTTCCAGCAAATGCCTGCTGAAAAGCTGAAGGCATGTAGGTATAACTCTGAGGCAAGAATGGATAGCTAATCATATTAGTAAAATGTCCCAGTGGAAGCGTAGGCTGTGAATAGGGATGCAGAGCAAGGTGTTGTTGCGGAAGTGCAGGTCCAGTGGCAACATTGGCACCAGGTAAAGCTTGCGGATTAGGTTGCGGAGTTGAAATGTTATTAGCCCTTAGAGCCTACAAGTTGACAAATAATATCAATGACACTGAATACCATGTTCTACCTCATCATAGAAAAATATAAAATTGATATGCAAATCCAGATAAAAATGTTAAACTGAAATTGTAACTGTTGGCAAACAATGTCAATATAAATTGCACACATGACCTGGGATTATTTGAGATTTAATATGATAAATCCTGTGTTCGCTTTCACTCATGCAATGCACAGATACTTGTTCAAATCCATATTCAATACTGATACTAATACATCCATATTTGTGTTTTTAGACTATCCCCTGTTTTCTAAAATCCAGCACCCTCAAAGTACTAGTCAAACTCAAAAGTATTACACTTCATTCGGACTGGGCAGTGGGAAAACCATCAACTTAGGTTAGAATAGGATAATCACCATGTTCATAAATTTAATTTTATAATTTTACATGTATAAACATATTTTTATTAAATGTATAGTCTCACCAGGATTTTCATTTTCTGAAATTATAGAACTCCAGTGCCTTCCAAAAGGAAAAATCCATATACAATGAATAATCCATAAATTATCCACCCACATTTTTATGAGAATACCAAACTGATTAGTAACACAATGAATGGATCTGTTTAGTAGTATAATAATTACCAAGCAGGAAGTAATTTTTAGGCATAATATATACATAGAATCACTCAAGATTTATCACTGGTAGATTAGCAGGTGCACAAATACTCAAGATTAAATCAAACACAATATAGACAGAGAATACCACCGATGCAGGGACACAAGCATAAAAATCCAAAATGCCTTTTCTCAGCTAATATATCCTCTCTTCATTTGCTAATTAAGTAGTTAATATAAACATCATGATTTCAAACATAGAAAACAGTGATTAGACATACATGTGACTCAAACCAAAACATGCAAAGTGATTTCTTGACAAAAGTGATTTAACCAATATATCATCTGATTTGTTTTGCTCTTAATGTAGGTCAGGTCTTTAACAGAACAGTTTGTATGCAATATACAAAAATAGCACCAACATATTCTTGTGCTTACTATTTACCAGAATATCAGCATATCCACAAATATAATAAACATGCAAGCTCTATTACATATTCTCTTTGACTAAGAATAATCAAACACCGTACGCTGTAATCCTTGATTTATTTAGGATTCAAGCTGTCTCAAATGCTATAGAAAAACTAAAATAAGATAGAGCAGGAGTTCACCTCTGACATGTTTATAGCGGGACCACCAATTGAAGAAGCAATGTTGCTATATTTCACAGGCATTGATTGTGTTGCAGGGAAGGGTGAGTATGGGATATCCTCCCTTGCTGTTTGAACAGTTGACGCTAACAGAGCACTGGGCAAAGAATTGGTGTAAGCCTGCTAGGAAACAGCACTATAAGTTTGGTGCAAATAGCAGAATAGCTAGATAATATTAAAACAAGAATACAGACGAAACTACAGTACTACAAATTATTACTAATTATAACAGTAAAGAAACAAATGGCCCTACATATTATTATATGTCACTGTAGTAAGAAGTTGTCACACAAATTTGCTTATTAAAGCAACTGAGCATTGAAATTCACTCATCCCAATATAGAAATCATACAGCATACCAGCAATAAGGATGAAATATCAAAAGGGGGCATTTCTATCCTCATCCTCAAATCTATCATAATAAATACTTAAAATTGGCCATTCAAAGTGCACTTTTTAAAGTACCCCGAGTTCTTTTATTTGGAGAGAATAAGCTAGATTTATTCTCCAAGAAATGAATAGTGGCACAGCACTGAGTATCCCCAGGGTTACACACCACAAGATCCTTGTTAGGACACTGCGTTAGGGCCAAAGCTCAACAACCCAGCTATATTGGAGAATTAAAGTGCTGCAAATGTGACAGGTAGTTAGGATGTGTGATGGTTATAGGAAGAGGGAGAATGCATGTAATCATCATTCAATATCTTTTCCATTGTAGTTAATATTGCACAATACACAATATGATGCTCGCGTGGTGATGCAAATCATGATGAGCATCTTTTTTTCATCAGAATTGTTCAGTGTATTGTCTGAATAACAATCTCCATACAAATCACACAATTCTAGCATTGTGTCACAGGCTTCAACACAAATGCAATGGCAAGGCCACCATGTAATAAAGTCTGTGATAAAGGCAATCGTAGTAACCTTGTGTGTAATAGGTTGTGTGGCATCACAATCAAGTTTTCTGACATGTTGCGATGGCAAATCCAGCAACTAGGTCGAGGATATAAGGGGGCATATAAGTTCATCATCCAGGAAGAAAGAAAAGGAACAAAAACCAGGTCGATTTTTTAAAACACCTCCTTTGTTTTTTATTTTGTTTATTGGTTTCAATTAAAAACTAGAAGGACCAATAGATATCTCAGAGTTACGTTAATAAATATTTTTCAGACAGAACAACCAGTTCAAGAAGGGGACGAAGAAGGAAGCACTGAAGGAGAACTCTACAAAATAGGATTATTTTCCAAGCTAATGGACCAAAGCACAATCAGGCTTCAGTAAACAGATGAATATAAGGAAGTTCGTCAAATCAGCTCTGTTTTGAATATAATTTGCCAAGACCCATCCCAAGGAACAAAAGGAATAAAAGTAGCCAATATCTTATTATTTCAGCAGCTAGCAAATTTTGGGCTTAATGAACCAAGCCCAAGTAAAATCAAGAAGACACAGTGATAGAACTTTGGGCACAAACCCCTGTTTTGACCACACTTAATGAATCTTTATCTTTCAAGGAAAACAACTAGCAAGCAATGATTTGGAGGCAACGACTTCATGTAACATTTCTTGTTTTTCCAATAATATTGTTGTGCAATTCTATTGAATCTAGTTCCTAACAAAATCATTTGAGAACCAACTCTATTGTATATTGCAAATCAAAATATCTAAGAATTCTATGCATTACCATTACACTAGAGAAAGGAGACAGGTTCTGTATCTGTGAGCTTGTCTGTGAATGAGGGTATGTAACATCTAGTTGTTGGGTATTTTCGTAAGTAAACTCATGTGAAGAAGAAGGAAATGAATATTGATTTTCCTGAGCAGTTTCAGGGGGTTCAGATTTTAAAGTCTCTGATTGTGAAATGGAGGAATGTTCGTAAGTCACAGCATCCACACCAGTTATGTGAGCTAAATTCCCATCCGAGGCACCAGTAAGATGCTCATCTCCATAATAGTCCGGATTTCTGCAAGAAAAAAAACACACATAAGTAAGATGCTCATCCCCATAATGACCAGAATATTGCAGCAACTATGCTGATATCTAAGCACATGCCTAATATCTGAGGACCCAATTGTTGAAACCTCAGTTGCTCCAGATGTATCCTCCAAGTTACTTTTCAAGGGCCTAGATGGATATGGGCCAGATCCAGAAAGGGCAGCATTGTTTGCAGATCCAAAACTTCCAAAGCTCAGATTTAAGCATTCAGGGGTATGGAGTTGTAAATGATTAGGAATTACTACAGATGAATTTTCTTCCTCTTGTTCTGTTCCGTGATCATTTGAGTGTAAATTTAGCTGCTCTAAATTTGCAGCAACTGATGAAACACCACCTTCAGCTGAAAGGAAGATGTTAGAAGTTAGGACTTATTCATAGGCACATGTCTGGTATGATTACAAACTTCAAATATTAGTATTAAAATAACAATATAAACCATTAAAGATCATACACATACACATGACTATACAGGTATTACAATAACACCTTTTAAACCATTTGCATGTATAAAGGATAGACCAAAATAAAATAATGACAAAAACAATAATCAACACATCGGATTGAATTGCTAAAAGGACATTACAATTATATCAATTGTGGATTGTGGAAAATGACAGAAAGCCCATTATCCACAATACCATATAACAGATATTGTCATGAACAAAACCAGAAGTAGCATAATATTTTAAATATATGATATAAATAATGATACGAATAAAAGGTTATGTTGTATGCAAATAAATATAGGTTAGCATAATATCATGTCAAAAGTACAATGAGCTGGAGGACTCATGAGAGACGACAAGAGGATGTAGGAGACATGCTGCAACCACGACATCAATGGCAGGCATGAGCAGATGGAAGGGCAATTGCAATAATAAGAAATTTTACAATACAATTGTCATACAGCCACTATTTAACAACACTGATTACAATATTCTCTCATTATCCTATTTATATGACTTCGATGATTCCAGCCAAATCTAGCAACAGCAGGTGTAATTTTAAGAACAATTACCAAATACATGGAAAAAGGGAGATGTAAACATGAAAAATGAGCAATTTCAAAGCAAATTTATATGGAAGTATGGGTACCAACTCTAATTCCATGATAACTGCGACCCGTTTTGCACTAACTTTTTCAATAAGCAACCATAGGAGAAGAAAATAAAAGATAAAATAAAACATAATTCTTCCACAAGTTTAAAACAACACCTCACCTTGTTTAGAAGCTCTTTGATATAATTTCACTTATCCAACTACTAAGGTGCATAATTTAAATTTTACTTACGGGAAAATTTTGATTTATTTTACCACCCAAAATCTTCTACAAGTGTTTATCATGAAGTCTATCCACAGAGTCTAAACAAATTATGTAAAAAAGTATATGTTAAATATAAATAGAGATACAAGACATCCAACAAATAAGCATCCTAGTCACCTTCATTATTTTCAAAAGAATGCCGATGAGGTTGGTAGGGATTTATGTCATTGTACAGGCTACCGTCTAAAGCAGATGTACTTTCAGGATTCTCTTCAGATGTACTTTTAGTAGACCCAGCATTTTCTGGATTCGCAACAGGATCATCTTCAGCTACAAGTTCATTTACATGGGTCTTCAACTGCTGGTTAGCTTCAGCAGAGTTAGATGAGTTTGTATGGTACTCAGATGTGGGATGATCATCTACAACTGAGGATACACAAACAGCTGATTGGTGCTCAATAGACGGCCATTCATCATTCTGCTCAACATGGGAGTTAAAAGCAAAGACTTGATCATTATTTGTCTCTGACACCTTAGAAACATGACCTTGCAATGAATGCAAATTGTGCTGTGAAGCTGCTGGGGGTGCAAAAACATTTTGATGGTTACCACTGTGGAGAGAAGAGTTGGGCATGGATGTCTTCGCCTGTGGCCTACCCATCCTGACAATGTCAGCCATTGATACTTGACCTGGGTTCACCGCCCATGCAGATTGCAATCCACCATGTTGTGATGGAGATAGCGCATCACAGACACGGACAGAATCACTGCAACAGTTTTGAACATTCAGTACCCATGCACTTACACAAGAAAATTTGTTTTGGAAAAAAAAAAAACAGATGAGTAAACATTAACTTTGTTCCTATCAACATATATGCAATATCGTGTTGGTCCTTAAATGATATCTACTGCCATCAAATTCATCCTCCAAAAGCCAATTTGATGTTACATATATCATTGGAGGACAAAGTTAAATTTAATTATAAATAAATAGAGGACATTATAATAAATATAATGTCATCAAATATCGTGTTGGTCCTTAAATGATATCTACTGCCATCAAATTCATCCTCCAAAAGCCAATTTGATGTTACATATATCATTGGAGGACAAAGTTAAATTTAATTATAAATAAATAGAGGACATTATAATAAATATATAAATAGGGTACATTGTAATCAATTTAGAGTCTTGTATATCTTTGGAAAACAAAAAAGGACATTTATTTGCTCTGTTATAAAGTACCTAAGTACCTGCCACAAGAATCCAGTGAACAATGGTACAGAATGGATCAACTTTTTGATGAAAGAATAAAAGCGAATCTACACTGCTTGCAAAAGTTGGATGCTTTAACAGCCAACTTGCTTTTTAAAAAAACAGGAGGAACCATAACAAATACCACATAGTACATGAATAAAATTAAACTCCAAGTTTAACACAAGTGGCCAGATCTATTTCTCTTAATAATAACCAGACATAACTTGCAAACAGATCATAACCACACGAATCTCCTTAGTTCTACTCCAATAGTGAACAAAGTTGTTGAAGGAAAATATACCTGTAGGATGGTAGTTGCCTGTTTGCATTATTGTCCAATGTGCCATATGCGGAAAAGGTAGAACCTCCATAAGCAGGCGCTCCATTTTCCTTTTTCAACAAAGGTTTCCCCTGCAGGAGACCAGATTCTGACCTCCAAACAAAGGTGATAATGATGCCAACCACAAAACAACAATAATAGATACTGAAGAAAAAATTAAAAGCAACATCATAAAACTAAAAGCGTTACAAAAAATAGCAACCAGTATCAGCTTACCACCACTACTACTGAATTGAGTAGCACCTCCACGCCCAACATAGCGGTCCGCGCCAACCCTAGCACCACCGCCGCTGCCACGACTAGACGTATTGCTTATCCCTCGAGGCCTGGAATCCGTTGTGTCCTTAGTCTGAAAATCAAACAGCAAAAATATCATCAGAAGCAAATACATAACAAAAGTATCAACTAACTCCTCGTAACACACATCTAGAAAACAAATCAATCGAAAATGAACTGAACGTAACTGGAAACACACCTCTTTTTTCTTCTCTCGCTTGCTCTTGACCTCATGAAAAGGATCTACACAAAGAGAATGAAGTCACATAAGATATTAGGCATAAGATTAGGTACGTGCGAAGAAAGGGGAAATGAATTGAAAAACCCTAGTATAGTGTTATACCTTGGGAAAGGAGGCGACTAACGGCTTCGTTAGGGTCCATGTTACAGTCTTTGAGGGTGGCGTAGATCTCGTGTTCGGGGATGTTGCTCACTATCTCCTTCAGGCTCTGAACCATCTTCCGACTAGCCGGAGGAATCCCTGCCTTGTGGCCCCCGCCGCCTTTGCCGCTCATCCTCCTAGCTCTCGCTCCGATCCGCCACCGCCCCCGCAGCTCTCGCTAGGGTTCCGCCGCGATAAAAATCTCTCTGTTCGCTGTCTCTCTCTCACTCACTCTCTCTCTCTCTCTTTCTATCGATGATTTGCACCCGAACGGAAAAAGGACGAAGCCTAACAAAACCCTCCTTTTTCACTCTTCCAAGTTTTTCCTTTTTCCCTTTTTTTTTTTTTTGGGAAATTACCATTAATCCATTTCTGAAAACTGTGTTATGTAAATTAGGGATTTGCTTTTGCTTTTAACAATGATTAATCTTTTCAGATGTATTTTTAGAAGAGTGATGACAGAATTTATTCGAATTAATAATTGGATCATTTAATATGAAAGAATTTACATAGAAGTTATACTAAAAATAATAATTAACATAACATATTCATTTTTATTTGCACTGTTTTTTTTTTCATTTCTTCCATCAAAAATTGACTTCAGTTTTACTCTATAGTTTTCTTTTCTTTATAAATTTTAATCAAATATTAAATTTTCATTTCTATTTTTTAAGATAAATTACATATAAGCAAATTACAAATACTACATCTTTTATTAAGAAAACAATTTTATTTTAATATTATAATTTACAAGTATAAAACAATAGAAAAAAATTATATAATGACTAAAATTCATTCAAAGCTTAACAACCTAATTAAGGTTTGTTTTTAATAATTTGTGAATACATGACAATATAATAAATAAAAGATATTTAAGTATTCAATATTTTAGTTTTAAAAAAAATCAAAACTATTTTTTTATTATTTTTCCAACTTACCCAATAAACATAAATCAAATCTCAATACTTAATTAAAAATAAATAGGTTTAATTTAAATACCAAAAAGATAAACGTAAATAAATGCACATATTTTATCATCCAAGAAAATAATAATAATAATAAAAGTTGAACGCAAACAACTAATCACTCAATAAAACAATAACCATTCACGCAACACATGTTAACTATCATGAACAAAAAACTTTATATAAAAAATAACTAAGATAAATCTAATCTTAAAATTAAAAAATTATGATTCAAAACTGTTCAATTTAGAATTTGTATTTTTATTGTGATAAATGATAATTATTAACTTTATTTTTAATATGATGTTATATTTTATTGATCTTTTATTGTTATTTTATTTCCAGGTTTACTAATTTATTTAATATATATTTACAAAAGTAATGTTAATATTTGAAAACATTATCCCATACTAAAAAAAAAAAAAATATATATATATATATATATATATATATTTTAATAAAGCTTTTCAAAATAGTCATCATAATATAATAAGATCATAATACAAATTTTTTTAAATGTTAGAATAGGTTACTTATGAAAAAAATATTATATATTTATTATTATTCAATATCTTGTATTACTCTAAAGCAAGGTTGACATATTTTAAAATGAGTTTAAAAAAATAATTAAGTAGAATTTATCTTTAAAAAATAAAACTGTGATGTGAAATTTAAAAATAAGTTAAATATGAAGTTTAACATTTTTTATTAATTTTCTTTTGTGATGTTTTTATTTTTTTTCAATTATTAATTATCAATGTTTTATTATTATTTAATTTTTTCATGTTTATTTAATTATATTTTTATTGAATGATATATATATATATATATATATATATATATATATATATATATATAAAAGGAATAAAATTGTTCATCTCATATTTTCTTCCATGTTATCATCATTACAATACATAATTATGATATATTATTATAAAATTGTAATACAAAAATGGTTACCATAATTGTAAAAATCATTTCTTAAAATAATAAATGAATCATTCTGATTTTTTTATTATTAATAATAGCAACGTATTAACTTTTTTTTATATTATTTGGAGGTAAAATATATTTTTTGTTTGTCGGATAAAAACTTTCAGCCTTCTAATTTTGTTTATTGATCTTGATTATAAAGATGACAATTAAACTCGTATATGTGGGGATCGATCCATTCCCATCTCGAGTTTGATCGGGAAAAATCCGAGTTGACCGGCCGAGGCGAGGATGGGTAATGCAATCCTCATCTCGACCCCGTTCTCACCCCGACTTTATATTTATATTTAAATTTAAATTTTAAAATATTAATATTTTAAAAATATTTTCTTTTCTCGTTTCTACTACATATAAGATAATTTGTTTATATTTCACCTTTTTTATTTTTCTTCTAACCACCTTTTAATTTTTTTTATATTTTTTAATTTTTTATATTAATTAATTTATTACATTATTCTCTCTTACCTTTCTATTTTTCACATTTTCTTAATCTCTCCCATCAATTTGTTTTTTTTATCTTTTCAACCAATTTGATGAACACAAAGTTAATTTTTTTCTTCTTTATCTTTTTCTAAATATTTTAAATAAATCTTAGTAATAACTAATATTATTTTATTTATAATTTATATTTATTAGGTTTTATTATGTTATAATTTTTTATCTTATTATTCTTATTTATCATATATCAAATTTTATCTTAATAAAATAATTATATTTTAAAATATTAAAAGGAATTGATAATTTAAACTTTTATTACTTCGAACTAATTAAATTAGAATTAACTTATTAAATATTTTCTTATAAATTATATATTTCATATTTTTAAATGACAACTTAAAAATGAATTAACTTATATATGTAATCAAATGTTTAAATATGTATAATAATAATAATAATAATAATGTTATAAGTATTGAGTGTTATAATAATAATAATGTTATAAATATTCTATATATATATAAATAAATAATGATTAAATATTTCTTTTATATATATATATATATATATTTAATATAAATATAATTATCTTTTTAAAAATAATATAAATCGGGAACAAGGCAAAAAAAAGAATAGGGACTTAATTTCTAACCCGACGAGAATCGAGGCGAGGATGATTAAAAAGTCGGGCGGATCGAGTAAGCAAAACCCACCCTTCCTTATGCCATCCCTACTTGATTATTGTAATATTGTAAAATTATTTTTTATTATTATTTCTTTATTATATGACATTTTTCTCATATATCACTGGATCATTAATTAAGGCAACGACTTTAAAAAATTATATATAATAAAACTTTATAGTTAAAACTCCCAATCATCCAATGAATGTAGCTTAATAAAAGTCTATGGATTCTGAAATCCAATTATAATATATTTATTAAGAGGACAAAGCTTCATCGAAATTTAGAAGCAATTATCTTAAAAAAAGAACATGAATTTGAGAATTACATGAATCCAATATTTTGAGAAGAAAAAAAAACACATAAAGTTCAATAGTAAATCCAATTGAGAGAATACTCTTAAATATTTGAGTTCATAAAATTATAAAATGTTATTAATAAAAAATGGTTACTAAAATTCGTAAGTATGTTTGTGTGAGGTGTCCCCTAGAATTTGGGCAAATAGATGGTGCATTAGAAATACTTTAATTCGTGTATATTATTTAAAAGGTTAAATGCATGAAGATGGAGAAATGTATATAACCTATGGTACCTGGTTCAATGAATAATAATAATAATAATGGGAAGTGGGCTTTAACTTTGAAATATTAGGTATAGGAGTAAAAGTGGGACCCAGAAGAGAATTTTATTTTGGTGGAGGAGAAAGACACTCCGCGACAATACATCAATGATTGATAGTAAGTATTATTTATTATATTTATTGCGTGTGCTTCACAATTTGCTCAAACTATCACTCTATGATGCTCTTTTTTTTTTTATATTGCGCCTTCTCTGTCCTGCTTACAAATTAGGTCTTGTATTATGAATTTATGACTATTGGTTAGAGTAAAATGACATTTCTAATTGCAATTCCTTATCCAAACTGAAAACTTCAAACTTGTAACAACAAATTTTGATATCAGCTTCTTTTATAATGAGATAACTCATAGGCACGGAATGTATCTTTAGCAATTATACACCTCCACACTTTAAAACACAAATACTCATTAAAAAATATTATTTTTACTAACTTTTTCTTTTATTAAATATTTTCTAATATCAGAATATCTCTGTATAATTACTCTATATCTTTTAATCTTTATAATTCATCTGTTTAAAATTTAACTATATTCAGTTGGGTTCGCTCACTTAAGCTTGCCATGTCAAAATGATTACAATCTATTTTATTTACACAAGTTTAGGACCATAACAAATATGCCATTTATTGAAATAAATATGTCAAAATAATTTCACTTTCCCAATAAATACATTAATTTTAGTTGCTGAGAGTAAACATTTATGTAGTCTATTTAAGAACTAATTTAAAAAATATATTTTGTCGAAAACTAATAATCTAACATTTTTTTCAAAAGATTAGAAAAACTACAATCATTTAGGAGTAAAGAAGTATTAGTTATAGAAACTGCAAACCGAACCACCATTGACCATAGAAAGATTCCACCTTAAGCTAAAAAAAGCTGACTGTTACTTATTGTTGTTGAAAATGATGAATAAAATCCCTGCAAAATGGGGATAGACCATAACAATTGATCATTTGCATTCATTATGGGCATGGATTTGGAAACCTTGAATGTATCTTGTTAATTTCATCAATTACTTCAGGTGTGAGCTCGATCTTGCATGCATTTAGAACCTCCTGGAGTTGCCATGATTTGGTAGCCCCAAAAACAATACTAGCAACAAGTGGGTGTCGCAAAACAAAGGCTGTTCAAAACAAAAAGAAAAGGAAAAAATAAGGATAAAATAGAAAAGAAAATCTGACAAGCAACAAGTAAATAAAATAATACCCAACAAGTCCACAACCTCTACCGGATAAGCCCAAGGACCACAATCAATAGCATAGACAAGGGATGTTTGAAAAAAATAAAATAAAAAGCATTAGTTAATTGCAAATTTTGGATAAAGTTGCACTATGCGTGGGCATCAATAACATTATCCAGCAATGCTAATATGCTGCTAAATTAACCACTTTTTGGCATCCTTTTTAAAGAAATAAGATAAAAGAAAACCCATTAGCATTAACATTATTGTTTATTTAGAAGAAACCAATGGACGGCATCCAATATGATCAAGAAGCAAATCCCTAATCAGTATTGACATTCGACAGAAGGTCCACGTTATTGAATTCCATATAAGCACTCACTGATATTCAATACCTATGAATTTACTAAAGACATATGCATGGAACTTAAAATAAAAGATAAAATATGTTTTTGTCCCTCTAAATAAAATATATAAAGTTTAATTTGTCTTTCTATAAAAATTATTCAGTTTTAATCGCTAATTTCAGGGCTTAAAGGACTAAAAGTAATGAAATTTCAAGTTAGAAAGACCAAAAATGGATGTTTTTTTAAAAAAAAAAAAATTATGACTGAACTTTACATTTATCGAGAGATAAATTTTTTTTTTCCTAAAAGGTAACTTCGGCACAATCACAACGAACAACCTACTTTGCGCATTAGCAATCCCTCCTGGTAAATTTTGAACCAGTCGACCGACCATATGATTTAATATTTGAGTCGCTTGAAGTCATGTAAATTACTGAGATACGTACCCCCAAATTAATCAATATAAAGGGAAGGATGGGGAGGGGCTTGCACAAGAAGATCTAGGAAAAGATTATCAAACCTATAGCCAGAGATACGGGATGAAGACCATAAGTTTTTGCAGTATCAAGGTATTCCTGCAAAAATGGGAAACATATGAATGTGGAGATTAAAATCAGTAAACAGAAAAATACATAAGAATTCAAAGAAACTTAAAAAACTCAAACGTAAATTTCTGAGAAAATTTAAAAAACTAAGGGGGACATTCAGATTCAAATTAGTTAATCAAAGTATTAGCATTGCAGCAATGTTGAGCCGAATCCACTTACCATAGTAGCTGCCTTTATAATTTTATTGGACAAGTTGTATCTAGATTCTCCTTCTGAATACTTCCCTGTGAAGAATCACAGTAGTATCAGTCGGATAAACTCACATACCAGGATCACTTCTTTTTCCCTTTCCTTCCCTTATGATGGGAAGGAGGGCAAGAGTTGAAACTGCTGGATAAAACAAAACATGTCCCAGAAGATGTCAACTGACCTCTAAAAAGATTTAAACGGGCATCTGTTGGACCACCGTCTGGGGAAAAATATTTCCCTGAAAGTATACCCATTGCCAGGGGACTGTAGGCCAACAGGCTAATACTGAAAAGAGAAATCAATCATCTAACAATGAGGCTTTCATTAAAACGCAGGAAAACGATTTAGGCCAACAAAATGTAGTAAAAGTTATAAGCTTTCAAATTAAGCCTCCATTGTTCCATCCATCTGAATTAAATGAAATTTGACCACTGTGCTTGTATCATAGCTGCTTAATATATTGTATAAATCATCTAGTTAATGTTTAATCCATTTTGACGTCTAAATTAGGTCCCCTATCCCGCAACATATCATATCATATCAATCAGGGTAACAACTTCACAAAATATATCTTAGATAGGCTTCTTTTAGGAAGCCCAAAATGAAGTAAATTGGAACTTTTATTTTAATAATTGTTTTGAACCAACCATCATAGAAACTCGTCGTTGGGTGATGAAACGCACATTATTTTGTATCTAACATGTCTCCCTCTGCAATCTTAACCTTTGGGCTTAACGTGTGGACAATGCACTTGTCCACCCTACCTTGTGCTGAAATTCTACTTTCATCTAAACGAATAGGGTGGGAGATCAAACTCTAGACCACTTAGTCATGGAGACTTTAGTACCAATCATACCATGTTGTGAACCAACTATCCTAAAAGAAAGTTGCCGGGTGAAGGGGCATAAATGATTTCATATCAAACAATAATATTGAATACCTCTCCTGATGGCAGCATTCAGCCATTGCCGAATCAAAAGTTCTACATAGAAGGCTATATGAATTCTGTCACTAAACAGAAGAAAATTAGTGTCAGAAATAAATTTTCATGAAGGGGATTGTAGTATTGAGAGCGAAAGTTCTAGGATATAAATAAACAAAATTATGGTAGGAGTTGAACGGCAGTATGTAATCAAACCTGCAGAGATACTATCTTCAGGTGTGAACCGTATTTTTCAGCAACCTGAATAAACTTCATCAGGCCATAAGGTGTTTCATTACTAAGACCAATGTATCTGATCTGCAACAGTGCATTCATGTTCATACTCAAGAATAATGATTCAGGAATTACAATAATAACAAATTGACAATTAAAACTATTTAACAATTCCACTTGCCTTCCCAGCATTCACAGCTGTGCTGAGAGCTTCAAGTTGCTCATCTATACTAACCGAAGCATATTGTCGGACTGGGTCATACTCAGTTTCTCCAAACATTGGAACATAGCTACAAGGGTTGGTGTAACATTTCAAGGGTTAAGATCCACACATGCATGTTCATTTGGACAAAAAATGTAAACAAACGTCCAAATGTTTAAACTAACAAAAACATACAAACCGATCAGGCCAATGAATTTGATAAAGATCAATATAATCCATTTGCATCCGCAACAAGCTGCACAAATCCAATTGCATAATCTATCAGAGTTTATTAATAGACGGAGAAACAAAAGATGCAAACTTAATTATCTTATATAGCCTCCAAACAGCACCCCTCCTCCCCACGTCCACCCCACCCAAATAATTCTCTTGAGTGTATATTATGAGCCATCACAATCTAAATCTCCATCACTATTGTTCTGATAATTTTTTTATTTCTTATTTGTTAGTCCAGCCGAAACTCAAAACAAGTCAAATGAAAAAGCTTCTATAAAAGTTAAGTGCACGAGTCAATTAATTTTAACATACAAAAGAAAATTAATTCATTTTACCTAATTATTTTTAACAGGTGTTTATGGAACAAAAAGACCAAAAATAATTTTTACTGGTATTATTGTCCACCATCTCTCTGAACTTATAAAAATGAGACATTCATTGAGATCGTGACTGTAAGCATTGTTAACTTAACTCTGCATATACGATATAAAAAGTGACGCTGCATGTAGGACGTGAATTGAGAAGAGTTAAGAGAGGAACTACCTATTATCAATGGCTTCAATAATATTGGCGGCATCCAAACATTTAGGACCACCTCTAATCCAAGTCATTTGCCCTGATGGTCCAGCAACCTGTTCTCCGCTAACAAGCATTAATTAATATACCACATAACAACTTCAGCAAACAAAACAAATATACTGAGTTTAGTCCCTGGATTGCAAGGCAATGTCACATTAGTCCTTATCCAATCAAAACTAAAAAAAAAGAAGTCCTAAAAAGTTTAAATCTATAAAAATTAGTCCAAAATTCAAAAATTGTGTGACTTAAATATAATCAGGCACCAAAATAAGAGTGAGTTTTCGGGCATTATTTGTCATTTTCTTAGTTTCAGATAGACTTAATTATTTATTTTATTACAAATGTCCAAGATACAATGTTAAAAAATTTTAATCGTGCGATGATGTATCGTGAAAAAAAGAGAGGTTTAAACAGAATCAAAATGATGTCCTTTTATTAAGAAGGTCCAGTTAAGTTGGTTCAACGATATGTCTGTTTCGTAACATTTTACAAAAATTGGTAACAAACCCATATTGTTTTATTTTTAAACTTTTTTTTTTCATAAAGGTAAAATGCACTAAAATTTAAAAAAAAAAAGGTAAAAAGTTGAATGATAAAATTTGCTAATTAATTACTGATTGAGTTGTAAAATATGAAGTTAAATGGCTCGTACACATTAATCCTATCGCGCTTTCCAATTTTAGGAACTAAGATCACTTTCAACCGCTAGCAAGAGAGATAACGCAACATGCACAGCGAAGGAGATAGAAGAATGGAACCTTGGTGGCAATTACGAGGCTATCCCTAGGGATTTTCCGGTATGCAATCCAACGGCCGAGATACTCCTCGCTTCTTCCGCACGTGCGAGGGCGCTGAGGCACGGGATACATTTCGGCAGAGTCGAAGAAGTTGATGCCGGCATGGAAGGCCTGGTCGAGAAGGTGAAACGACTCGCCCAGCGTGTTCTGCTCCCCGAAAGTCATGGTTCCTGGAAGCCACAGATGTCGTGTGAAACGAAGGAATATGAATTGAAGCGTGGAATAGAATAGAATAGAATTGAATGGAATAGTTGGGTGGGGAAATGAAAATACCTAAGCAGAGCCTTGAAACGGTGAGATTGGGAGCGAGGTTGAAGACAGGAACTGCTGACATTGGCTTCAGCCACAAAATCAGATTACAAATGGAGTTTATTACAGTGAATGGTTGAAGACGAAGAAGAGCTAAGAGTGAGATTGAGTTACATCTGTGAGCAAAGGAATGGATGGATAATGTGAGAGGGAGTAATTAACTATTTGAATTGTGTAGAAAATTAATATATAAAATATATTAGGCATATAATAATAATTATTATTAAAGAGTATGATCAGCTTATATTAGGATACAAATTAATATAGAAAATATATTTTTACAATTCTTATAAATTTAATTTAATATCTTATAAAAATGTTTAGTACATTTGTGATGAATCCATGCATGTTAAATTAAATAGATATGGACGATATTAAATAATTAAATTAATCAAAATAAATTTATTCATTCACATTATCAATTGAGCAATTTTAAATTTATTATAATGTAGAGCATAATTAAAAAATTCATTTGGACATTGACTCAAGAGTCATAAGATTTCAATGGTTTATAGTGTCCTATATATATTTTCACAAATTTTAAAAAATAAGGAATGATTTTTTTTATTTTTTAAATAAATATAGGTTGATAGTTGTGAATCAATATACATTTATATGTTTTATGATTTTAATTATGAATTAATGAAATGATTATATATTTGTTTTATCCATTTTGTAATTAAATGTTTACAAAATTATTAACTAATTTCATAAGAGTTTATTTTAAATTAAAGAAATTTGTCTAAATAATGGTGACGAAATACATCTTGTACATGTATATATTGAGTATTGTGTATCAATTGACGTTAAATATTTCTAGCTTATATTCATATATAAAATATACTTTTAAAATCATATAAAATATTTAAAAGTTAATTGAAAAATCATTATTTATGAAATTGAAATTTTCAAACACTTCTACAATCAAGACGGATATGATATAAATGTCTGGAAATTTTGTTTTTAAAATAAAATAATAAAAGATATCATATTATTAAATGTTAAAATAATTTTGCCGTCATTTATATTGGAGTTCCTAAAATAACATACACAAGAAATTGTTTTTTTTTTTATAAAATTAATTTGAGATAAAGGATGTGGAGAAATAAAATGTTATCTGTATTATAAATTTAATGTTTAAATCAATATATTTTTATAATACCTCTTGTTTTCTTTTTAAAATCTTTCTAATATATTTATTCTAAACCTAAGTGAGTTAATATGAAGTATTTACATAACAAAAATTTTATATAAACCATATTATACACTCTAATCATCATAATAACCATAGAAGTAAATAAAGATCTTTTATATCATAAGAGAACAAAATAAAGAATTATTAATTTTAAAGTATTGTATCTTAGTCTTATAAGAATATTAATATATTTATTAATTATACTTAGCTTTGTATATATTTTTTTATAAATTTATGAGTAATATATAATTCTTTATCTATGAAAAGATTTAAATGGGTAAAATACATATTTCATTATGTGATTAAACTTGTTTAATTCGTATCTTTCAAAATCAAATTTAATGAATTATAGAGTATATAGATGCAAATTATATATTAAATCCTCCTCATCATTAATCACAAAAAAATATTTTATTTATAGATGATAAAATTATAATTTTATAAAAATTTGTGAAACATACGATGACAACGTCAATATCAAATTATACATAAAATTTAGTAACATTATCATATACGAGAAAGTCATAGTTTATCTTAAAAAAATTATACCATTAATCATATATAAAAACATATATTATCTTCGGTTGAAAAAAAATATGAAATAAAATATAACTAACATTCACTTCTTCCAAAAAAAAATATTTATAAGAAATTTGACATATCTATTCATAAAATGTGTACAAATAAGAATATTCTATTCACAAAATTATTTTTTATTAATCTCAACTATAATAATTTTATATGAGAAAAAATATACTCTTGAAAATATTTTGAATAGTGATATTTTTTTTATTAATTTTTATCCTATAAAGTTTTCCAAGATTCAAAACACATTTTTCATCACATTAAAGGATATTATTAATTATTATTGACTATCCATTAATTTTATTAATTTTAATTAAGATATCTAAAAAATATATAAAATATAAATTTATTATATCAAATCATATTAAACAGCTTATAATTGATTTTTTACTCTAATACAAATTTTCTTTAAATTCTTTTTAAAAAACCATTATTTATTTTTATAAATTACTTAATAAAACAACTAATATAATAATATTTAAATACTTTTCCATGCTAAATATCTCTTTATTATTATTTTTAAATAATTAGTGTTTTATTTGAGTATTTTAATAAATATTTTTTATTAAAAATACTTATAATCTTTATTATTATTATTTATATAATTTAAATATTTATAATTTTTAAATTATTTTTCAAGCAATTTCTAAGTTGAATATATATATATATATATATATATATATATTGAGTTTTTATTTTTTAATAAATAATTTTTTTCTTAATTTTTTTTTCATGAACAAATGTTTTTAATTAACATTGTTAAACTATCTTATTTAAAGAATATAATGGATGTGATTATAATTTATAATATGCCGAGCTTTTCGATCTTGCACTGCATTTTGTTGGTTAGGGGATGGATGAGAGTGGGATCCACCTATGGATCACATAACGAGTGATGCAACATGCATTCTTCAAACACAACGAATGTGTGTGCTGGTTAAAGGGAAGAGAGCAACTCAAGCACAGAATGTGAGTGAAGATGAGTGGCTTTGTATGTCTCAAACTCTCACCACCGCCACCACCACCTCTCACCCTCTCCAAACCTCATCTTCCCCTCCGCAACACTCTCCTCGGTGCCGCCCTCTCCTTCGGCCTCCTCTTCTCCTTCCCCTCCGTCTCCGCTCTCCAACTCCCTGCCCAACCGTGTTCTCACCTCCAGCCTCCGCAAGAGACGCTGCAAATCGCCCCCGAGGTTGTCACCAACCAGGGCCTCGTCGAGGAGGCGTGGCAGATTGTCAACGACACCTTCCTCGACACTGGTCGCCACCGCTGGTCCCAGGATACTTGGCAGGTAACAAACATCAACTACTCATACTCATACTCTCGTAGTGTCTGCTTCTGCTTGATGGTTAGTTGATGCTGATACAGCGCTTCTTTCTTGGTTCCAGCTGAAGAGGGAAGCTGTCTTGAGCAATTCCATTCAGACCAGATCGAAGGCGCACCAAATCATCAAACGAATGCTCTCCAGTTTGGGCGATCCTTATACGCGCTTTCTCTCTCCCGATGAGGTAATTTATTCCTCAATTTTGCATGGGCCCTTTTTACTGTGTTTGTTGGACACTAGTATTGGTGTTGCCGGACTCAATTCTTGGGCTGCTGCTGCATATATACTTGGTTGGTAACTTCTCTTAACTTCATTTTGTTTTAATATGGAATCTAACTTGAAAACATAGCCTGTAGCCCTTCTCCACGTACATATATGAAGGGAGTCTTAGAATTTGAGTTTGGCATAATTCAATTTCAAAAGCTAAAGGTAGCTAATAAGGGTTGCCTCCTACTTGTACAAGTTACTTTATTAACATTTCAAGAATCAAATTTGCAAGATTGGACATTTGTTGAGTAGTCCAATAATGACACTAAGACTGGAAATGGGTGAGTTGAACTAAACCAAACTCCACCCATTAAGAGTCAATTCAACTCGACTTAATATGAACCTTTTCTTAGCAAGTAGTTGATTCGATACAATCTTATATTATGATTATGTCACATATTCTTATCGAGCCAATTCACGAGTCTAACCAATTAAACTATACATAGCTCAAGTTTAACTCATTTGAGTCTCAAACTACTTTTGAGTTGGTTTGGCTTATTGTTGGTCCTAGGTCACATGATGAGCCTAACAAAACTACTAGGATGGATGTTGATACCATTGTAGAATTTGGGTTTGAGCCTAACATAGTCTGAAAAGCTAATTCATAGGATGAGAGTTGTCCTCATTTATATGCACAATTTTTGTTATCATTGTCAATATGGGATCTACAGTAACAGGTGAAAGTCCTACATAGTTTTACCTCAATCCTTGGGTGCAACTTATATGGATGTTGCACAACTTCACTTAATGCAATTAATCTTAAGACAAAATCTAACAATTTACTATATTGTTTAACAGAAAAACTAATACCTACACACATCAAATATACATCTTCCAAAACATGTATTCCTCAAAAATATTGCTTCCCTTGCATTTATTGCAGAGAATAAGAAACTTGTGATGTGTTCTTGTATCATCGTTTTCTTCACTGTTTTTGTTTTGATTTTTATATTGTCTGGTGATTTCTGCTGCTCTGCTTCTCATGTTTCTTAATGAATTGCATACAAACTTTTTCCACTGTTGAAAGTTCTCCAAGATGGCGAGGTATGACATGACGGGTGTTGGAATAAACCTTAAGGAAGTTCCTAGTGAAAATGGAGACCTCAGACTGGAGGTACTGGGAATTATATTGGACGGTCCTGCTCATTCTGCTGGTGTTAGACAGGTAGACAAAGTTGATGAACATTCTTCAAAATTTGCTGATCCTCAAGTCATCATCTTCTCCTCATTCAAAAATTTACACCTGCGTCTCTTGTATTTGCTTTTATGTTTTTAGTTAATGAAATAAATATGTTAAATTAAGCATGCTATGCCTTATAATTGCTACATAAGCAATCTATCATATCCATTACTTCTAGAAACAGAGTAGTACAGATTTATTGTTGTTTGCAAGGGTATTTTGAAGCCAGTTTACCACTAGAAAGAAATAGGTGAACAACTATTTTGGGTTCTTTTGACCGTTCAAAATAATTTCGCTTTCCCCATCTTTACCATTTGTAAGCATATACTCTGTCTTTTAGTTTATCTAATACTGCAAATTGGTAGGCACAAAGAACTATTTTGGATAACATAATGTTTATGTTAGAAATATAAGATAATATCTTTTGATATTTCTTATATTTCTAATATTCCACTTCAAAGGTGAAGCTTATTAAGCTTTAACCTGTTACAAGAAAATAATTCACTTCCCCACAAATTATAAAATAAAAAAACATCAAAAATTGAGATCCACCAAAAACAATAGCTGGAAAAATAACTTAGGGATGGTGGAGAAGTTGGAGATAAAAATAAATTTACCAGATAGCTGAAATGATCATTAGACTGAGAGACAATTCATGGCAAGCAAAGCGAGGTCTGCTGTTCTCAAAACCACATTTAGAAGCTTCAAACTAATATTGTTGGAGACCCAAAATTTTACAACTTGAAAAATGAATTTTGAAATAGAGACAATGCCAATGCATATTATAAGATCCAGTGCATGTGGGATAAAGCCGAGGCTAGTGCATCTGGGAAAATTTGGGGCAAATGCATATAAGAAAGTGAGGATCAGTGCATCTAGAACAAAGCAGAAAACAGTGCATTTGGGAAAAGCTGGGGTCAGTGCATTTGGGAAAAGTGGGGGCCAGTGCATCTAGAAAAAGCTGGGGTCAGGGCGTATGAAGGGTGGCAAGCATAAGGTGTGTCAACAGAAAAGGTAACGAGGGTGAACAACAATTTCCAGTGGCAACCTAAATTAGGAAACGATGGAAAGGTGAGAGTCATACTAGAAATAAGAGACACAGTGAAAGAAGTGTTTTGGGGAACTCAATAGCAAAATGGTGATAAAACAGGTCCTGGAGGATGGAAATATCATATCATATATATAGGAATAAAAAATGTTCTATAATTATTTATATAGCTTATAAAAACTGGATTTTGTTGTGTAGTCCACACACCTTCAGCAACTCCTACAGTTTTCTTTATCTTTTCTATTTCACTGCAAGGGGGATGAAATATTGGCTGTCAATAACACGGACGTAAAGGGAAAATCAGCATTTGAAGTATCATCCCTGTTGCAAGGCCCAAATGGAACATCTGTGACTATTCAGGTTTTGGATTATAATTCCAAGTTAGTTTGGTACCTGCTCTAGCCTTTGTTTGTAGTTTTATTTAATGTTTTGATGTTCTAGTTTAATATTAGGATTACTACTGTCAGGTCAAGCATGGCAACTGTGGACCTGTTGAATCAATAGAAGTTCAGCGGCAACTTGTTGCTCGGACCCCAGTCTTTTATCGGCTGGAACAATTGGACAGTGGTGTTACTCCTGTTGGGTACATACGCCTCAAAGAGTTCAATGCATTGGCCAGAAAAGATTTAGTCATTGGTCAGTTTTTCCTAGCTTCATATTTGTTTCTTTTTTGAACTAAAATAGTGATACTTTCTCAATAAGACCATTCTTTTTTGTTTATGGTTATGTATTTGGATTTTAAAAGCAGTGGAAAAATAATTAACAGTCTTCTGTTACTACATTAATTTATTTGACTTATTTTGTTGGTGGATTAAAAATTTGTCATCTGGGCTATGTAACTTATGCAAGAATGAATACCATATATTGTTAAAAGAATGTTAAACAGTGAAGTAAGGTGCCACTTTTCCGGATCCCCATATTCATGTATATGGTACTATTGGTTCTGGACTTTCATTAGTTGTTTCCAGTTTTTTTATACATGACACCAGAACAAATAATGTATTTTGCAGCAATGAAACGACTTCAAGACATGGGTGCCTCATATTTCATTTTGGATCTTAGAGACAATCTTGGTGGACTAGTACAGGTTGTTTTTTCATATAACCCTATTTACCTTTCCTACACACATGACATTTGTTATTCAGGCTGATTGATGGCAACTTGTCATCGTCTATATTTTTGTCAATGAACCCAAGAGAACAGTGTTCAATTTTAGAAAATATATTTGAAAATCTCTGTCATTGTGTTGTGTGAGTGGTTCCATCATTATAACAATCATGTGCCCTCTCAGATTCTATCATTATAGCTGAATTGTCTTTCAGTCCTTGAAAGTAAATATTATTTCTTGTTAGTCCATAAATGTTAATAAATAAATAAAATGTTTTTGAAAGTAACTTGGTTTGTCACATGCGTCCTCATTTCAAATAAATTCGTATATATTATCATTAACATGCAATTTAGTCCTTTTATATATATATACCTGAACTAAATTGTACTTTAATGATATCATACATGAACTAAATTGCATTTTAATAATAACATGTAGGTATTTATTTGAAAAGAAGGATGAATGTGGAAAACACAAGCTACTTTCACGGATTTAATTTTTATTATAAATTCTAGGAATAAATTGAAACCTCCATGTATTTTCAAGAACCAAATTAACTGTTCGGCGTTATAATGTTTAAAATATTCACATAACTTGATAATCTGGTTAATGTATATACTAAAATATTTTACTGCATAGCTAATAATCTGTAACTAGCACAAGTAATGGATCAAGTAGCTTGCCATTCAATAATTTCTGTAATGAAAAGGACCCCATTTTTTTAGCATGGCACCACATATGTCTCAAAGATAAAGACACTTAAACATCTCAAATTCAAATATATATATTTGAATTTGAGATGTTTAATTGTCTTTACCATAGAAGAATTTGAAAACTGATTTAGAACTTTGAAGCTCTTTGCTTTTGAGTAATTTATTGTGAACAAATTGAATTTATATCTTTTCACTTGTATTGTACATATTTCTCTGTTTGCATATGTTGACACCTTTTGTAGGAAGGTAATGTGGCATCATAACAAAAATTTCTATTCTCTTATTTTTGGAAATTTAAGTAAAATTGTATTCTTCTACCATGTTGTGGGTATGCTTTGGTTTTTGTAAGATGACGATGTAAGTAATGCCTGCATTGTGTTGATTATAGTTTTCTTTCCATTTTAAATTGCCTAATTTAGTTGTAACTTTTAACTTATTCAGGCTGGAATTGAAATTGCAAAGCTTTTCCTAAATGAAGGAGACACGGTATGTCAGTTTTGTGCTTATTGCTGATTGTAATGGTTTTGATTAAGGGTAAATGGTTGTTTACCTCCTTCAACTCAGGCACCCTTCTTATTTATACATTGGTTACCTCCATATTTTGTGGGAAAAACACTCCCCCTTAAGAAAGAAACATTAAATATCTAATAGAATTATCATGTGACACCCAAAACAATGACCTGAGAAGTTACAAATGAATGAGGAATTTATCATGTCAGGTATTCACTAAAATATTGTTTCTCCCAAAAAAGATATAATAAAGTTCAAACATGTTTTGGTCCCTTAAGTTTTCTGTTTCTTTATGATTTGTGAATTTTCCAGTGATAGTTTGGGTGTCATGTGAAAGTCACATGACAATTCTCCTAGCTATTTATTAGTTTACCAATAGGGTCCCATGCCCAACCCTTTTTCTTGCATAATGAGGAGTTCACATTAATTATTGATTTATTTTTTCTAACTTCTCATCCCATCATAAGCCAAGTTTAAAGGTTGTATGCTTCTATTTAGCCTATTATTATAATTATTATTATTATTATTGTTGTTATTATTTTTAGCCTGCCCTTATGGCTGTGGCTCCCAAAAGGAACTCAGATTAACTGACATTTGCTAATTATGAATTCTGAAGAAAAAATGAACCATAATTGAATGGTGTAAGCTTTGATTTGATCTCTATTTTATTTTATTATCAGTATATTTATTATTGTTATTATTATTACTACTACTATTATTATTAATAATATAGTCCACCTAGCAGAGCAAAGCACTTGATTATTCTTGGCGTGATTCTACCGTGGTAAAGGATTTTCTGGACACTTCAATTGCTTTGGCATCCTATTCGGATTTAGTGACTTATTTTTCAATATCTATTATCCATAGTGTGAATTCAGTTCAGAGTTAGAAATTGTATATATAGCTGGTACATTATTTTGTTGTACTATAGGAAATATTGATCTTAAAAAAATCTGCTATCTTGTGATACTTATTCAACTTTTCTTGTGAACATCTTAAAGAAGATTTGTCTTTTTCTAATGTCTTCATGACAGGTGATCTACACTGTTGGAAGAGATCCTCAGTTGCAGAAGGCTATTGTTTCAGATACTTCACCATTGATTCAAGCTCCTGTTGTTGTAAGAATATTTTCTAAATCTGAATTTTTATCATTGAATTAACTTTGGATTATTTCTACTATATGGTGGACATTCTATGCATGATATTGGTAGGTAATGATTTGAGTGCAAACACATTGAGGGTAGCAAAATTTACTACCATAGAAAACAATTACGGATGTGTTATGTATGATGGGTCAATGATTTGTTGGAACCATTTGAGTAAATAACTATCACCTTATTATTGAAGGGTCTTAATAGGCACATTCAGAGGCAGTGCTCAGTTTATGGTTTTCTGTAGATGAAGTTGAAATTTTAAATTTGAGTTGGGAAATAAGCTTTTGATTCCAAGTGTTTCTATTAAGAATACAAAGTTTATTTTAAATTCAATGGCAATTAAATTTGAATTTTATTAAATTCAATCACAAGAAAAAAACATAAAGGTATCACTAAAGGTGATGACGCCAAGGGGGATGAGTGACATCCAAGAAATTTAAGAATAAGATGGAGTAGTGTCTATTGATAAGATGATAGAAACTCGACTAAGATAGTTGTTTTATATGAGGACTAAGGATAAACGCAGTAAGTGACTCTATGCAAAAATTGAATCAAACGGGTGATATCTTGTTTTGAATGCCCGTAATATAGTGTTGTTCTTCATGACAAGGCTTATAGTTCTTTGGGTTTCAACCCGTGCAGGTTTTAGTAAATGACAAAACTGCTAGTGCAAGTGAAATAGTAAGGAGCTCAATTTCATAATCTATTTGTTTGATTTTTCACTCTTACTTCTTATGATGACACTGTAGGTGTTGTTTTCAGGTTGCTTCGGCACTTCATGATAATTGTAGAGCCGTTCTTGTTGGGAAACGCACATATGGCAAGGTTTATGGATTTGATTTTTTTTTTCCACAGTATGGTTCAAACAACGTAGACTTTGATCTGCATGCATTGTTCAGAGAATGTCCACTTGAATGCATTTTCTATTAAACACGGTAGCTTTACTACCTGTTTGAAGGAGTACCACTAAGACTGCAATGTTTTCTTTGCTTTCTATAAATGGGTTTCTTTTCTCATTCTGCTTCTCTTACTGAAGGGAAGGTAATAGAAGAAAATCGTATAAGATGTCTTTAATTGACTTGTTATATTTGCAATGGTTTTGCTCTGACACATTTTCATTACAATGTAGTTGTAACAGCCTTTTGTTGACACTTCAATGTGCGCTGCTTCTAACAGGGTCTAATCCAATCTGTATTTGAGCTTGACGATGGATCTGGTGTGGTTATCACTGTTGGGAAGTATGTTACACCAAATCACAAGGACATAAACGGCAATGGAATAGAGCCTGACTTCCAGAAACTTCCAGGTACAATTTTCCCCCCCTCTCTATTTTTCTCCTGTGTAGTAAAAAATGGAAATATGGCACTTAAACTAAGCCCCATTTTTGCAGCATGGGATGATATCAGCCAACATCTTAAAAAATGCAGTATGACACAACAGGGATAAAGCAGTTTCTTTGCTATTCCAATGCAATATTTTGCTTCGGATTTATCATTTAATTTGAATCTTTCGAAGAATCTGCTTCTGGAAGTTGCGGTGTATATATATAAAAAATAAAGATATATGCATGAAGGTCTACCTAGCCTTCTTGGCACACACATTGGCTTAACACCCAAGATTGGCTCGGAACATTTGTAGCTGATCCATTCAAGATAAAGTATATAGTGGATTTACCATGAAAAACCCTGGGAAGAACGCAAGAGTTTGCATTCAAGCAGCCAGTGCAGCACCGAAGTGACTTGGGTTTAGTTCATACCAACATAGAGATGCTTTGCTTTATACATTTTATGAACCTTTGATACTATGTTCCTAATTTTATCAGACCAATTAGTTGATTGTTCAACCGAAAATGCCACTTCATTGATAAAGAACTCATGACATATTGACAAGGATGAAAATAGAAATTGCAAATAACTACAGCTTTGTTTTGATCCTTATATTTTCAAATTGATAAATCAATCTTTCAACTTTTGTAGATATGTGACGCTAGTCTTATATATATACTTTTATTTAACATTTGGTCTTATATATATACTTTTATTTAACATTTGGTTATGATTTTCACCTTGATAAATTTGGTAAAAGGACTAAAACATGATTTTAACCACTCTTTATAGGTAAATTTAATTTTTAATAAATTTTTTAACTGTTATAAAATTAATTAGGATTACATTCATATTTTTTTTAATGTCTGAGGATTAATTTATTAATTTTTAAAATATAAAGATTAAAATTAATTTTTGCAAAACATTATAAGGACTAAAAAAATTAACCCTTTATAATATTGTATTATTAAATAATTATAATTTAAAATATAAACTTAATTCCTACTAGTTTGATTACAATTGAATCATAATTATATTGTTAAACCTTAAAAGAAATTGTCTTTCCCATTCAATCACCCAACATTGATGGATAAGATAAAAAGGTTACAACATGGGCAATGTTACAATGTCAAGGCTTTTTCTTTTCGCACAATCATACAATATTAATGACTTCATCTTGGGCTTTAGGCCCTTTGTCTTGTCTTTCTTTTATAAGGGCATTTGGAAAACTAGTGGTTTATACGTTTTTGAGGCAGTTTTTGTTGCTGATAAAAATTCGCTTAAAAAAAACTAAGAAATAAGAACAAAAATGTTCAGAGTATATATAGTTTATGAATTGTCATTCAATAACTTTATTTATGTATAATAACTTATTATTTTTAAAAAATTATCATGTGTAAAAGTTTTTACTATAGCAAGTATATAAAAAATAAATTCAAATATATATTGATAATAGTAAAACATGCACTTCAAAATAACTGTGTTCTCGTGTTAAGCTATGAACCTAATGCATGCGTAATAATTACAGGTTTGGGTTGAAATTATTAGCTTAGTAGATTTGTTTTAATTGTGAAATTTTCGGTAATTATGAATGTGCATGCGATTTCAAATAAAAACTTGCAAGTGCCACAACTACATATATAAAAAAGAAAAAGATTTTAAGTTCAAATACCATGATGTCTCCATAAGTGATAAAACATTCGAAATTGAATAATTTGATTATTTGAAACTAATTAAGAAAAATTTGGAAGTGTATAAGTCATAAATTTATAATTTAATTATAATAATAACGATTGAAGGGCCTTAGCATATAAATAAGATGTTCATAGACACAACACCAACAAGGTTCAAGCAAATCAACTTCAGTGCGTCCTCTCTGCGTTTGTAGTAATTTTCCTCTCATTCTGACTTAAAGCAAGTTTGGTTTTCTTTTTGAAGAAAATCTCTATTTTATTCTAAAGATTTGTTTAAAGATTTATATTATTTCTTCTGCGTTTATAAAGATAATTTTATCATGAGTAGTAATTTGTTCCTTCCTTTCATTTATATACTTCATTTATATTCTTAAAAGTGTTAAAAGGGTATTTTTAATAGAAGTTGTTTATTGTAATAATTAAATAAAATATTAATTATTTAAAATAATTTTTTTATAAAAGGAATTTTATATATTATGATGGATTACTTAAATTTTTTTAGTTCCTTCATCAAATTTATAAAAATGAAAAAAAATCAAAATAAATAAAAAAATATACATTTTTAAAATTTATTAAAAAAATTTGTGACATCATAAATATCTATTATACATTTTTTTAAAATAAAAAAACTCATTATTTTTAGTTATTCTTATTAGAGATGTCCTAATTATTTGTTTCAATATTGATAATCCCATCAGTTTCTCTTTTTCATCCGTACTTTTGCAGTAGATTTTCAATTTATATAATTATTTAATTACAAAATTTATATAATTGATAAAATATTAACTTTTATAGTAATTATATTAAAAGTTATAAATAAGAAAATTTTTAATAGGTTGAATGCATAGTTTTGTTTTAATATTAACACTGTATCAAAGTTAAAATAAGATATTATATGCGTTGTGATTCTCCTCCAATACCCAACTGAACACCACTAGTATATAGAATAGGGATATACATGTAATAAAAGGTGATGTTCTGTTCTTTTAAAAAGCACCAAATATAAATAAAATAAAACATTCCAAAACCAATATATAGGACATCATTCTGCTATTTCTGTTCTATGTAAAATGCTACTTATAATTCACATTTTGTTATTGCCTTTCTGTTTACATAATTCATACCCTCTCCAGAATGAAAAGATTCTTTGATGCTAGAATCTCTGTGCTGTGATGTAATATTAATAATGTAGTGTTTAAGAAATTTCCCTTGTGATTATTACTATTTAACTGCATGATATTCTTCATAGCATAAATAATGGAAGTTATTTCTTGAAGTTCCGCAATAGATAATTGTATTGGGTTTGAATAGACAACATAGTTTTGAGACAAGGTTGGTAGCTTAAGGATGACAAGATTATCCCGAGTTCTTGTTGGACAAGGCAGCAGCATAACTTGAGTTTCTTAGGAAAGGAATCTTACTTGGAAAACATTCCAGAGAAACTAGTCATTCAGAGAATAGAAAATGACTTGTGTGTTGAGAGATGGAGGATAAAAACAATAGAAGGGAGACAACATTCTTCATCACAAACCTGAAAGGCAAACCCACTTGCTCAGCTTTACTTTTTGGTTCAGTCCCATAAAACAGTAGAAAAGAGTGGCATAAAAGAGGGAGGACGTTGCAGAGATATCACCGTCACATTAAAAATATATATATTGCACCTCTCAAGCATCAGGATCACCCTTTCACCTTTTTCCTTTGCCATGCACCTTTTTCCCCCTCAGTTTGCACCTTCTCTTGCTTGCTTATTTCAACTATCCCATGTCTCCTTTCTCAAGTTTGCTTATATTCTTCCTTCTTTCTTTGATCCAAGAAAGCTATGATTCTTCAAGATTTTGTTATACATAAAATATAAAAAGAAGTAACGAAATTCCTCTTCACAGGAACAGACAAGGTGCTGGCCTAGTTTAATAAATCTTACCTTGTAAACATTTTCGAAGAACAAGAAGGAAGCACCTGGAATCAAGCACAAGCCAACCTGCAGTAATGGGTACTAGAAGCTGGCACCTCGCGTTATTCTCCTTGTGTCTTTTCTTTGGTTCAGGTACCATTCATAACGCATAGCATGGTACTTAGCTATTTTTTCCCATGCAATTATAACAAAATCCAACTTTTGATTATTAAGAGCCGTTTAATTTTGGAGATGGAATTTATCAATCGAAAATATGATTGACATTTATCTTCAGGCACAAATAGTAAGCTTCCAAACCTAGGATATAGTAGTCATGCATGCACTCTTCTATGTTACAACTGTAATGAACTTCATTAGGTGCAATTAGCATAAATTGATGGTAGCTTTAGAAGGGCATATAACGAGCTCATGTGCACCACAAAAGTATTGAATGGACATGAGTCCGAGAATCACATCAGTTATTCCATACGCTGTCACCTTCAGTGGGAAAGATATAAAAAAAATTGGGTTACCTAGTATGAAATGATTAGTTCAGTTTCAGCATGTTATTCTCATTTGTTCAACTGAAGAATTAAATTTCCGTTTCTTTCTCAGGTCTAGGAACGACCGAAATATTAAGAAATGACAAAAACCAGGAAATCTTCTCATCATCAGAAGTGGGCACTCAAATGGATGATGTTCCTATAGTCAATCCCACAAATCCAGACACAGGAAATCCGTATATGGGAAACCCTACAACTCCTCAATCACCTGACATGTCAGGGCAAAATCCCACAACCCCAAACACAAACCCAACCACCCCAACCACAACCCCAAACACAAATCCAACCACCCCAACCACAACCCCCACAACACCAACCACGACTACTCCTACATCATCAGGTGGTCAATGGTGTGTTGCTAACCAAGGAGCTTCAGACACTGCTCTACAGGTTGCTCTTGACTATGCTTGTGGGTATGGAGGTGCAGACTGCTCAGCAATTCAACCAGGAGCAACCTGTTATAACCCAAACACTGTCCGGGATCATGCCTCTTATGCATTCAATGACTACTACCAGAAGAATCCAGCACCTACTAGTTGTGTATTCGGAGGGACAGCATCGCTTACAAGCAATGATCCAAGTAAGAATTTCTTCGAGTACTATTCTCCTATGATGATCATTTTCTTGGTCCTAAACATGATATTTAAAATGTTTTACGTGTCTTAAAATGGACAAAAAAAAATTTGCACGCAAAATTTTCGAGGCTGCACAGCAAGGGTAACATGTCGTGTCTAGCACATATAAAGTATTCAAATACATACACCATCACGCATCCAATATCTCAGACCTGCTAGGAATGTCGGGTACAGCTTGGATATAGCTCAAGTCGCTAGTCTTTCATATAAATGCAGATTTATGCTAATCTAGAACACGAGTTCAGTCTAGGGACTTCAACAAGCACCTTTAACCCATCTAGCATCTCCACTATTTCTAGGTTTAAAAATTTTAACTATCCATCCATATATACCTTATATCTAACATTTTCTAAATTACAGTATCTCCGTACCCATAGCTTACCAGGCCAGGAACATATACATACTATCATCTATGGAGCAAGCTCCAACTGACGTCATTTTATAAAATCTTTAATCTTATTTATTAAAAGAAATAAATACCCACCCAAGTAACCAACTATAGTATTGCCCTTCTTGAGTTACAGATGAAGGTCCAGCCACTGTGTCGAACCCCTTCCTCAGCAACGGATACATCATAATGTCCTCAGAATTTCATCTATCTACTTAGCTTATTGTTGTCGCATTAATATGTGACTCCAAGGATTGTTGGCTTCATTTATTTCGTTGTTTTTTTACGGGGATTAGACTGAGTCTGTATATATTTCTACTTTATTCTATGTCTGTTACTTTTGCTTCTCTAAATAAAAAAAGAAAATAACATCTAACTCCATTGCAGGTAATGGGAATTGCAAATACGCATCACCCAAGTCAACCAGGTGAGAATTTGCAGCACCTATATCTCTTTTTTAACCCTATAACGAAGATGCAATCCTACTTCATTCTAATATATTATCTTAACAATGCAGTGTTAGTCCACCACCACCACCACCAATATTTGTCAGTCCACCGAGTCCACCAACTCCAATGACCCCTACTCAATCAGGCATGCCTGGTGATGGATCAACCGGCTTTGGTTCAGAACCAACAGGAAGCCCCAACAATGCAACATCTGCCTTTTATTCCCTGGTGCTGTTGTTCACATGTGGCCTGTTGGCTTCCCTTCAACTAGCAAATTACATCTAGATGATAAACAAGGTCCAGTCATTCTTTAAGTGATGTGCTGGAATTCAATCAGTCATCCAGCAGTTTTTGCAAAATTTCAAGGAGTCAGTCAGCAAGTCTTGCAATTAAGATTACTTCTACCTTTCATCTATGTATGGCTGTTAGTTGATCAAGCCAAAAGGATTTATAGGTAGTAGACAGTTTTTCTACAGTATTAGCTACTCTTCCATAGAAAATCCTTGTAATTAATATCAGCTAGCATGCCATTTTATTTACTGAACAGAATAAAATATATTAAAGTACTTAAAATCATCGTGTTTGGACTAAACAGGTTATTGTTGAGATTTGAGACCACGAAACTCAGAAGGCTCCTTTGGCAAAATCTACCTTGTTCACAACAGTGATATTTGAACAGGGGATATGGTCACGTGACATTGATGTTTTTAGTTGCGGTTTTATCAAACAATTTTGATAGAAAAGCACCAAAAACTTAATTACGTCATATACTAGCTTTTAAATAAGACCTAACCAATTCAACATGCTTACACTTAAATGTACGCATTCAATATAAATGAATTCTTAACCTGCCACTGTTCAAATGCAATATTCATTAAATCATATATATCAAATTAGTTCTTTAGTAAATCCGTTTAATGGTTCAACCTCTGATTTGGTTCTGATAAATATGATAATAAACATGTTTCAAACCAATTTCTATGACAAATACTGATTCCAACTTTTTTATTTGAATTAACACGCGAAATGTAAAAGATGGAGTATTAAACATAAGGCATAAGTTTTTTACATCATCATTCTAACAAGGGTTGTTCTTATTTACAACATATTAGTGCACATCATTTCAAATCCAACTCAGACTAGAAGTAACAAAGATACAACAGTGATACAAATGACAGCTAAGGTGGCAACAATTGAACCTTGGTCAAATGATTGCTGTAAGCTTGTTCTTGAGAAGTGCTGGAAAGCCAAATACACGGCAATCAATAATGAAATCACAGCACCTTCTTTTGTGTGCCTGACAAAGAAAGATGTTGAAGCATTTTATTTTACCTTTTTGCAAAATGTAAAAGAAGCAACAGCCCAAAGTCCTGTAAAAGATGGACTTGATTACCTTAATTTCATTGCCTCATAAGGAGCTACCATCACCAAGAGTAATGCCAGAAATGGCAACTCAAGTTCGCCTATAAATAGAAAGACCCAAAGACAACTTTTCATTCTTGCAATCAATATTCAACTAGCATGAAACACAAAATACACAACTTATTCGTACTATTTATTACACTCCACAATCCCGATTTTATTTCTCATGTTTCATAGTTTATACTAAGAAGATATGAAGACGACCCTGAGGTTACTGGAAACAATGCATCGATTTACACCAACTTCAATGAGGGCAATACAAGTGTTCTTTCATCTTTACACTTCAAATACGTAGTATCCATTGCCACTCTTCCAATATTCCCTAAAGCACGCATGATTAATAAGAGAACATACCAGGAATATAGAAGAATAGACGAATCAGAAGTGCCAAGAATGCTGTCCACACACCATATTTACCTCTGCAAGTCCAATTGGCAATTGGTGCAAAAAAAATTGATTAATTTTTTTTTTAAAAGAAAAACTGTTAATAAGAAGTATACGCAGCAAATTTTGGCTGAACAAATATAAGAATGTTAAACAAGTCGCCATTTTAACCAACAAAGGAAACACATCATGAGAATGAACAACATACTTGATCCAGGAAACGACACCTGCAGGTGCTTGCAACGCAAACAATGGAACAATATACGATTTCGGCACGGCAGTGCCTTTTGTCAGTATCAAAACCCTACAAACAATGTCCCGAACATCCATCAGCCACATCTCAAATTTTGCATAATTGCGTATAGAAAGAACGAGCATGAACCGAATCACATCTTTCCATCATAAGATGAAGTTTCACACACGAAAATTACCACCAGGGAGAACAAACAATTCGGTTTGGAAAATCAATTCTATAATACGTTTCTTTCACTCGTTAGTCAGCGGAATAAAAAAAAAAAAACAAAAGAATTCATATAAGAATATTTAAAAGTGCTATATACAATTCCATGAAATTCAATTTCCAAATAAACAATAAATATGAATAAATAACGGATTGAAGAAGTAAAGGAAGTGAACGGACACAGAGGAAATGGTAGAGATCCATTGGAGATTGGGAGGAGTGAGAGGAGCGGGAGCGTAGGAAAAGACGCGAAACGCTGCGTTTCGGTTACTGGTCTTGGATTTGGCGAAGCTTCTGATTCCGTGGTGACCGAATAAGGACCTTAAATCGGAAAAGCGAAGTGAGAAACAAAAAGAGAGAGAGAGAGAGGGATGAGAATGAAGGTAGGGTATACCTGAGGGGATTGAAGGTGTTGGAGAGCCATGGTGGTGAAGAGCGAGAGAGAGAAGGAAGATGGATGCATGAAATTGAAGATTGGTGATGGCGGTTGGGGAGAGAGAGCGCAATTGGTGGTGACGATGAAGCTGAAGAAGACGCAAGCATTGCCGTTGCCATTGCCATTGCTGACATTGTTTCTTCTTTCTCCTGTTTCTATCTTTCTTTTGATCGGTTCCGGTTCACCGACTTGGTTTTCAAATAAGTAGACCGGAATAAAATTCCCTCTTTTATTTATTTATTTATAAATAATAGTTATAAGTTATTGATTTTTTTTACTTAATATAACATATTTTTGGGTGATTGTGATCAATTTTAATGCGGCATACACGTGTAGGAAACGTCTCAATTACTCCATCCTCTTCCTCCATCAAAATACGCATAACAAAAACTTTCCAATGGAACCATTGACAGCGTGATTGGATCTAGGCGCGGAATACCGGAAAAAATAGAGGAGGACCAATTTGCAAGGAAAGTTAGAAAATTGAGATAATAAAAAAGACAAATTTTTTTATTATGTTTCAATTCTTTTTATAAAATATTAATTTTTATGTTTTAATTATTATAATAATAAGTAATTTATTAAAATAATAAATAATTTTATTTAAAATAATATTTTAATTAGTTATATTCAAGATTAAAAAAATATATAAATTAAATATTATATATTTTAATAAATAATTTTTAGAACTACAAAAAATTTTAATCATTTTATTAATTTAAATAAAAAATATTAATATTATATTTTAAATATAGAAAATATTAAATTATATTTAACTTTTTTATTAATTTTATTAAAATAAAAACTCACAAATAGATATTACATTTTTTAAAATATAAAAAAAAATTTCTTCCTCTTAAAATTAAATTATAAATTTCAAATATTATATTTATCAAAATCGATAAATTAAAAAAATAAAAAAAATCCATATAATAATCACTCAAATTAAATTTACCATATCTAATTTTAAAAATAAATATAATTTTTTAATAATTACATCTTTAATTTTTAATTAATTTATTTATTTCATCTCACAATTAGTTATACTAAAAATATTATTACTCAATTATCTTATATTTATCCAAATTTCTTTAAATTTATTATTTTCTCCTCAATTCAAACAACTTTACGAATTAAATCACTTTAAATTCATCTCCTTGCATCTCCACTCCAATTTAAACACAAAATTAATTGTCAGGCTAATTCATTAAAAAATAGTACCCACCTCACAATCATAACATATTATTATATATAAAAAAAAATGCTTTTTATGATAACAATTTTTTCTAATCTCAACAATATATATTAAACAATATTAATATATATATATATATATATATATAATCCTTATATATATACTGAATTAATTTTATAAAAACTGAATTAATTTTATAAAATTAGGTTGAAAATCTCAATTTTAATATAATTTAAGAACGTGGAAACATAGAAATATTATTGAGTATAATTTTCATCGTACATTAATTTTTTTTTAGAATTAAATTAAATATTTCAGCATAAAAATTTGTATAAAATATATCTCATCTTTTAATACAAGATGAAATGTTTTTATTCTAAATTATTCAAAATTCGGTTTAATTTCTCAACATTTTTGTTATTTTTTGAATTCAATAAAAAAGTGATTTAGAAGGGTAACAAAGGATGCATGTGTAAGTGATTTAACAAGAGATTCTAGATCTGTGTGGGAATTGACACCAAACATGTGGATGGTGCCACGTTGATTTCATTGTCCGATTCTCAGTGCCAATATTTTAATGAAGCAACGTTTATATTTATATATGATTAATTTATTTTGCTTCAGATTCTGATATATGAATCCATACATGTCTGCAACATTTCTAATTAATATCCTTCCTTTTCCTAGTTTTCATTTCATCTTTTCTGATTCTCTATTCTTTTTACTGTTTCAAAACAACTAGTTTTATGTATGACTATAAAAATTAAAAAAATCTTCTATTAAAATATTAATATTAATTTGGATTTATATTTTAATATTTCCATAATTCTTATAATGCTTAGCGTAGAAGTTAAAAATAATTTAAATATTTTTTTTTAATTTATCAAAATATATTTTAAAGATAAAATCATAAGGTAATATAATTTAAAAGTGAATAATACTTTAAATTTGATAATCGATTCTAATATTTTTATAATAAATATAAAGTCGAGGCTTTTATGTATTTTTTAAAAATAAAATTGAACGAAAATTTTAAAAATTTTCAGTTAATTATCATAAAATTATTATTGTTATTATATTATCATAATTAAGTTGTTGTAAGAGTTGTTAATATATAACATTATTTCTTTTCAAATGTGAAAACTGGTTTTAATAATTAAGAATTTTTATTTATTTTTGAATTATATTATGATTTCAATCATTACTCCATTGACACGCATACCATTATTTTGACTTACTATAGACTAATAATTTGGTCAAAATACGTTGAGTTTTCATTATTTTTCAATAGTTCATTTTTTTTTTCCTGCAAACATAGAGATCCACATTATTGGCTTCAAAAGAGGAGGCATACATTAATTATCAATTTTACATTTTTGTAGAGTGCACTTAAAATCATGGATAGTCTATGTTCATTGGATTTGCCAATGGATAGCGTACAAAATTTATGATTTGTTTCATCTTTCAACCTATTTCACTTAAATGAGGATGAAATTCACAAGATTTCCCATAACTTATGAACATAGTTTTTTTTTTTTTTTTTTTTTTTTTTTTTTCCCATAACATAACTACTACTTGAATCATGTAATTCTAAAGCTTTTCATGCAGGGCATCAAATTTATAGATATAAAAAGAAAAATTCATAACAGATTAAATTAAAAGTTTCATCACAATAGTATGAAAAAGTTGCTACTTAATGGTTTGAAGTCCTGTATTTATTTTATCTCAACATCATGTTTCTTATTTTAATTTATATTATTGTTTGCACTAGTTTATTGCTGTTTTTAATTAATATGAATTAACTGAAAAAATTATTTGTCTTTTTATTTTTATATTTTATTTTTTATAATAGCAATTTAACATATATATATATATATATATATATATATATATTCTTAATATTCAGGTTGTATATTTTTTTAATATTAATAAAAAAATTGTTTTGATATATTACTAGTGAAGGCTTCGAAACATTTGTTTTAGTAATTAATTTTCAACTTACTTTGAAACTTGATTATATTAATTATATGTTTTTCATTATGGAGCAATACAATTTTAAAATGGGAAGATTCTTTTTAATTTATACTTAAATTATTATAACGAAAATAAAACAGTTAAGTTATATTTATAATAGGTTAAGATAAATTTATTTACCATATTATATATATTTTTTGAAAAACTAATTAATTTTAAAATTAATTCTTATTTAACTAGTATTATAAATTAAATAAAATTTTATAAATTATTTGAAAGCATATTATATATATATAAAATTGTGTGAAATTTCATGTTGATTTTTTAAAATTAAATAAATAAAAAATTTACTAATGTGTATAAAAATTTGGCAAGAAAAAATATTTTTAAATTTATAATTCACAGAAAAATTATTTGTTCTTGTGAATTTTAATCAGCAAGAAAAAGGCACTTGTACTTTTTATTTTTTGTATGAATTTTTTCGAAAAAAGATTCTTGCAGATATTATCTACTGTAAAATTTGTTGTCAATTCATTTTTATGAAATTTTGTAGAAAAATTCTTATCAATTTTAATTACTTACATAATTTATTATTCATAAACAAATTATCTGTATACTAAAATTTGAAAAAAGTATTTTAGTTTTTTAATATAATTTGGTTCGATCTTAAATTTGTTTAGTTTTTTTTTTTTTAACTACTTTACTTAAAACAGAAGTTAAAATAGAAAATATGTTTGCCTTTGAAAGTAACTCTTAAACAGAATATACGTATAATGATGTTTAATTGACTATACTTAACGATGAAGATCTTAAGTTTGTTTTAAGAGCTATTTAATTACACCATTTACTTAATTTTTTTTTTTTTGTATTAACCAGGTATATCAATTTAATGCTTCTCAATGTTGGACCTACACTGTTTAGAATGTGACACAGTTAATTGTCCACATGCATTTTTCAGAAGTTAGAAAACATTACTCACCATTTGAACAAATTGACGTGAATGAATGATAGAGAAAAATTGACAAGGAGACAAACGACATCTTAAGCACTAAGGAAAGATCAAAGCAAATGTCACCATAAAATAAAATTTACAAATTTAAAATGATTTAAAAAATACATGTAGGAATAAAAAATCTAGTAAAATTAAAACAATAACGCGTGATAATTATTTGGTCGAAGAATGAAAATGTTCTAACCTATATCCGTTATGATAATAATATTGTTAAAATTAACTCTCATGAAGTTTTTACTTTTTATAATTTTATCCTAAGACAAAAAGAAAATATAAATTATCATTAACTCATAAAAGTTAAAAATACACAATTGATATTGGACTTTATCATGATCATTTTTCTTATACATAAATTAATTAATATATTGAAGTTTTTATTTTTTCAGGGAGAGTTTATAAATAATATTAGAGACGAAATTTAAAATTAATGAAATAATGTCATTACATTATTTGACTGAAAACACTAAAAAGTGAAATGGATGAAAAGCTCTCTGCACTTTAGGGTGGCCATGCATGCAGCTTAATCAGGAAGTTATTCAAAAAGCGTGAAAACGATTTGAAAGCGGTAATAATAAATCATAATGGTATGAGAAATAGTAGCGTTTGTTTCATATTATTTTTGTTCTGTAAAACGTCAAATCACTTGATAATAATGATAAGAGTGTGCTGAAAGCTTCTCTTCAATAATTAGGGCTATAGGGTTTCATGATATATGAGGAATGAACAGAAAACACACACGTACCATTCATGTTAACCCTAACTTTAGTTTTCTTTTTCTTACTCCTTCAAGCAGCACCAACAATTGGTGAGTTACTCCTAAAAGAAGCATCATCTTGAAAACTGCTCTTGATCTGAAGGGCAGTACAATGAAGGCTAGGAAATGGGTTCCTGATAGGGTTCTCATAGCTTTACTTATTCTTCTTCTTCTTCTTTCACTATGTGTTTCATCTTCTCATCAAAACACAGACCACAAAACAGTCTCATCAGAATTCAGTGTCACGAAAAGGGTTGAGACTAACGATCATGATGCTAAAGTTTTTTACAAACACACCTGGCCGGTAAGAGTGCTCGACTCATAAAATTTATATTCATACCTTTGAGTCAATTTCAAGTAAACTGCAAATATCATTTTCTAGAACCAAATATATGTGTCAGGATTTTAAATTTTGATTCAAACATGATCTACGTATCATATCTCATGATCAATATTGATATCAAGTTAACAGGAAAATATTCCTAGTCTTACTTACTATAATAAATATCTTCTTACTTAAAAAAGAGTTAGGAAAGTCTTGCGAAATTTATTATTTGTTTAACTCTTCATTTATTATTAATTAGTTATAAGATAATTTTCTTAATTTTTTCTATTAAAAAAGCTTTATATTTTTAACTAGATATAAACTACAAGAACTTGTTGTATTCATATAGGTCCTTAGTGTTATAAGGATGTTGAATTGTGATTAGCTTTGTGATGTTTTTGGATGTAGGGGATGAAATTTGGGTGGAAAATAATTGTGGGAAGCATAATTGGATTTCTAGGATCAGCGTTTGGAACAGTGGGAGGTGTTGGTGGGGGTGGCATTTTTGTACCCATGCTTACCCTAATTGTTGGATTCGATGCAAAATCAGCAACAGCAATATCAAAATGTAAGAAGTACTATTTTATTTTCTCCAATACTTCTTGTTCAATGGGTTATGAGATGCATGGCATGTGGGTGGTACCAGCTTGCTTCCTTACTCCACACTCAATGCCAACTTCTTAACTAGAGATTCAAGTTTTTTGCATGTTTTGATGTGCATGTACCATTTATGGTGAACTGAACAAATGTAAAAGTGTGTTGGATATTAAATAGAAAATTTGTCTGATGAAAATTGTTGTACTGTTTGCTTGGTGAAGGCATGATAACGGGTGGAGCAGGAGCAACTGTTCTATACAATTTGAAGCAAAGGCACCCAACTCTTGACATGCCTGTGATTGACTATGACCTAGCACTTCTTTTTCAACCAATGTTGATGCTTGGAATCAGTATTGGGGTTGCTTTCAATGTGATTTTTCCTGAATGGCTGATAACAGCTTTGTTAATTGTAGTTTTCATAGGTACAAATTGCTTCGAAATTGAATCTCTGCTATATATTATTTTTCATATTTTCTTGCCTATTGATTCAGTCTGTGTGTGAAACAGGCCTTTCAGTCAATGCATTCTTTAAGGGTGTCCAAACATGGAAAAAAGAAACCATTACTAAGAAGGTTTTGCTTCAACATATGTACCTCATCTTTCTATTAAAGTTCTTTGAAATAATACACAATTTAGTCACCAAAAGTGTTAACAGTTACATCCTTTAAAGGGCCAATTTATATATTCATGCACTTTTATAAAGGTTTAAGCAATACAAAATGTTACTTCCATGGACTAAATTGTATACTAATCATATTTTGTTTTTTGCATTTTTGGTGTTTGATTTAATGCATCCCTGTTATAATTCCAGGAAGCTAGGCAGAATGTAAGGTTAAATGGTAGGTGATTTGATATTATTTCTGTTATAGCCTTCTGCATCTGTTGTTCTTTGTTACTGGTTGAAAGAGGCAGCATTATCGAACATTTTTCATGCAAACTTTTTGTCTAATCAGATACTGAAAGAACTGGTAATGCTGCTCATCCTCAAGCAGAAGAGATGATCAATGAAAGTCATGCAAATACCAACCAATTGAGAAAAAAAGTAGTGAAAATGCAAACATTTTGCTGCTAGTGTTTCCAACTCCAACATTATTCTTTCTGATAAATTCTACACTTCTGTGCAGGTTTCTGTTATTGAAAATATTTATTGGAAGGAACTTGGAATTCTTGTGTCTGTGTGGATCTTGATACTTGCACTACAAATAGGAAAGGTTAGTGTTTTTTTTTTTAAAAGAAAAAATATTTTGAAATCGAGCAAATCTACTCAATTTTTTTTCTTAAATTTATTATAACAACATTGAGATTTTAATGAATACTGGAAATTTACTATTTTGTTAGGATTAAATAACGAAAAGCGAAGAATTAAAAAAAAAAACAATTTTTTTAAAAAAATTTAAAAATTGAGATGTCATGCGTCTCAACCGTCAACCCAATTTTTCATATATTAATTCCAATAAGATTGAATTGAAAAAATTTTAAAATTTTTAATAATTGATTAAAACGATGTTGATTAATATTCTAATTTTTCTATCCACTTAATAATATAAATTTACAAAGACGTATTAATATAAATTTACAAAGAAAAAAATATTTCAATGAGTCAATCTACTTAATCTATTTACAATTAGTAAATCAATTCACCTAATTTACCTATTTTATTAATTTAAAAGTAAAAAATAATTAAAAAAACCCATATTTAGTGGGTTAAGTTACTAATTTTGTAAATAGTCTAGAATTATAAAATTTTTAACTCGCTACAGAATAATCAAATTGAATTGATATTTTTGACATAACTCATGTGAGTTAACATGTGTAAGTAGGTTGGTTCATTTTGAATGTAAAAATAAATAAATAAAAGATTATTTTGATTAAATGAAAAAGGAAAAAAAGTAAAATAAAATATATTAATTATTAATACTTTTTATTTATTATTATTTTAATTATTTATTAATATTATAATAAAATAAATTTAATTATATTAAAATATTTTTGACATAATATATATATATATATATATATATATATATATATATATATATATATATATATATATTAATAGCGTCCATGTTACTTATACATTTAATCACAAAAAAATTATCTTCATACAAAACTTTGCAGCCTTTCTACATGAACTTAGTAACATTTAATAGATTTTGACAATTTTAGAAAGATAAAATATCAAATATTAATTTGAAAATTATACTTTTTTTTATTCCTTTTTCTTTTACTTCAATGTATGTTGTATACCCAGTTATTACTTGAAACGTATAAGTCTTGTTGAACTATTCCAAGAACTCTTATCATATTTTATGTGATTTGGACAAACCAATAAAATAAGCCAACACTTTTATTGTCGGTTGTAGAATATGAACTTTTGAAAATAAATGTTGTACTTCTTTCATATAAAGAAGAATCACAAACTTATATGTTTGTTGGTTCTTTACTAATCCTTTTTACTAATTATGACACTTAAATAAAATGTTTGGATTACATGAAGTAAAAATATGCAAAAGATAAAATAATTTAAAGTAACAAATTACAGAAAATAAATTGTTTGATTATTGATAATAGGATATGATTAATAATTTGAAATGAATTTCATGATTCTAATTCTGAAAAAAATATTATTTGTATTATTAATCGAAGAGGTGAAAGAAGCTTTAGATCGTTCATGTTGAATCATGAGGATTTTTTTATCGAGAATCATGAAATTTAATGTCTATATCTGATTAGAAATGCCAATCAATTTATTTGAGTGTTTTCTAATTGTTTCATAATCATAAACTCTCATCTCTCTCTCTCTCTCTATATATATATATATATATATATATATATAAAACAAAAGTATAATAGTAATATAAAATTCAAACACTAACATTATTTTAATTTTGAAATTAATCTAATAATTTCCAAAATCTAAACAATAACATGAAAAAACATCATCTATATATATATATATAGTTTCATGTTTATTACATTTTTGCATTCTTTGTATTTGTTTTTATATTTAGTATATCAACTTTTTACTTTTGCTGTATGATAATATATAAATGGCTTCGTTTTGAAACAGAATTACACTACAAATTGCTCAGCGCTATACTGGGTATTGAATCTCCTGCAGGTACACACTAGTGTAATAAAGTATGGAATATTTATTGTTTCACATTTGAGTCACGAAATTTGGTGTTGAAGACGAAAAGATTGATTTGGTCTAAACGTAGTGTTAGAACCAATAGGAAGCAGCAAGATATTATATATAGTGGTGGTTATTCTGGTATCATTGATGATATTCAGGTCCCTATCACTGTGGGAACAACTTTATACGAGGCCGTGCTTCTATACAGAGGGCAGAGAGTGATAGCATCAAAGGGTGATGAAGACACGCGTCTGCATGTGGGGCAGTTAATTGCTTATTGTACGTGTGGCGTTGTTGCTGGCATAATTGGAGGCTTGCTTGGTCTTGGTGGAGGATTCATCTTGGGGCCACTTTTCATTGGACTAGGAATTCCTCCTCAGGTACCTTTTCTCTTCTCTTTTCATGTTGCTCCACTTGGAATTCACTCTCATTCACCACCCACCATCTTTCCACTCAATAGGTCTCAAGTGCTACATCCACTTTTGCAATGACGTTTTCTGCATCCATGTCTGTGGTCGAATATTACCTTCTCAAACGTTTCCCTGTTCCTTATGGTGAGTATATACATATGGATCAACCAACATAAATTAATCAAGTTAAGAATTACAAGCAGATGTAGTTTAACCAGTAATTGATAGAGTCAAGATTATATATACTGTTACATTTAATCATCAATTTTTTCACTTTTATGATAACTGTAAATTTAGTTAATATGGTTATTGTTCGATTTGCAACTATGAAGAAAGAAAAAAAACTCTTGTATCAGAACATTAAAATTACATAAAGACATGTTATAACCAATTAATGGTACAACAAATTCTTCTTGTTTTTGCATATACATGGTATCCATGTCGAAAAATAGTTTTTGACAGATGAAACAGTGTTTGATTACATTTGAGAAAATCTCAATATAATTAATTCCCTCCACTTTGCTTAAAACATTAACTCATCAAGTGTCTTCTTGAATAACCACTTGCATCTAAACACCCTCTAAATTTTGGGTAGGTCCTTTAGTGTCCACTTGCGATTTTTCTTCGAAGTTTCAAGTTATTCTTCTGTGATTGTTGACTATTAACTACACCTTCTTGTGCCTTTTCTTGATTTTGAATCATCTACCTGTTGAACTAGAAGCATAAACCTTTATGTAGATTTAACTTCCTCATCTCTGTTTCACGCATAAGCTGATAGTTAAAGTACAAGTTAGTATGTTCTAGCTTCCTTGAGTGAGAGGTTGATGATTGGAACTCATTGTTTGATGCACTGTTTGGTACCTGTACACGGTCTAATTGAGGTATGAATCTCATCCTCCTTAGTCCTAATTGAGGCATGAATCTCATCCTCCTTAGTCCTAATTGAGGCATGAATCTCCTCCAAAGTAATGGTATGTTCTTTTCCTAATAACAAAACATCTTTGAAATGATAAAAATGTTACTGACAATATATTAAGAAGAAACAAATTCTTATCTTCAAAATCAAGTTTCACGTCAATATAATTAAGATCTTCTAATGTTTCCACCATCATTCTTCTATCAGCTTGAACAACTACAATTATCGTTTCAAACAAAGTCGTATGTCAGAAACTTTGTTACAAAAGAACTCTAACTTTTTCCACATTGATGCTACAGTTCTCTCATTCGCGACCATCTTTATTACTTTATCACCAATACACAAAATTATAATATTTTTGGCATCGATGTTCTCCTTCTCTATGAAAGAAGGTGATATGTTCACCTCACCCTTTATTCATTCAAAAAAATTTATTGCATAAAGATAGATTTTATCTTAATCTTCAACATCTCAAAGTCATCTTTTTTGAAAGCTTCTCCATATCAAACTTGGAGGTAGTTTTTTCTAATTCTCTTGACTTTCTTTTCCTGTTGTCTCCACATTCGACACCATTAGTTAAATTCACACGAATGAAGAAAAAAAGAAAATGAAAACGGAAGAAAAAAAAAAAAACTCATGTATTAAGATTAGACAGAGATCAAGTTACAACCAACATTCCAACAAAAGTACCAACAAAACTCTATATATACATAAGAAAATAAAATGTTACACAGATTAACACTACTACAAAAGTCTAACAAATAGTCTAGTAGATGATCTTGTGATATTGGTATATCAGACAATGTCATGCAACAATCACAGTGTAGCAGACCTCGGAACACTGTCTAGAATCTGGTATAAAATCATCTTCTACACATGACGATGATGATTAGTTAATTGGTTTAAGAAAAAAAAATAATGATATAAACAATGACAAAGTAAAGGTTTGACATTTATATTTCATATTTATAAAATGGCTACCATGTTTACTGTGACGGTGACGCCGTATAAATATATTGTTTGATAGTGTGAGATTTCTAACAATATCACTGTAATAGGTACTATAGGAAAAAAGAAGAAGAAGGTAAATGCATAACCCTAGAAACAAAAAGAAAGGTTGTCAACTCAGGAGTGCTACAAATACAATATTAATGTAAGCCTAAAGTGTTTAGAATAAATTAACATAAGATTTAACATGCATAACCCAAAACACTATTTAACATAAAGAGTTTGAATATGAAATAAAAAGTGGAATGCATAGAACTTTGTCATTTTTATAATAAACTTGTATCAATAATAAATAGTGTGTTTGATAATGAGAGGTAACTTTTTCTTACCTAAAGGAACAAAGTTACTGATTTATAATGCTTAATGTTTGATTATCTTGCAGCACTTTACTTTGTAGCAGTAGCCACTGCTGCTGCACTGGTTGGACAGCATTTGGTGAGAAAGGTTATTGCTATACTGGGAAGAACTTCTCTTATCATTTTCATCCTTGCACTCACTGTTTTTGTGAGTGGAATATCACTAGGCAAGTGCAAAATAATATTCTTTTGGATTCTTCTTCCTTTTTAGGAGGGGTAGTACCATATCAGTACTATATTACTATACTAATGTTAGTAACAATTAGTGGCTGATATTTATCTACATCTTACTTTATTAAAATATGCCAACAACTTGTCTTCCATTAACCCGCAGTGAGTAAAAGATATGACAAATATATTAATGAATTGAGTTGGAATCAGTTAGAATATACTGATAGCTGATGAAAGTGTTTATACCATCATCACAATGTGAATATATACAATGCCTTTAAATTAAAATCAATAGTGATTATAGAAAATTTATTCATGTATAAGCTTTGACATTCCAAGAAATATGATTTCAAATTGCAGGTGGAGTAGGCATAGCAAACCTGATTAAAAGGATTGAAAAGAAGGAGAACATGAGTTTTGGAGATCTTTGCTCTTACAGGGTTAGAAATTAAAGATAAGAGATGTGTAGTTCTTCACAATTGTGTGTTTAGGGAATATATTGTATTAAGAATATGATTACTATTTAATTTAAAGCTGCACTAACGTTTAAATCTACTCTATATACAATTAATGTTTGTGCAAAACGTTTTTAGCATTGACAAAATAAATTGTTTTGTTATCAATTATATTCTCAAGTACAAATTTTTAAATAAATTCACACGTTTTTCCATAGATGTCATATATGTTTTCTGCAAATAATTAAATGGGAGGAGGTATGAAGAATATTCAAAAAGAGGCTACGAGTACTTATCATTTACATAAATATATATATATATATATATATATTTTTTTTTTAATTCCTCTTTACATAAAAGTTTAATCTTTAAGTATTTATCTGAATTTGGGAAATATTTAACATTAAAACATTTGGTTTTGGAAGCTCTGCCAAACATAGTGCAAGTGGCGTATTTGAAGCACTAATTAGTTTATTAGGCCAAAGTGGTGGGAGTACACTGTCCACAAACAGCCAAGAAAGTATGTGTAATTGCATAAAATATAAAAGATGAAAGAAACCAATGAACACAGAGAATAGAGATCATGCTGTTTTCAACACTACTCTGACCAAATATGTTGTTTTCTTGTACCTAAATTTTGATTGAATTCAAAAACCTATTATCAACAAGTACCTCACAATATCACTTATTTAATGTAACACTTTTTAAGATTTCAATGTATATATATATATATATATATATATATATATATATATATATATATATATATATATGCATCATGGTTTCGTTTTGAAGCAAAGTAAAAGAACATCTTAGTTCTAAAAGGAGTATCATTTTGAGCTTAGAAACGTGGTGTGTGTCTTAAGAGAATAATGGCTTTGCATGCACCAAGAAGGTGGAATGTGAAATGGGTTGCTGCAAAGGCTCTCATTGCTTTTGTTCTTCTTGTTTCAGTCTCAGCTTCTTCTTCTTCTTCCTCTCATCAAAATACACACAACAAAACACCTTCCAATGGAACCATTCGGGTTGATTATCATGCTAAGCCATTCTACAAGCACCATTGGCCAGTACGAAAGTGTTTTTTCACTTCACAGTTACTTTGATCACAACATTCATACATTTCTGTGTTGATTTCAAGATAAATTTTATGTCAAATGTGTTTTTAGTTATTCTAAATTCTTCATTTTCAACTATCTATTTCTAAATTCAATTTTTTTTTTATCCCTTGAGATGATTTAGATAACACTTGAAAGGTTAAAAGTGCTGCATTTAAAAGATAGTATATATTTTTTTTTCAAAAACCAAAAAATCAAACTTTGAACATTTTAGATCAACAAACTTCTATTTTACTATTGTCTGTGCATGCATGTGGATTGACTTTTGCATTAAGATTGATGAATTGGGATTAACCATGTAATTAATGGTTTTCATTTTTAATTTTGGTTTGTGTGCAGAGTATGAAATTTGGATGGAGAATAATAGTTGGGAGCATAGTTGGATTCTTAGGATCAGCATTTGGGACTGTGGGAGGTGTTGGTGGGGGTGGCATCTTTGTGCCCATGCTTACTCTTATTGTTGGATTCGATCAAAAATCAGCAACAGCAATCTCAAAATGTAAGAACTTGAATTTTTTTTATCCTTATTATTAACAAATTAATAGTGTTGTGTAACCAAAATATTAATAGTATTAATTAAGATCCTACCAAACATGTGGGAGTGGTACTAGGTTGATTTCATTGTCCCAATCTCAGTGCTAATATTTTAATGAAGCATGTTCTTTGTATTTTTATGATTAATTTATTTTGCTTTATACCTTAACTATCTTATATCCATGAAAGAATGCTTATTTGTGACATTTTAAATTAAAATTTTCCCAGTTTTCATTTCATCTGTTATTATTATTTAATCTTTTACTTTGCTAAATCAATTAGTTTTACATATGAGAGATAGAAATTTAAAAATTCTTCTTTTATGGTATCTGACGTGTGTATATATATATATATATACACACACACATGTAACATTACTTTTCAATCATAAAAAAATAGTGTACTTATAACTAGTGATTAACATATTTTTTAAGTATCTTATTTATTTCACAATTTTGTTCATGTGAGTTTTTTCTCACATCACTATAGTGAGTTGGTGATGACTCTATCTCTTTTAAATATTTATTGGAGTTATTTTCACTATAAATAAATACACATATAAATATGTTCTTACTTTAATTTCAATAATTTTTTTGTGCAAAATTTTCATTGCTTTAGGCATGGTTTAATTTAGATAATGTTTTCTGTGAAAGTATGTACGAATCTTTTCCAATAATTTTACTATTTATTATTTATTTTTTCTTATATATATATAGTTTTATATTTGTAAGGTTTTAATAAATTTTTAGACATTTTATACCATCAAATTGTTTCTCAATTTTCTTAAAAATTTAAAGATTATTTTTTTAGTAAAATTTAAATTTAAAATATTATTTAAGATATTTAAATATACTTTTATTGGAATAAACAAGACAATATGAGATTCTAAATTTAAATATTCGACCAATGTTTTTAAGCTAACATATATATTCCATATTAACCTTAATTTTCTCATAAAAAACCGTATTTTATAGTGGATAATATACATAACATTTTCAATAAAAAGGAAGACAAATTTAAGTATAGCATTTAACATATTACGTTATCAAGTAAAATTAAATTTAACTTCAATAATCCATTCGCAAAACACAAACATTTGATTGCAAAATACCTAAACTATTATGGGAATTCTTGAATTCTGCAATCAAATCAAGAGAAAAGAACAAAATCCCTCGTGTATGCTTTCTACTTGTGGCAATTATTAAGCATGTTCTTGAATTGGATATTTTTCTTTGGAAACTTATATATGAATGGAATCTGTTTGTTTGATGAATTAGGCATGATTACTGGTGGAGCAACAGCAACTGTTTTCTACAATTTGAGGCAAAGACATCCCACACTTGATTTGCCTGTGATTGATTATGACTTAGCACTTCTTTTCCAACCAATGTTGATGCTTGGAATCAGCATTGGAGTTGCTTTCAATGTCATCTTTCCTGAATGGATGCTAACAGTTTTACTGATAATATTTTTTGCTGGTAAGAATTACTGATCAAATTTCAAAACTAAGACACTATTTAGTTACTCAATTAATTTCTTTCCTCTGATGTGATATGAACGTAAACAGGCATTTCAATTAAATCCTTCTTAAAGGGTATTGATACATGGAAGAAAGAAACCATCATGAAGAAGGTTAATTAATTGCTCAATTAAACATCACCCTCCTTTATATTTAAATTTCTTTCAAGTTTCGCATTCTAATGCTTATGCATTCATCCTTGTTACAATCCCAGGAAGCTAAGAAGAATTCACGGATTGATGGTAAGTGTTTTTATACTATTTCTATTATACTTTTCTGTGTATATATGAGTGTTTATCAGACATGTCATGCTATTTTTGAATCTAATCAGACATTGGAACTCCTGAAGATGCTGCATATTATATTCAAACAGAAGACCCTGCCAAAGACTATACTATTGAACCAAGGAAAAAAGTAGTACAAAATACTGAAAGTTTTTTATTCCATTTATGTGCAACATCTATTCGTTCTAATGAAATCTAAAACTGTCATGCAGGTTTCTATTATTGAGAACATTCGTTGGAAGGAACTTGGACTTCTCTTTGCTGGTTGGATCATGATACTTGGACTAGAGATTGGAAAAGTTAGTATCCTATGAGTAGTTCTACTAACAATTTGAGTTTTTCATTTTCTATGTATTAGTAAACATAATATGATGATAACACATGCCTCTGTTTTGAAATCAACAGAAACACACAGCAACTTGCTCACGGGTATATTGGCTAATGAATCTACTTCAGGTATATAATACTATCTGAAAACCATAGTTTTCATCTTATATTATCTTCACTCTCTATAAGAGTTTCATATATTTTTGGTTATAGAGCCTATGAACCATCAATAACATAATCATGGTGATTATTTATTTGCTTTCAGGTCCCCATAGCTGTAGGAATGAGTTCATATGAGGCTGTGCGTCTATACAAAGGGAAGAGAATCATAGCATCCAAGGGAGATCAACAAACTCAATTTTGTGTGTTGCAGTTGGTTCTATTCTGTGCTTGTGGCACACTTGCTGGCATGATTGCTGGTTTGTTAGGCCTTGGTGGAGGATTTATCTTGGGACCCCTTTTCCTTGGACTAGGCATTCCACCTCAGGTACCCTTTCCTTTTTTTTTTTTTTTTTTTATGACTTGAACTCTATGGAGATTTTACTTGGAATTCACTTTAACTGAGAAAGTTCCGCAAAGGTTGCAAGTGCTACATCCACTTTGGCAATGGCTTTTTCTGCATCCATGGCAGTGGTGGAATATTACCTTCTCAAACGTTTCCCAATTCCTTATGGTAAGTATGGATGAATGAAACTAACTAGGAACTCATTAGAAAAGAACTTTCCCATAAGCTATATAATAAGAAAGAAAAATTAATCAATCTCTTTATAATCTACAATTAGTTTATTCATTACAATATAGTAATAGAGGGTAATAATTGACTACTTTGTTAAGAAAACAGTAACTTGCTATACTGAAAATTTTAATGTTCAACTTTGTATACCATCTTGCAGCTCTTTACTTCGTAAGTATAGCCACTGCTGCAGCACTTGTTGGACAGCATTTGGTGAGAAAGGCAATTGCCATACTTGGAAGAGCCTCTGTGATCATTTTCATCCTAACCTTCACACTCTGTGTTAGTGCAGTTTTACTGGGTAAGTTTAAAATACTTTTATTTGCACTCTTTGTGTTAGTGCAGTATTCTTAGGAAAGTGTAAAAGGTTTTTATTTGGTGACAGGTGGAGTAGGAGTTGCACACATGATTCAAAAGATTGAAAATAAGGAGTACATGGGATTTGGAGACCTCTGCACATACAGGGCCACAAAATAAAGTTCAGATAAATGCCTTGAGGACAATGCAATGCTCATTTATGTCTAGATATGAAATTTAGTAAGTGATATAATGTGAAAAAAAAAAAAATAGAGATAAAGGGAAATTAAGGATGTCGAATGAATGTTTCAAATGTTTAAATGTTGATATATGAATGTTGCAAGGTTATGGATATATAGAGTTCAATTGTTGGACTAGACCTTAGTTATTGTGTTGTCCGGATATGGGTTTGTTTGTTTTCATAAGTTTACCTTTTCTTTTAATTAAAAACAGTTTATTAATTTCTCCTGTTAATTTTTTCTATAATTTCTCCTGTTAAAAACAAAACAGGGCATATAAGAGGTGGAAGTGAAGAGTAAAATTAGTATCTGAATTTATTAATTTTGTATTCAAATTTTGCTTACAAGGTAAGTTTACAACAAAAACTTAAATAGAAAAATTATGAAACTTGTAATGGGACATAACAAAGGGCCAATTATAGATAAGCTAAAAGTAGATATTATTATGAGAGCACAGCTAAGAAAATGTAAACTTAGAACATTTGCACAGGATTGATCCAAACTAATAATATGAATTGTTGTTTTTCATGTGAACCAAAAATATACACTAACATCAAAAATACAAAAATGTGGCACAAATGAAACCAAAGACTATCCTTTCTTTAATACAAATCCACACAATACAAAACTAAAATGTAAAGGGCCCTGCCCTTAAATATTAGGCATCATGAACTTTATCTTTTGATGACGTGAATGCAAAGGTTTCCGAATCCCATGTACTCCTTATCTTCAATCGATTTTATTATGTTTGCAACTCCCACTCCACCTGTAATTTAAAAAAAAGAAGAAGAAGGAAAAAACATGTTAGTAAAAACCACAGCAAATTTAAACATTAAAAAAGATAGAGAATACTAAAAGAGTGTCCACAAAACAGTCTTGTTACCTAGTAAAACTGCACTAACAACAAGTGTGAGAGTGAGAACGAAAATTATGATAGATGCTCTCCCCAGTATGGCTATCACCTTTCTCACCAAATGCTGCCCAACAAGTGAAGCAACAGTGGCTACAGCTACCAAGTAAAGTGCTGCAACATCATGTCAAAGTTTAACATTAAAATGTTCATAGTGTATAACAAGTTATTGCTTCATTAACCTACTACTCCATGAACATTACCAAGTATATATTATTGACATGTTCTTGAATCTATATTGTTCATTCATTCATGCATGCTTACCATAAGGAATAGGAAAACGTTTGAGAAGGTAATATTCCACCACAGCCATAGATGCAGAAAATGTCATTGCCATAATGGATGTAGCACTTGCCACCTTTGTGAAAAATTCCCCAATCAGAGTGGTTTCCAAGAAAATTCTAAATTCACAGACTTTATGGCAGAAAGAAGAATGAAGGTACCTGAGGAGGGATTCCTAGTCCAAGGAAAAGTGGTGACAAGATGAATCCTCCACCAAGGCCTAACAAACCAGCAATTGTGCCAGCAAGTGCTCCACAACCACAAAGCATAATTAACTGCAGCACTCCAAATTTTGTTTGTTGATCACCCTTTGATGATATTGTTCTCTGCCCTTTGTACAGCCGGATAGCCTGGTATGAACTCATTCCTCCAGCTATGGGTACCTACATGACGAGTAAATAGAAGTGAATAAAATAGTCACCATGATAATGATATTGATGGTTTGTTGGTCCAAGAACAAAAAATTTATGAACCTTTTAGCTGTTAGGAACTCACATTCAACAATGAGGCCATATTCAATTTATTGAGAAGGATAGTATAAAAATATAAGATGACAACTATGGTTCCAGAAATTGAATTCTCTTAAGTAGTTTGTACCTGGAGTAGATTCAATACCCAATATACTCTAGAACAAGTTGTTGTGTAATTCTGTTCCAAAACAGAGGCATAAATTATCATCATGTTACCTCCAATGCAAGAAATGAAAAACTAAAATTTTAAGTGGAACAGCTCACAGGATACCAACTTTTCCAATCTCTAATGCAATTATGATGATCCAGACAGCGAAAAGAAGTCCAAGATCCTTCCATTTAATATTCTCAATGATAGAAACCTGCATGACAATATTAGGTTTCATTAGAAAAAAAGATGAACATACATACATGGAAGCAGTAATTGTTTGTATTTTCTACCTTCTTTTTCGTTGATTGATTGATATTGTCCTTGACCAAGTCTCCTGTTTGAACACAATGTTCAGCATCTTGAGATTTTCCATTATCTGATTAGATTCAAAATTAGTATGACATGTGTGATAAACACTGTATCTCTATATATGCAGAAGGTTATAATACAAATAGTATCAAACCACTTACTATCAATCCGTGAATTCTTCTGAGCTTCCTGGAATTACGACATGTGTGCATATAAGCATCAGAATGCAAAACTTGAAAGAAATTTAATATATAAAAGAAAATGATGTTTAATTAAGCAACTAATTAACCTTCTTCAGAATGGTTTCTTTCTTCCATGTCTCAACACCCTTAAAGAAGGATTTAATTGAAATGACTGTTTAACATTCAGATCACATCAGAGAACAGAAATTAATTGAATAAATAAATAAATAATGCATCAATTTTGAAGTTTGATCAGCAATTCTTACCAGCGAAACATATTATTAGCAAAACTGTTAGCATCCACTCAGGAAATATGACATTGAAAACAACTCCAATACTGATTCCAAGCATCAACATTGGTTGGAAAAGAAGTGCCAAGTCATAATCAATCACTGGCAAGTCAAGTGTGGGGTGTCTTTCCTTCATATTGTAGAAAAAAGTTGCTGTTGCTCCACCGGTAATCATGCCTTCACCAAAAAAACAGAAACATAAATATATTTTCCATTCATATAAGGTTTAAAAGAGTAATATTCCGAACAATCAAGCTTAAAACTAGCCACAGGTACAAATTAAAAAAAGGGAATTTTGTCTATTTCAGGTGATTTTGATGTTTAACACGGCTTTGTGGTGGAGAGATATAGAGTCCTAGATAGTTCTTACATTTTGATATTGCTACTGCTGATTTTGAATCGAATCCAATAATGAGGGTAAGCATGGGCACAAAGATGCCACCCCCACCAACACCTCCCACATTCCCAAATGCTGCTCCTATGAATCCAACTATGGTGCCTGCTATTATTTTCCATCCAATTTTCATATTCTGCACATAACCAAAAATAAAAACATCACAAAGGTAATCCCAATCCAACGTTCTTAAAACATATAAACACTGTGTATTTTTTCTGAAATTTGCTATCTGAGTATTTGTGAACGCTCTTACCGGCCAAGTGTGGTGGTAAAATTCTCTAACATAAAAATGGGTATCAACATCTCTGGTGTGATTGGATTGTGAGAGAGTGTTCTCAGCTGAGACTGCAACAAGAAGAAGCAAAGCCATGAGAACCTTCCCAGCAACCTTTTGTGAAACATCATGCATACCCATTATCTCTCTAGATACTAAGCTCTTTTCAAGATTCAAAATTTTAGTTCTTTTAGTACTATGATGTTCCTGTGCTTAATTTGCTTCAAATGAGCAACATCATAACAGTTTATATAGAATTTTACAAAATATTCACTTCACATAGGAACTTCCCCACAATGGCATGATGTTAGTTTAATTCAATCAAAATTAGGTGCTAGAAAACAAATTTCAGAATAAGCATCCCCTCTGTTATGCCTTTTGTTTTTTAATCCGTCTTCTATATCTTTTTGTGCTTCAAATTCTAAAACCTGATTTCAACTATGAATTTAGTTGCGGACGTTTTGTCTCACTCCTTTGTTTTGTCATAGGACAGCATGAAAGAGGGTGAATGGTTCTGCAAAATTACACTAATCTCCCCATACACCATTGTGGATGTCTATTCATCTACCCAACTATTTTTAGAAAAAAAAAATTGTTAGTTAAGTGTTTAAATGTGGTCAAATTTGTTTTACAAGTGTTAAAAATAATCAACATCAATATAATCCATTATCAAGTTGTAGTTAATTATGCATGAATATTAAAATTATATATATTCACTAATTTGACATTTTTTTCTTTATCTTTATTATTTATTATTCCAAAATCTAAAATTTTAATTTATAAATATTCTACTCTTGTTTATAGGAAGATTATTTTTTTAAACTCAATAATTATTATTTTAAATTATTAATTTAAATAAATAATAAAAATAAATCTCTAATTATAATGATATATATATATATATATATATATATATATATATATATATATATTGTTGAACAGATGCTGGAAGATGATAATTATTTTATGATTTTTTTTATTATTTTTTCCATAGTTTTTGCATTTCTTATATTTTTGGATTGTAATGGGGCTCATTTATACGGGCTAAAGCTAAAACTTTCTTCATATCATAATTTTAGCACGTTAAAAACAAAACAGGGCATAAAAGAGAGGAAGAAAAGTGATATATTAATATATTAATTTTGTATTAAGTTTTTGCTCAATTTATAATTTGAGGGTAGTGCCTAATGATAAATTACAATTAAAAATTCAAACTCATACTAAGAAATTTTCTTATAGCGTTTACTGTTAGATTTTATTATTCTCTTAACTCTAAGTGATAATTGATTATATAGTGTTGTTAATGAGTTAAAATAATGGATATAAGAAAGTTTAAAACACATGCAATTTGATGACTACAACTTGAAGATAAAAAATGAGGGACATAAAGCTACAACAATCCATTACATGTGTCTGAATTAATGAGATCAGAAAATCATAAGTAAAAGGACACTAAATCCATATCATATGAACCATAAAGAGGATCATCATTCTTCTACTAATTTCTTAACTTTCAGACATCATCTGGTGTTATATTACCCTATGTTTCCAGAATTTGATGAAAGAGTGATGGGTATCTCTTTAGGTTTCAAATAATATTAAAGTGAATTTTATTAATTTTGGCCATGAACATTCCTTATCAGTTAAGGAGCTATAATGAAAAATATTCCTCAAGTTAACAAATATGATAAAATCTTATATACACTCAAATAATAATAATAATATTATAATATATAAAGTTAATATAATTTTTACTTACTGGTTTGTAATAATGAATTAAGTATTATAAGATAAATATATTTTACAAAAATTTATATGATATGCACGAGATTTTATAAAATTTAATAAAAAAATATAATATTAACATACTCTAGCAAAAGAAATTAAATTGGTGTTGAATATTTTGAAAGAGGTTAATAATAAGAAAAATGAATAATCTAATGAGCGGTGATAGATCTAAAACTTTAAATTAATGAGAATAATTTATTTTTTAAATAATATAAAAAGCAGCGACTAATATATAAGGTTAAAAGAAATAAAATAAAAAAATTTCATATATATATATATATATATATATATAATTAAATGAGAATATGAAACCACTTAATTTAACACATTAAGTTATAAATAATTTTTATTTATAAATTAATCAATTCTCTATTTTTAATCAACATTCTCACACACTAACAACAACTATATAAAACTAAAATCCTAGTTCAACTATAAACATTAATGCCTTACAAGAAAATAAGTAACTGAATAGTAGCAAAGTAAATTAAAACTAAAAGGTGTTTAAAATCCTACTATCACTATAACAAGAAAAACACTAAATAGTGACCGAAAATTCGGTCACTAAATGTGCAAAATCGGTTATTAACTAAAATAGTGACCGAAATAGTGACCAACTGGAATCGGTCACTATTTCCTTGGTCACTAATTTTAGTGACCGAATCAGTGACCGAGTGACCGATTCAGTGACCGAATCAGTGACCGATTCAGTGACCGAATCAGTGACCGATTCAGTGACCGAATTAGTGACCGATTCAGTAACCGAATATATATAACCAAATCGGTCACTATATCGGTCACTAATTTTATCTTATTTTTTATATTATTTTTAAAATAACGATAAACCTATGAAATACATTATATATTATATTAAATATATGAAAATTTCACTACCTAAGATAACCATCAAAATAATACCACAAATTTTGTTCTAAATAAAGTCATCATTCATGAATTAAATATTTTCTTACATATTGAAAATTCAATATAAAAGTAAGTAGAATAAACTAAAATAAGAGTCATAATTCTAAAAATGTCAGATACTAACAAAACAAATATAATATACATAGTAGAATCAGTTCACAATTGAGGAGGTTGAATATTCATCTTCTCCATCAAGAGGAGCAACAAAGATGAAAGTTTTGGGAGGGTCTGTCAAGCATAAAGAACACAAAATTTTGGAGGATTATCCGCGCGAAGAAGATGAAAGTTGGGAGGGTAACAGAGAGGGAGTGAAAATTAGATACTAATTAGAATAATTAAAAAAATTAAAAATTTAAATTAAATAATAAAAAATTAAATTAAATAATAAAGTGGCTGAAATAGTAACCGATTTATTGTGACCGAAAATTTAGTTACTATTTCAGTTACTAAATTAAAAAATAATAATTTGGTTATTGATTCGATCACTAATAGTAACTAACTTTTTCGATCACTGATTTCGGTTACTATTTGACATTTTTCTAGTAGTGTATAAAACTTTATATTTTATAGGAATATTTTTATAAAAATGTTAAGAAATAAATTTTTTTAAATTCGTAAAAATAATTAAATTTTTAGTAACCAAAGTAAAGTGGAGAATTAATATAAAACTTATCTTTAGGTGTAGTTGAGGTTGGGCTTGGAGACCTTGTAAAAATTGAGTTAAGAGTAATCTTTTATGAAATCCTGTTTCATCTAGCTGATTAACTCAATCATATAAAAAAGAATTCTATTTTAATTATATATTATTAATTAATCACATTTGATTAATGTGAGATCTCCAACTCAAGGAATGAATTTTTGAGAATATGAAATTGAATAATAAGAATATTCAATAGTGAGTGATGTGCAAATAGATTTTGTCAAAAATCCATATTGGAAATTAAAAAAATATATAATTTATTTATATAAAATTAATTTATAAAAAGAGATTTTCACCTCTACTCAACGTGATTTTTCAATATTATCAATATCAAAAAATAAAAAATATAAAAGCCGCATGATTATTTTGTACTCTAAATACATTATAAAAATATTATTTATCATTCATCTTATTATTTTATCTATTTTATTTTTCTCTCTTAATTATTTATTATTTTATTAATTCTTTTATAAATGTCATCTACAAATTCAAATCATTTATGAAAAAACAAAGAGAATTTAAACAAAATATACTAAAACTTTAATATTTTAATAAACAAATTTAGATTTAAACTTTCATAGTTTTTATAATTATTTTGTATAATATTTAATGAAATATTTTTCATATTTACATTTTTGTTAAACATGTTATAATTATTTTTTTCTTGAAGAAGCTACAAATGTTAACTTATTTGACTAATCTTTAATATCTCTAAAATATTTTTAATTTTCTTTATTAAAACTAATCCACACTTCTAAAAAATTATCACAAAACTGATCAAGAATTTATTCGAATTATTCAATTCAACAAAATTATTGATCCAAAAATGTCATAATAAACAAATAAGAAACTTATTCAATCGTATAATGATATAGAAAACAAAATAAGAATTAATTTATCATATAATATAACTTTTTAAAAGGCTAGAGTTATCTGAAATGGAATTTTTTATAAATGTTGTTGAATAATTTTCAATGGTATGTTTGTGATCCAAAATTAGAGATGAAAAATGGTTAAATCCAACCTAGTTTGATATTACCTCGAACATAAACAAATTTGAAACTTGAGTATGTGAATCAGTCAAAAACACTACAAGAAAATTATTAATTACCTATAGCTATTTATTGACGGATAGGTAATCGTTGAAAAATAAGTAATTACCGAAAAAAATTAATGACGAATTTAAAGTAGTTATAAATATATTTGTCAATAAATGAATAATTAGTTATCGACGAATATATCCGTTAGTAAATGAACAATTAATTACTGATGGATATATCTATCAAGTAAATCCGCTCGGTAAATAAATAATTAATTACCAACAAATATATCCATCAGTAAATTAACAATTAGTTACCAACAAATTTAAAGTATATTTTTAAAAATCAATATTAAATTAAAAAAATTAAATATTTAAAATTATATAATAATTACTTAATTTTAAATATATTCTAATAAACTAATTATTCACCTAATTAAAAATGAAATACGTTTTTATTTAATAATTTAATTTAATCATAATTAGATTAGTTTATAATAATTTATTAAATTAATAATTTTGAAAATAAATTTTAAAAACAAATATTTAAGTATTTTTAATATTGAAAAAATTATTTTCATATAAGAATTTTAATTAAATAATAGAAGAAAAAAAGATAAAAAGAATAAATTAAAATAATAAAAATAAATAAAGAAAAAAATTATTTTATATCATTATATAAATAAATTATAAATATTATATTCTGTCATTAAATTACAAATACATATAAAGATATTCACTCACAAATTTGACATCAAATTTTGAAAACCCACTCGAAACACATTTTCACTTTCAAGCGCATCTTTACATCCAACATATAAATATATAACTATATAAATATATCAAAATATATAAATATATTTGTATATAAATATAATTTATTTGTAAGTTATTATGAGAAATCTTAGTAACCTAGTGGATTCGAATTTTGCTAGATAATAATCTAAATGTTATCCATAAAATATTATGTATTTTACAAATTTAATTAAAAATTTAAAATGTATAAATAATTCATTCACAGTTTTATTTAAATGTTAAATTTTATCAATATTTAAAAAAAATAAAAAATAAACTAACATTAACATCAGAACCCCACAATAATTCCATTCAGACTTTTAAACAAGTAGAAGTAAGAATTAGTTTCTCTTGAATTTTATATATAACGAAATAAAATACATATCAAGAGAAATACAGCAATGAAAAAAAAGAAAGAAAAACATTTATATACAAATCTTGAAGCAAGAGTGACCCCTCTAAGAAAATGTAACTGAACATTTGTACAGGATTGAAGAAAACTAGGAACATGAATGGTTGGTTTTCATGTGAACTAAAAAATGTACACTAACATAAAAAATACAAAAATTTGGCACTGATGTAACCAAAGACTATCCTTTCTTTAATACAAATCCACACAATACAAAACTATATTACACAGCATTGCCCTTAAATGTTAGGCACATGAACTTTATTGTTTAACCTTGTGCATGCAAAGGTTTCCGAATCCCATGTACTCCTTGTCTTCAATGGTGTCTATCATGTTTGCAACTCCCACTCCACCTGTAATTTTTAAATAAACACTTACAATCAATATCACAGTTAAATTAGGTCTTTTTTTTTTTTTTTTTCATAAACATGTTTTTAAAGTCAGCATATAATGGTGTTGATTTATTCATAAACATGTCCACAAAACAGTGTTGTTACCTAGTAAAACTGCACTAACACAAAGTGTGAAGGTGAGAACGAAAATTATGATGGATGCTCTCCCCAGTATGGCTATCATCTTTCTCACCAAATGCTGCCCAAAAAGTGAAGCAACAGTGGCTATAGCTACCAAGTAAAGTGCTGCAACATCATGTCAAAGTTTAACATTAAAAATGTTCTTAGTATATAACAAGTTATTATTGCTTCATTAACCTACTACTCCATTAACATTACCAAGTACTATTGACATGTTCTTGAAACTAGGCAACAGTATTCCTAAACCAGCATATTGTTCATTCATTCATGCATACTCACCATAAGGAATAGGGAAGCGTTTGAGAAGATAATATTCCACCACAGCCAAAGATGCTGAAAATGCCATTGCCAAAATGGATGTAGCACTTGCCACCTTTGTGAAAAATTCCCCAATCAGAGTGGTTTCCAAGAAAAATCTACATTCACAGACATTATGGCAGAAGAAGAATGAAAGTACCTGAGGAGGGATTCCTAGTCCAAGGAAAAGTGGTGCCATGATGAATCCTCCACCAAGGCCTAACAAACCAGCAATTGTGCCAGCAAGTGTGCCACAACCACAAAATAGAATTAAGTGCGACACTCGCAGTTGTGTCTGTTGATCTCCCTTTGATGCTATTGTACTCTGCCCTTTGTATAGTCGCATAGCCTGGTATGAACTCATTCCTAAAGCTATGGGGACCTAAATGACAAGAATAAATAAACAAGTGAATAAAATAGTCTCCATGATGATGATATAGATGGTTTATTGGTCCAAGAAGCAAAAATTTTAACAAGCTTGATTAAGGAGAGTTAAAAAATATAAGATTACAACTATGATTCCAGAAATTGGATTCTTCTCCTATAGCAGTTTGTACCTGTAGTACATTCAATGCCCAATATACTCCAGAGCAAGTTGTTGTATAATACTGTTCCAAGACAGAGGCATATGTTATCATATTATTTTAAGTAGATCAATGACCTCAATGCAAGAAATGAAAAACTCAAATTTTAAGTGGAACAGGTCATAGGATACTAACTTTTCCAATCTGTAATGCAAGTATCATGATCCAGACAGCGAAAAGAAGTCCAAGTTCCTTCCATTGAATATTCTCAATGATAGAAACCTGCATGATAGTTTTAGGTTGCATTAGAAACAAAGGTATGTTGGACATACATGGAAGCAACAATTGTCTGTATTTTCTACTACCTTTTTCGTTGATTGATTGGCATTTTCCTTGACCAAGCCTCCTGTTTGAACACTATGTTCAGCGTCTTGAGAACTTCCATTATCTGATTAGATTCAAAATTAGTATGACATGTGTGATAAACACTGTATCTCTATATATGCAGAAGTTTATAATACAATTAGTATCAAACCACTTACTATCAATCCGTGAATTCTTCTGAGCTTCCTGGAAATACGACATGTGTGCATATAAGCATCAGAATGCAAAACTTGAAAGAAATTTAATATATAAAAGAAAATGATGTTTAATAAAGCAAATAATTAACCTTCTTTATAATGGTTTCTTTCTTCCATGTATCAACACCTTTAAAGAAGGATTTAGTTGAAATGACTGTTTACATTCAGATCACATCACATGACAGAAGTTAATTGAATAAATAAGTAGTGCATCAATTTTGAAGTTTGATCAGTAATTCTTACCAACGAAACATATTATTAGCAAAACTGTTAGCATCCACTCAGGAAATATGACATTGAAAACAACTCCAATACTGATTCCAAGCATCAGCACTGGTTGAAAAAGAAGTGCCAAGTCATAATCAATCACAGGCAAATCAAGTGTGGGGTGTCTTTGCCTCAGATTGTAGAAAACAGTTGCTATTGCTCCACCAGTAATCATGCCTGCACCAAAAAAACAGAAACATAAATATATTTTCCATCTATATAAGGTTCAAAACAGTGATATTAAAAACAATTAAGCTTAAAAATAGCCACAAGTACAAAGCAAATAAGATCGATTTCTATTTATTAAAAAGGGGATTTTGCCCTTTTCAAGTGATTTTTATGTTTAGAACACCCTGATAATTCATGTGAAACTTTAACCAATCCATTTCTCTTCATCAGTAATTCGACCGTTCATATCTTAACTAACCAGTGGCCATGTCAGCCTAATATTTTCAGTTAAAGTTGTCTTTTACCATATATTTTTAAAAAGTTTTAAAATATTATATATGCATCATCATCTTCACCAAGTGGTCATGCCAATGCTGTTTTGAAGTATGACCTGAATCTGACTCAGAAACACGTAAGCATTGTTGCAAATTTAATGTTAATTGACATTGTTAAGATCGCCACATTTGAATGATCCAGATAGTCCACGAGACACAATGCTAGTTCTTACATTTTGACAGTGCTATTGCTGATTTTGAATCGAATCCAATGATGAGGGTAAGCATGGGAACAAAGATGCCACCCCCACCAACACCTCCCACATTCCCAAATGCTGCTCCCAGGAATCCAACTATGGTGCCTGCTATTATTCTCCATCCAAATTTCAGACTCTGTACACAAAAACAAAAACATCACAAAGTAACCCACAAAAATATAAACACTAATCCACATGCATTGCTACAAAAAAAAATTATTACTATTGTGATTATTTGAAATTGACACAAAATTGCATGACAACATTCCTGTTCGATGAAATTTGCTATAAGAGTATTTGTGAAGGATCTTACAGGCCAAGTGTGGTGGTAAAATCCTGTAGCATGAAGAATAGTGTCAACCTCTGTGGTGTGATTGGATTGTGAGGGGGTGTTCTCTGCTGAGACTGTTACAAGAAGAAACAAAGCCATGAGAACCTTTCCAGCAACCCTTTGTGAAACATCATGCACACCCATTATGTCTTTTTAGACACTTGCTCTTTTCAAGATTCAAAATCTTAGTCCTTTTAGTGCTATGATTTTCCTAAGTTTAATTTACTTCAACTGGCCAACAACATATAACAGTTATATATAATTTTTCAAATCTACACTTCAAATAAGAACTTCCCCAGAATGGTATGATTTTATTTTTATTCTATCAAAATTTTACTGCCAGAAAACAAATCTCACAACAACCATTGCCTCTATTATGTTTTTATTCTCGTCTTTTATCTCTTGTTGTTGTGATTCGAATGGTGAATCATGGTTTTAATATTATGAATTTTTTTATCTATTTTGGATTGTATTATGATGTGTGTTTCGTAACTCCGTTGGTGCGGGTGATGTGAATGAATTATCAGGGGTGGCAAAAATTATTGGAGGTGACAAATATATATATATAAATACAATCAAATATAAAAATAAATTTTATATAAAAATCAATTAATAGTGTAGAAGTTCCATTTGGCTTCCAAAAAGTTCTGCAACTATCCATTAGTATATTCTTTTGTGTTTACCAATGTTTGACTTAATACATATAAATAACAATTTGATCAAATTACCTTGAAATTTTCAATATTTTTTCATAGCTCAGATTCTTTTTGAGCAAACATTTTTTTCATTCTTTCATGTAAAACCGTGTTAAAATTGTAGGGTAAAATTAAGAAAGTTAGGATTCAAATGAAAAATATTCATAAATATATATGATTTTGGGTAAAAATAATATATTTCATGTATGTCTTTGTGAAATTTTTTTTCCAATTTTTGTTGTATGATTTAATTTCTAAGTTATCATGTGATTTTATCTTAACTTTATATTAAAATTATCAATCATTCTATTTTTTTTTATGGACAACGTGTCTACTCTATTTTATCATCTGTTGACATAAATAAATATAATGTGATCTTACACCCAAAATTAAAATATTTAAAATACTTGATTTAAATTTCTTATTTTTACAGTTTGAGAGGTTAACATATTTTATAAAACATAACTTGTTTTGAAAGAAAAGGCCCTGAGAGAAGTATTTGGAAACATATAAGACCTTCCTCAAATGGGACGAAGCATTTGAAAAGATATTAATAAAATGGTGACCAAAAGCGGGTTCGACCATTGGGCACGTCAAGAGTTTTGTATGTTAGCGATGGTTAGACAGAAAACCCTGCAAAAGCCAGCATATCGACGTTTTCAATTCCTTAATTTACTTCTTCATTTTTTTGTCTCCTTCCTTTTGTTCTCTCATCAAAGGTGCCATGCACGGTGGAAGAGAAGATTAGTTAAGTGTGTAAGTTTGATTAAATCTGTTTTATATGTCTTTCAAATCAAATTAACTTCTCCCTTTCTAGTTAATAATGTTAATCACTCGTTAAAATCTTTTATCATTATTAACTTTATTTTTATCAGAGGTAATAATATAAATATAAAAACATTATCCAATTAAACTCTAATAGATTAGGTGAAGTATTTTGTGTAATCTTTCCAATCTATTATTAAAATAAATAATAATTTATGTCATCATATAAATAGGATTATTTTTCATAAATTTTTTAATTCAATCATACCAACTTCATTTCTCAAATAACCACATATTTCACTTAAACACAATCACTTACTATATAATTTCTCAAAAACCAATTTCACGTTTATATTTTTTGAAAAGTTTACCCTTCAATTTTTTTTTTAAATTTAAATAAAATAAATTAAAAATTAAAATTTGATTTCTTTTCTTAATTTTTTTAATTACATGTTTTTTTCTTAATGTTTTAAACATAAATTAATAAATAAAAACAATTATTTTTTCTTGTTCAATTAATTATATGTTTGTCTTCGAGTTTTTTTCTATTGTTAAAATGGTTTCTGGTAAAAAATATTTATATTTTAAAATTAATATATATTAAATATAAATTTGTTAAAAAAAAAATGGATACCTGTGTTTCCGGCTGACAGAAAGGCGATTTATTGGCACATAAATTGGAGTTACCAAAATAATATTTTTTATTGAATCTTAACATGTAAATATTTGTTTTTAATTATATTTTTCTTAGATTCGAATCCCCATAATTTGAACACAGACGCGGAGATAATGCTTAATTTCGTGATTCTGTGTTTTTTATTTTATTTGTTTTCGTAATTTTTGTTGTATTTCTCATGTTATCATGTGACCCTTGTTCAAAGAACTTTCTCCACCCCATAATTTCATTTTTTGCCTCACTCTTTGCTTCTCAATTTGTATAGATGTTTCAGAATAATATATAATTATTTTCAGATTAATGAAAATGTTAATTCAATTCATGTTTAGAACATTCTAAAATAAGCTTAACTATAAATACTAATATTAATTATTATTATTATTATATTAACGTATTAATATATGATATGATGAAAGATAGTTGATATTTATTTAACAGGAACTTTGAAAAACACGCAGAAAATATTTTGAAAATGACGAGAGATTCAAACACGAAAGGACGTGAGTGGGACTTTGAAATTAAAGCAAATTAATTCAACTTGTATATGCTTGACGTGGATCTCAACGATTTCTTTTTCACGTGGGACTCTAGGCTGCATCACAACACTTCAATTTTTCTTTCTTTCAATTATGAACTTTGTGCAAGATTGGAAGGAGTATATAATAAACTAAAAACTATACAAAAATTATATAATCACCGTGTAACAGTAACATACTAACATAATACGGTGTTATAGGTAGTCTTAATAACTTGTGGTTTCTATATAAAACATAAACATAATATTATGTTTTTTGATATTACAGAATTATTTATTATTGAATCTTGAAATGGTTCTATCATTACGAAGCTTCATCTTGTTTACACTACGAGGCACTGTTGTGTGTCTCCCTGACCTTAATCTCATTCTTCATCGCCTTTTGTGAACGACCCATTTTCATTTTCTTCTTCTTCTTCTTCTTCTTCTTCACTATTATTCTCAGTTATCGTGATATTATCCCAATCCTTTCTCTTTTGGGGGTTGTCTGCTCCTTCTTCCCATTTTATAATATCTTTTGAACCCTCCATTCCCATCCTCTACTGCTGGATGTTTTATTCATGATGCAAAAGCTGTTGTTTTACCTCAGGGATTCATAAAATTCTATCATAACATAATTTCAAAGGTTCTGGATAATCCGGAACTTGAAAAATCATTTTATAGGAAAATTCTGGTGTAGGTTCCGGAATTTGTGTGGATTCACCAATTCGCAACATGTTTTTCAATACTTGGGTAACATTCCTCATTCCATTTCTACAATATTTCGGATTCTTCATTCGAAAATATTAGTTCCACAAATTCTCAGGACACATTATTTTTGAACCTATTTTATCTTATAATCAAATCTACAATATTTTAGATAAATCACTCCATAATCCTAGTTCCATAAATTTTCCAAGTACATTATTCCGGAACCTAATTTTACCTCCCAGAAAAGAAATGTAGAGAGACATTAAAGGGTTGGGGGGGGCAATTGCCCCCTATAGATTCACCGGTCAATTTTTTCTTATGGTGAAAATAATATATATGTTTATGAACATCAAAATTCATCAATCTTAAATACAATTCTTAGATTAGGATACATTTGTTGACAGATAAAAAATATACCATTGTGTTCTTAAAATCTTAGTTTACCGATTTACAAACTTGATTAAATTTCATACTCAACTGAACAGACTGAGGAATCAATGCTCTGAAAAAACTATCAAGAGATAGAATGACGCTTTTAATACTCTTAAGAAAGGGGCATTGGAATACCGATCAAGACTTTTTTTTTTTTTAATAACTAAGCTTTTTCCAAAATTTTCAGCTTTGACAATATTGATTTTGAAGGGATGTAATTCATATTTGGATGTTTTTATTGTAAAGGCAAGATAATAGTAAATTTTAATACAAACATTTTTACTTATTGCAAAAACCACTTAAAAGTTATTTCAATTCTAAATTCAGGGTTCAAAATCAATTGTTAACGTGAAACCAATCACACTAATTTAAAAATGAACGGTCAATTAGTATGACATAGACGTTACTTTTGGGAGTCGCAAAAAACTTCTACGTAAGGCTCTTGTTTTATAAATGTAAATTACGGCAAGGATTTTTCTTTCTGCTAAAAAATTATGTTTATACCAAGTTTCTTTTAGCCAAGTCATTGCAATGTCAATAATTAATTTTACAATTGAAATTCCGTCATATCTACAAAGAAATGTCATTATTGGGTGGATTTCTCTTGAGGATGATGATGCACGACTGGAGAAGAAATCGATCCAAGTTTTTCTGATTGTTGCGGTAATATTGCTCCGTGGCTCTACATGATCAAAGTACCAAAATGTTCATGTTAGAATGACCCGTAAAACAAGCCATATATGCATTCAATTAAGACGCATTGGAATTACCTACATATATAAAATTCATTCTCCAGCCAAGATGCAATTTTCTTTTTTTTAAGAATTACAATATGACTCACCTGCGATGTCACTATTGCCTGGCCGTGGTCTTCTACAGGATGACTGCTGCTCTGCAATTGCGGAGAAAAGTAGATTTGAGTCCTTTCAGAAAAAAAGTTGTTCCACAATCTTACTGCAATAAAAACAACCTAGAATCTGTCTCGCCCACTGCGTTAATCAAGTCTACTAGAACTTTATATATGTATAGGCGCTGATGCTTCTTATTCTAAAAATTACACACACCAAATCAATTCAAGACCATAAATTCATTGACATTTATATTCTATTTTCCTGCTTTCCCAGCTAAATCCTATAATTTTGACATTCAATGTACCTGTGTTGGTGGCTGCTGCTGGTGCGTAAAGTGAACAGGGTGTTCTTGCTGCAGAGGTTGCTGCTGTTGATAGTATTGCTGTTGCTGCAGAACCTGTTGTTGGAGCTGTTGTGGTTGAAGAGGTTCCAGCAGACTATGTTGGAGTTGTTGTGACTGTTCCTGCTGGAATGATTGCTGTTGTAATTGAATATAATGTTGTTGTAGTTGCAGCTGCTGAGGCGGCAGCTGCTGCTGCTGCTGGTAGTAATAGTATTGGTATAACTGACTATATTCTTGGCTATTCTGCATGTATCCATGTTGGCTATTGCCTTGCATTGGATGTTGTAATACATGTGATGTGGTATTGGCTGATGTTTGGGACTGAGATGAAGGGTTCTGTATCTGCATGTTTTGCATAGGCCAAGAATGAGCTGCCACCAAACCAGTAGTAGTAGTAGTAGATTGAAACTGATTTTGTCCTGGATTGCATTGCTGAACTTGCAACACAGATTGAGAAGAATAATCTTGAGCTACGGCCATCTGTGCACCCCCTTCAGGTGGATGCATCTGTTGTGGAGACAGCTGCCGCCATTGGTGCTGTTTTCTATCCGTATTTCCCTTGTAGCCAAATTTGGGACCTCTACGAAATTGACCAGCATTTCTCTTTCTATGCCAGTTCCCACCACTGTTACCAGAAGATCGAGGTGGCAGAAATGGTTTTCTTGATCTCTGGTCCCGATGGCGTGCTGAATATGGGCTGTTTATTTCAATGTGAACTTGGGTAGACTCAGAATCTTGAGTGCTGGCAGAGTTGTCTTGATTTATGGTATGACCACCAATTATTGCTCTATGATTTGACTTATGGCTTTCCAGAATTGCAACACACTCTTGAGATACCATTTTGCCTGAATTAGGACATGTGCTTCCCTGAGGTTTCAATGATATGCCTGTCAGAGAAAGCGGCTTCAATTCTTCAGGCTCAAGCTCGCACTTCCCCTTGGAAGAAGCAGTATTTTCCTTTGAGGGTGTTTGCACAGCTTGTGAGGATTGGTTTCCACAGGTAGTTTGACGTAAAAGTTCTTCCGATGAAACATCAGATTCAGAACTATTTTTTAAAGTCTTATTAACTTTGGTTGATTCCTCTTTTACATCCATTAAATTGGCCGATGACAGGTTATTTTCAGGATCATTGTCTCCTGGTTCCTCAGAAACCGGGAGAGCAAATTCTCTCCCTTTTTGTTCAATTTTGTCATCTACATCCATAATTTGAAGCTTGTATATATCTGTATCATTAGATCGAGTAGTTTTATTTTTCTTCAATATTAATCCATCATCAGTAGCATCATACTGGTTATCACAATATTTCAGCAATGAGGCTTTCTTGTCCTTTTTATGTAAATGAGCTTGCAAATCAGAACTAGAATCCCTGGATGCTTGATTAGGCATGACAACAGAAATCTCTTCTCTCTTGTCCATCAAATTATGCAATTTTCTGTGTTTAGAAGATTGCTCATGCATATCTTTCCGGGCAGAGTCTGGAAATAATTTTATGTGTCGATTCCACGCCTTCCTTACATCATGTATGGTTCCACAATAGTCCACAAACTGGTGTATTAACATATCAGTAGGAAAAGGATCATCATCCCTCGTAAAACCAAACAAACTATCAAATGTTCAAAATACTTTTTTTTCAATTCAACAAACTAAATACAAGTTTATGAGCCTACAGTGTATTGAAAGAAATTACAAAAAATAACACAGATAATCATGATTTTTTTTTTCAAGGAAGATGCACCATAGCACAAATAAACAGTACTTTCCTGCACAAACAAATTCTTATAATATTAACTAGTTGAATAATAAGAAAAAAACTAGTTTAATAAATACAAAAAAAAAAAAAACACTTCACATATTAATTTACTACTAAGTCATAATGAAGGACTCTAGTATAATTGAACTCAAAGAATATAACCTCCAGGTATAAGTTTGATATAGCCTCTGCATCTTCTGCACTCAAACCTTGAGATCCATCAGACCTCGGACATATAGTATCAGCAATAATTGAATCTATTACAGCCATGTGCTTTGTACCTCCATGCATCATTGAGAACTTTATCAACTCCTGCAAAAGTACATAAAATCAACCGAAGAAAAGTTATCATAGTTTAAATTCATATGCAATTTTATCCACATGTGCAAAAAAAATACCTTTGCAGAAAAATAAATAAATAAATAAAAATATTGCTGGGCTTGTACCTGAAAGCACATGTTTTACAGTAATAACAATTCTCAAGGGACATGATTGGCCAAATCTTATTTAAGCAGTTATAATTCTGTACTAGGGAGTTATTAGGCAGTTATTTTCAAAATTAATTGTGGATAAGGAAGTTAGAGGCTACGAAGTGACACTTATTGTGGTATATAAGCCGTGTTACAGACTTGTAAAAGGGAACCAAGATGTAGGGATTGTTATTTCCTGTTTTTTGAAGGTGGAAACTTCTTGTTAGAGGGAAAACCCGTGTGAGGTGGATCCTTGATTTTGTATTCAAATTTGATCTAAAAAACAAATTATTTCTATCTGTATTCAGAATTTAGTGTGGTTATTTCTTGAGTCATACAGGACACCTGGAAACCCATACTCTATTCCTCATCACTTTTTTTAGGGTGGTGTCTCAGTTCTCACTATCCATGTAGGTCAGTAGCAACTAGCTTTTTACCTGTTCTGTCAGTGTGAATTTAGCCTCCGAATCCAGCAGAAAGTTGATATGAACATGGGTACTACGGGGAGCATAAGTCCCACATCAAGTATATATGATGCTTGGTGTAGTATTTACGTACTTGGTCCTCCAACTTTAATAGATAGCTTTTGAGGGTAGGTTCCCCAAGTAGTTTGGACTTATAAATTGGTACAAGACAATGCTGGTTGTTGGTGCCTTGGAAAGTCAAGGGCACTAACCACTGGGGAAGATGGGTGAAGAGTTGTAGAGTGAAAGTCACAGGTCTTAGAGGCAGTGCTTGTTTGGTTCTCCCTCCTTAAAATTAAAAGGGGTTTTCTGTAAGTGCTTGGGCATTCAAATTAAAAGGCTTGATTAATTGGTTTTTCAGTAGATCTGCTATAAATCAGTTGCTAACTAAGCTCAGATGGGTGTATATACATGCATAATTATTACGGAAGCTCTAGAATAGGTCTGTCTACGTTAACATAAGACATTACAGACATACCTCCAGAAGCAATTTGTTTTGAGGCAAAGTTCTGACACCCTCAATTAAGAGATCTCTGGCAGCGTCCACACTATTTGTACTCTTAAAACCACGAAAGGAACAAATGATAAACAAATATGAGTTAAATACACCAGACAACGGCCTTATCATAAAAGTAACAGATTTTTTTGCTGTTTTCCATTTTAAAGACCTTTTCGTTGTATAGCTATGATTATATGACTGCCTCAACCCCTTTGTCAAGCATTTAATAAAAATAAAGTAAAAAATAAAAATTTAAAAGAATTAGATAACTACTCCTGACAACAGAATTCTTCATAAAAGATACATTTTTTCTTGTATAATTATGATATGATATGCCTGCTTCAAACTTTCGTCAAGAACTTAATAAAATAGTTGAAAGAACTAATTGTAATGAGTAATGATAGCCTGGAAGTACCCAAGCCAATCTTCTAATTAGTCTCATTGAGTTCCATTTTACAGAGCCATTTGAATTGCGGATATGAAAAGAAAGAAACAAAATAAACATGGAGGAAAAAAAGGAGATAGGAAGAAAGATTTTCCAAACAATCATATAGATTATGCTTGATTGCTAGTGACAATGTTGGAAGCCCCACATCACCTGCCTCTCAAGTCATTTGATATGGTTTAAATACCTGTTAGACTACTCCACATATTGACAATTGGTTTTATATTGGAACCTTAACATAGTATCAGAACTAAAACCTAATTTCTTTCCGGTTGTTGTTTTAGGTTAAAAGTTATCCTTTCTTTGTGGGTCAAAAGAATCCTTGTCTGGTCCGACAGACTTCGTTGGAGAAGGACATGTTGGAAGTCCCACATGGCCTACCTCATATTATTTGGTATGGTTTAAATACCTGTTAGGCTACTTCACATATTGTCAATTAGTTTTATGTTGGAACCTAAAGAGGCAAAAAAATGAAAACAAAATGTTTACAACATTAAGGAATGTAGGGTATCAGAAGGTTAGGGTCTAGAAAATTCACTGGCCTAAAACATTGCTTTTACAGCCAAATGGCTTTGACTTTTTCCTCTATTGAATACCTCTTTATGGCATCAGGATATTAAAAGTAAAGTTTGCATTTTAATGGGTGGGATGCCAATTCAGTGGTTAAAGCAGTACATGCTAGCCCCCGGAAATTCTCATCTCAAGGTATGCTGATGGTTCCCATATTATATTTTGGGAGGACCCTAGGGAGAGAAATGTTCCTATTTCTTATACTCAATGATATAAAAAATCTATACCAAAAATAGAATTTTGTCATTAAATTAAGGAACTAAATAATGTCCATGGTGCTTTCAGCTCAACTTTCTGAGAGTATAGATTATTCACTCTGGTGTGATGTTTTTGTTTTTTTTTCTTTTGTACTTGATTCTCACTAAGGGTGCACACATGTTAGATTGGGTAGAATTTGGACAAACTCATCACCCAACCTAAATGTTTGGGTTGAGTTTCTACATTTTTTATGTTTGGATCACACATATATAACCTGTCACTCAACTCATAGAAGATCAGGTCTATTTGGGTTGGATCAGGTATGATTTAATTGCAAATAAAATCCAGCCCAATCTGATTGAGTTTGATTGGGTCGGATAGGGTCATCAAGGTCACCCTACCCTATGAAAACACCTGATTCTCACAAGTTCTAATTGGATTATCATTAGTGACCTCCAAAGACCTAAATTTCATCTAATAACAATCTAGAAGAAAGAAATCAAAGAGAAAAAATAATTAGAGGAAAATGAATGTTCTCAAAAGGTAAAAAACATTGATTGAGTGATTTTGACCATAATCAAAATATTTATAATAACCTCTAAAATCAACTGTCAAGTCCCTAATAGCAGATAAGTACAAAATACCTACCATATATTTTAGACGAGAGAAATGAACATATAAAATAGGGAGGGCATGTAACTTTTCCTCTTCCGCTGCCATTTTTAGTGCTTCTTTGTATATACTGAAAGCTGACTCTATATTTCCCTGCAATAAAAATATAGAGTAGCACATAAAGCCACTTTTTTGTATCTAGGCATTGCAGTTCTTCTATGAATCGGAACAAAGGCTAATTGCATACCAGACGTTTTTCCATATTAGCTTTTGATATAACATTCTGCACAAAGTCTGAATCTGTCTCTTTACTATTCTGAACATATGCAGCACGAGCAGCTAAAAGATCTCCTATTTGTTCCTTAAACCTGGCATTGAATAAATGAATGGCTGGTACCCTCTGCAACAAACATATGATAGAGCTATAAACATAGCAATTCAGGCATGAAAGCTGTCAAGACTAAGCCTAAAGAAGAAAGGCATTAAGCAACTATCAGTAGGGCAAAATCAAGGCATGAAACAATTAATTAACCAATGCAAAAATTCCACTGAACTTGACATAAAGAATAGTGGATAAGCTTAATAGGATTTCCTTTTATTTAGCATGAGCAACATTGGCATTATAAACCACGCAGTAGAATACAAAAAACAAAGTTATATATAATTTTTCCACTTTTTTATGTATGTTTAGCTTCAATTGGAGCAGCAGAGCTGGAGGAAGAATACCTCAGCCATATTGTGGATTATCATCTAACATGCTGGTCTAACCAATTGTATCACTTCCATTTCTTAATGAACTGTAAGGGTGCCTAGAAAGGAATTATCACTACATATATACAAGGCTAACCGATGAGTTCAAACACAAGAAAATTTGAGTTCTTATATGGCAATGTAGTCCTTAAAAGGTTTGTATAGTCCTTACCTTATCCTAGATATAAGCCAATTTTGAGGAATTGAATTAAACCCTATGCCCAAATTCTTAAGAAGCTCAAAAATCTCATGTGAGGAGTTAAAGTAATAAAACCATTCATGTGCCTGCCTTCAACTTGTGTGAAGTTGATTTTTGTTCCAAGGAAACCTGTTTTTTCCTGAAGAAATTACAAGACCAAATTATTCATTGATCAGAAGAACATATGATTTTTTGAAGTCCAGGCCGAAAATTCCCAGATATGAACATTGACCACTATTTGGATATCATCCTCTAACAATAAAACAAGAACCTTTTCCAACCTAGAGAATTTTTTAAGGGAAGTTAATGTGATGATTAAATATTAAATTTGTTTAACCGCTTGAATGGTTAATTTCCTGAATTGGAAATTTTGTTGACAACAGATTCTGTTGTTTTAAGAGCTTGAAGTTAGAAGATTTGATGCTCCCAATCACCTGGTGCTAAATGATTGTGATTTGATTTGGATGTTTAATGTTGTAGTTTTGATGTGTATTCTTGTGTACATGGTTCTGTTGCCTTTATCATGCTAAGATTATGTAGAGGAATTAATTTGGATTGTTAAAGGTTAAGTGGAGTAGAAAGTTTTTAATGGATTAAAAACAATTTTAATCAATTAGAATGTTGAAGTTACTCCAAAAACAAGAACTTTTTTATTGATTAAAATCAGTTTTAATAGATTAATTTCTCTTAAAAACAATTGACCTTTCCAAAGTCTTGTATTAACTTGTTTTAATTGATTAAAATCACTTGAAGATACTTTCTTTTTTATTTTAATGGATTAAAAACTTGAATTAATCCATTTAAATGCTCTTCTCTTGGAAGAGGGACATTTTAATGGATTGATGGATTAATCCTATCAGCTATATATGAGTTATCTCAAGCTATTTTCATTGAATCAAATTGAGAAAGTTTCAAAATATATCAAATACCTAAAGAGAGCTCTATAGCTATGAAAAACACATTTCTTGGTTTCTTTACAAAATCAAAATCTTGAAGATCATTGGTTAAAGAATCTTGGAGATCACCTTTGAGTATTTCTTTTCCAAGAGTTTGTATAGGTTATCTTGTTCCTTTTCAGTATACTCTTGTATTTGTAAGGTTTTTCCGAGGGTAGTCAAGGTAATTCTTGTGATAGAGTTTCAAAAGAGATTGTGAAAGATCTTGTACAATTCAAAATCTGAGTGTGGTAGTTTTTCATTGTAGTTTTCTTGGGTCTTGTAAAACTTTAAATGTTAGTGATTTGGTCTAAGCAAGGTGATTAGACAACTGTATGTACTATCTTGTGAGAATGAACTAGTTTAAGTTTTTGGAGTTTCTCTTCTGCCTATCTTTACATATTTGAAATTTTAGCTAAAAACAAATATTTTTGAAGATGGAAAGTACATGAACGTTAGAAAATATTTGGTTCAAAGTAAAAACTTCATCCAATTTGGAAAATATTTTTAGTTCAATTTATCCCTGTCTTGTCCTGTCCCCCTCTTGAACTTAACCTTTATTTCCAACAAACTCTAGATTGTGATTATTTCTCTCTCTTGGTTAGAAAATACATCATTTTTGGGGGATTTTAATAAAAGAAACAGACTGAAGAGGCTTGAAAGTTCTACATAGCTTTCCAATGAATCTGCATATCAGAACAGAAGACTTCTTGAAATCAATCATGAGCATATCACCAAATAATAGCCAATGACATGAATAAACACATCCTTAAAGCCATACAAGTAGGGACAGAAACTCAAGAAGTATCATAAGACCATTATTTAGATGTGCCAAATCAATTGTCTTTTTACACTCAATTAAACACGACTCTTTATGCAAGTGACCTATAGATCCAAACCATTACATTTCATTTCTTACTTTTCACTTATAAAATGTTATCACAAATTAGTCTCTGAATAATGAACATGCATTGCCATTTAACATTAGTAAATGCTTCATACTTGCATTCTTTAAAATGCCTAACCTTTTGGCTATTGTTTCTCAGACCACTTCAAAGAAACTCATGTAAAACAGAAGCATGTGCATAAGCAGACTATTAACAAGAAATTCAACCAGGTAAATAAGATACCGTCAAGTAAATTTCAGTTGCTCGGTCTAAAGAATAGTTTGCAATTTCTCTTCCTCCCTTGGCTTCCATGAAGTCCACATAACGCATCCAGTATTCAGGATAGTTGGCACAGACAATCAAGCATTTCTCATAAAGTTTCACAGCCTATCTCAATGGGAGAAATGAAAGATTTAGCCAACAAAGTTGAGAAAAAATAAATAAATATGCAACTGACAAGAATTGTAGGGAATACTGTGGAAAATTACCCAATCAAAATCCCCTTGAAGTTCAATAAAATCCAGATAATTATGCCAATTCCGCAATTGATTTGCATCAAGAGGCTGAACATGAAAGTAATGTCTTCGGATACTAGCCTCAAAAGGATTAATTTTTGAATACAATTCACAAGCATTATGATAAAGCAGTTCTCCAATGGCCCTGTACCTTTTTAGGGCTATTGAACTGGTCAATCCAACAGATGAATCCATCATATCTTTGATAATTTGATAAATCTCACCATCCTTGTAACACGTAGTCATAGGAATTTCGCCATCAAAACATGGCTCAGATTGCAATTCCAGGTTTGGTATTCCTTCCTCTAAAACAGTTAGCAACTTCTTAAAACTGAAGAAATATACAACACATATCTGGTTAGGGCATTATCCAAATATATGAATATATAATATAAAAATACACGCACATACAATATAACCATAGAATTATGAAGCAAACATCATCAGAACAATCATCCATTCAAAACAACATAAAATGAAGGTGGAGCTAAAACAAAGATGTAATATCTAAGTAAATACTAAAAGAAACAAATGGAAGACATGAAAAATGGACTCCAAGAAATGGCTAGTAACTGATGAGAAATTCAACATATTAAGTATATAAAAATTACTAATGTGAGATTCATAATAATATATTTAAATGTTATTCTGCTTGAAGAGCTATATAAAAAAATTAACTAAATTTAATTTTTGCAGTTATAAATTATATTGGCAAGAATATTTCAACTAATATTATGTTTTTTTTTTTATTAATTTATATTGAAAATTAATTGCCAAAAATCAAAGTACACATATGTTTAAACTCAAAAATAATCTTATGAAGTACATCTTTGGAAATCAAAACTATAAAACATAATAGATGTCATGACCTGAATCGGGGCCCACCACAAAGCATAACAAAGGCAATTAGGCTCACCCAAGTCATGCAACCCTCAGAACTTCTGAATAACTACCATTTAACCACCCAAGGTACAGAAAAAGCATTACTAACTTGCAAAATAAATAAATACAATTCCCAAAAATATAATTAATCTACAAAATTATAAAGATAACTCGCAACAGTCACCACAGGAAAAGAAAATGTCTTCTAATACAGTCCATACTATCATATATCCTTCTTGTAGAAACACAGGAACATATATAATAGCACTAGTGCACTACACCTACAAGGCTTTCAAACATACATTTAAAACAAAAATAAATAATTAGTCTATAACGAAAATAAATATATAATTAATCTACAGCTTTATAAAGATACTTCACAAAAGTCACCAAAGGAATAAAAAATGTCATTTAGTACAGTCCATACTATTCTATATTTTTCTTGTACAATAATGGAGCATATCTAATAGGACCAGTGCACCACCCTACACCTGCAAGGCTTTCAAGCATAACTTTACTGAAAAAAAAAAAAAACTAGTTTAGTTTGCCCACACAATGCATAAAGCTCGCCAAAGGTAACAACAAGCTGCCTCACTCAAACTGGAAGAGTTAAAGTGAAAGCTATCTCCTTACTAGTATCTTCTCTTCCTAAAGTTATCTCCTTACTAGTATCTCCTTCCATCTTTCTCTCTGCAGCCCTCTCTGCCAGCTAAGTTGTCCTCAAATTTGTAAACATAAAATTGACAAGGAGAATGCATGTGTAGCACAGTTACCCATCATTACATTTCAGACGTCATAACAATGTAAGTGTAGCACAGTTACCCATTACATTAACTATCAAACCTTAACTATTGGCTAGGAGAATAACCCACAAGCAAAGAGAGGGCAAAGAGCACAAGATGATGAGCTTAAAAGTTAAATATGACTTCATACTCAGCCTAGGAAAAAACATTGTTTTAACATTAACTTCTATCAGCTTTACAAAACAACTACAAAGATTCAGAAGTTACGCAATAAAAGACATACCTATCATAATACTGGTGCAACTTTTTGGTTGGAAACTTAAGAGTTTGGATATAAATGTGAGCAAGAGAAATCCACTGCTGCTGGGAAAACTCAAAGTGAATATACTTGTCCCACAATATATGACATAAGTAGTCCTTCCCGACAAAGTTAATGGCTCTCTTGAACAATCTGATTAGAACATATCAAGAAAATCATCTCATTCTTTCAGTGTAAGCAAGAGTAAAAGCTTTAGAAGGGTATGAAAAGGTAATAGTGTGGAAACATATGGACAAGAAATCAAATCAAGATTATACGTGCGATCATGATGAATTCACAAGATCGTAAATCGTGAGATTGTAATACTAATTGTAGATCCTACTCTTACATAAATATAATATATATATATATATATATATATATATATATATTTATATATATTCACACAATGATACAAATAATATATCAAGTCACACTATAAAATATATAATCAAAGTTAAAACATATTAAAAACCATAAAAAAATGTCAACCAAGTCTTAACTTGTAGGAAAAGAAAACAAGTAAATATCCAATCACTTAAGTCTAAGTATCCTAATAAACTATAGTACAACTTAATTAAAAAATTGTTTATATTTAATACACCCATTCCTATTCCTCTACCACCAAACCTAGAATCCTACCTATCATGCACACCCTTCATTTCTCTTTCCCTTCCACACCATTCTCTCTTCCTCTCTTCTTTGTTAGATTTGAAGCATGAACCCCCCCTGGAAAGGTTCAGGTGATGGAGGCCTAGGGTTATGGTTTTTGAAGATGTGGGATTTGGGAAAAGTTTGGGTGTTGGAAGCTCGATGCCCCTATTGATGATGCAGATGCCATTCCGCAATATCAAAAGGTTTGTTGTCAACAATTTCTCCATAGCTTCCATTCATGATGACCAATTGCACATGTCTATTCAACGATTTTGCGATCTTCTTCGTCAATCCCACCGATCCTGCTCTGGTGCAATACTAAATTGGATATGATGTGTGAAATTGTGGAATCTTAAGCATGATTTTGACTACATTGCATATGGATGCTGCTGGAATAGGTCCACGTAAATAATTTATTCAAACAGTTTCTACTACATTGTGTGCACACCTAACGCAAGTTAACTATATTTACCTCCGAATATCAGATGGGTCCTCAAAAGCTGACATGCCAAAGCTAACGTAATCAAACCACACAGCCACTGAATATGTTGCAGCTAAAACGGCCTTTTCAAATACTTCAACAACCTTATCTGCGGTGGATAAGCATGTCATGTGGGCAGCATACTTCCTCCAATACCCATGACACAAAGGAAATTTGGACAAGAAATGATTATAAACCAGACATATTTTCTCCTCATCTTCCTGCAGAAATTGAACAAACATCTTATTGACATTAAAACTTTGTTGTACCTATAAATCTCGTAATAGCAATGAATCAAACCTAAGATGCAAACAAGAAAGATTCATTCCAATGTACGGTATCTAAAATGTCTTTCACTATAATCACCTTCATAATGATATTTCAAGAAAGAAAGAAAATTATAAGGAGTATTCACTTGCACACATGTAAAATGAAATATTATCTTATCAAGAGGTGATACAGAGAAAGTACGCAACTAGAAGACTAAGAAATGATGATTGTTATGTTCAAGACTATACCTCAATTTACATTCCGTTCATTAGTGGTGAATTAGCTATGAAGAAGCCTACACAGAGTGGGTTCTAAATTAAACAGTCACCTTAGACATCATATATAAAGTGAATCTTTCCTATGAAATAAATGTTCCTCAATAAAGATTTGAAATTTTCTCTATGTGTTCCATAACAGATGATGACATAATTTAATAAGCATAACTATTTTTTTCTTTTTAAATTCCACTCACACATAATCGATCATCTAATCTACATGTTACTTTAATGAAGACACAGTAATATCATCAATATCACATCTGAAACACCTCTAAAATTTGCATACAACTTAAGCATCAACAATGTTTCTTCCTATGCTCAAAATTTAGGTGTTTTATGTCTGAAAGAAGTACTGGAAAGTTCATTTAACCAAATTTCCTACTTCTAGTTGGTTTCCCTAGGTATTTTCGCTAATTTAGAAGGGCTTCCTCTGATTCTGTATTTCTTATTTCAGTTAATAAAGTCTTGTTTTACTAAAATACAAAAAGGTCAGCAAAAGAGTGCAAAAACCATCTAATTTCAAACCTTCTTCTTCACAATAAGTTTCTTTTGTTGATCTCATGAATAATTGAAAAAAAATGAACGAAAATCAATTACCATTTTCAGTTATTGATATCAAACTTACAGGATACAATTTCTCAATCTCTGAAATCAGTGAAATCCATTCATTGAAATCTGATAAGCCCTTCACAACAACATTTTGAAGCTCAAGATTGTCATCAATAACTGCAAAAAAAAATAAAATAAATGGATAACAACCCCAACTCAGTGCCATTGTTACTAACTAGCTGTGTAGCAAAGATTGATTGGATAGTAATAACCTTTACAGGGCATGAGAGAGATAAATAAAGCACAATAAAGTAATAATAAAATGACAAGTAGTCTCCAAAAAATTGGTGAAGGAAAAAAATACAAGAAGGTTTGAAAAAAGTGAAGGGTACGGAGAGAAGGAAGTACAAGTACAAATGAAAAGTTAAGACCTTGCCTACTCCTAGATGTCATTATTTACATTATACAGACAAGTATAAAATGTTAGAATAATTTGCCAACAGGCTACGATTAAGTATAAATCACCTATTCTTCAATTTACTTAACAACATATCCGTGTCCTATTCTTATTGATGAAATGTCCAAACCTATAAAGCATCAATACTTTTACTTGTTTCACATATAATACTTTTGAATAATTCACAGATATGTATTGGTTAAATGTTTAAGTTTATTTGAAATTTGGATTTGTATTATTGTAGTTTTATATTTATTATATTTTATGAATTTTTGTCTATCTTTTAAATATATATCTTATGCATATCGTATCCTGTGTTCATGCATCATAAGATATAAGCTGTTAGAAAATTAATTAGGAGTAGTGGTTTAGATTGACTGAATAAACCCCACTATACTTTTTGTAAACTCACTATATTCATTACTTATATTTTTCCAGTTTATCACATTTTTTCTTCAATTCTCTCTTCTCTCTAATACTTTAACCATGGATTCTAACACTATGTAACATAAAAAACTGAACAGTGACTTCTTGGCACAATAAAACATTCCAATGCACCATAGGTATGTATTTAGTTCATAAACATAGGCAGATTCTAATAATGAATCAACTAATTTGTCCTGAATCACTGCCAACAAACCTTTATTTTTTCAATTACCATCGCGTTAACTAACAGTTAAAAGATTCTAATCTAATCTCAGAAAGTCACGAACTAAAAGCACAAGTTAGATTCTACTGTGTTTAAAGAGTCTATCTCAGCAAGGAATGGACGCCCGTCTACATGGCGAAATCAAATACAACAAAATGTACAATAACAATTATCCTAATCATTCTAATAATGAACATACATACAGACAAATAAATAATTCCGAAGAAAATCAAGAAGAAGAAAGATTTACCAGATGCTAGTATCGGTGCCATTAGAGAACCAGGAGAGAGAATATAGGCACCACACACCACCGTGTTGTTGAGGTGAGAGTGAGGATGTGAGGAAAGATAGGTTCGGGTTATGCCCCTGCCCAACACCCTCTCACTGCCTTCTGATTCTACTTTATTAATTCCTTCAGGTTTTTATTACTTATGTTTATTATTATTAAATAATAAATAGTTGTTCTCCTAAATTACTTAATTTTAATATTAAAAATAATCAGCTAAGTCTAGCAAAATTAACTAAAATTATATTCCACCATATTATTTAAACATTTAGTTGAATGTTTAAATGAATTGAATTACTAAAATAGTGATAAAATTTGAAGATGATTTCCAAATGAATATAATATTTATAAGAAAATGTATTGCAAAAATAATGTTAAATAAAATTATGATAATAAATATTATAATTCTTATAATTATTTAAATGACTCGTTGATAAAATCAAAGGATAAAAATTCTAAAAATGAGGGCAACAACAAATACTATGGTTATGTTACGAATATTTTCAGATAAATATAAAATAAAAATTAAATTGCATCAATGCAATTTCTATAATATAGTATAAAAATTAGTACAATATTGTACAAAATAAAAACATGAATAATTATAAAAATGTTATTTTAGTGTTATAAATTATAATATTATCATGGATGAGTATTTTCGCCAATGCTTTATCTAATAATTATATTATATTTTTCTCTCGAATATATTCTGAATGATATTTGGTGTAGTTTATCGTTAACAAACAGTGAGCAGAAAATGAAGATACGGGCATTGTCCGCGCAACTCCTGTTTCAGCCTCTACTTCCTCCTCTTTCTCTTGGATTCACTTTTAAACCTTCTTTTCTAACTCCAATCAAACACTCCCCTTCGCACTCTTCATTCATCCTATGTTCACGTTCTTCTTCGCATTCAGTTAAGTTTCGTCCCTCTTTTGTAACGGTTACACAAACCCATGGGGTTGTTATTGAAGACGGCGACACCAAACCAGACTTCGTAAATAACGACGAAAACGAACTGGGCTTTGTTAACATTGGGTACATATCCAGTGTTCATGGTATTCAGGGAGAGATTCGCGTCAAACCAGCCACTGATTTTCCTCAACTACGATTTTCCACTGTAATATTTATTTTCTGTTTTTTTATTGTATCCGTGGGTGGATATGGAAATTGTTAAGTAACTTCGTGTTTTGTGTTGATTAGCCTGGCAGAAGATGGCTGAAGAGCAAGGTTTTGGGTGGAGAAAACATTGAAGAAGTTGAGCTGGAGGAAGGTAGAGAGCACCCTGGACTCAAAAGTTGGATACTCAAATTCAGAGGAATTGACACAGTGGAACAGGTTTTTTCATACCCTGCCTAATATTGTAAAATTTGTTTTACTAGCCTATTATAGTCATGTGGACAATAGAGTTTAATTTCTATGCACCCCACAAAGTGAAAATTTTACACTCTCAACATATCAGAAATCATCAAATTTTAATTAGTAGTTATCATAAAATTCAACAAACATATTACAGAAATTATTAAATTTTTAATTAATAATTATAATAAAATTCAACAAACTTATGACACTGTGTGATTGGATGGTGACGTACAAAAATACTTTGCACTGTGAGTGCATACAGTTTTTACTCATTTTTAACCTATTTAATTTCTTTCTCTTCCGTTTTTTATGTTTCATGAACTTGGATGAATAAATTGAGTGTTGATTTGCAGCAAGGATGCACTTGGCAAACAACTTAGTTTAGTGCCTATTCAACTGGTTCTTGTCAAGTGAGAGTTTTAATAAATTTGATGGTGAAAGTTATTGGAATAAGTTAAAAAGAACTTTTATAAGAGTCATAAACATTTTTCTGAGCCCAAATAAGTTATCTCTAAGTTCTTCTAAATGTTCCATATGTCAGTACATCTGTCTATGTTAAGAGGAAGCACCATAGAGATTCATCTTTTGACTAATCATATTCCAAAGTGAGTTTTGATGCAACAATAACAAATGCGGATGTTACACTTTGTTAAGATAATTTTCACTCGCCTTTATATATTGCTCCTGGAAAGGGATCTATTACTTTTGCTTGCAAATGGAGGCCTCAAATTTCCTATATTGTCATGGCCCATTTATGCATGTATTTTGGCACTGGCTAATCAACACATCATGCAGGCTAAGATGCTTATTGGTGCTACCTTGCTTGTGACGAAAGAAGACAGGCCGGAATTAGAGGAGGGTGAATTTTACACACATGATCTGATAGGGATGAGAGTTTTTATGAAGGTTTGCTCCTATCATAAATCTTGTGTATATATAAGTAAACAAACCACTTTTCCTCCCCTTGTTCATTATTTAAATTGTTGTTAAAGTGTCACCCATTAATAAAATAAATTATCCCACTTATATTCATCAATTGTTTTTCTGTAATTTTGTGCCTCTCACCTGTGTGCTATCGTAACAGAAATACAAACTGTTTACCACATGATTTATACTTTTCCATAAAACAGGATTGCCCATTTTCTATTGAGCTCTTACTGCTAGCTGTCCCTTTATACCGAGAATCCAGCAAATGAAATGTCAGTTGCTAATATATTGTTGTTAAAATGAAAGAGGCTCTTATGAATATTGTATATATATTATGCTGATATGTATGAGCTTTGAATTTTCTACTCTGGCATCATCGTCACCTTATTCTGAGTTTTTAATCCTGAATGCAATTTTTGAAGGTGTTGACCATGATTGTTCCTATCAGGAAAATGGAACACTTGTGGGAACTGTTATGAATGTTTTCAATAGTGGAGCCAATGACCTACTACAAATTGTACTTGATTCATCTTTTGATATGCTTAATACAAGTGGCAAGTCAAAGTCCGCAGAAATAGATGTATCTGGTCAGCTTGTTTTGGTGCCTTTTGTCGAAGCCATTGTTCCAGATGTTGATATGAAAAGAAGAGAAATGCATATAACACCACCTAAGGGACTTCTGGAATTAAATTTACGATTTGATGATAGGTCCAAAAAAGAAAGGCGCCAACTTGTGAGTCATACTTCCCTAATACTTTAGTACTAATTTGTTACTATTCGGAGTTTCAATGGCCACTGAATATGTTTGCAGTTTTGTGCCAACCTGTTGCTATGTTACATTTCTCGGTCTCTACCTTCTAAAGATGAATTGAGGCATAATTGTAGCTCCTACCCCAAAAAAAAAAAAAAAGTATACAATTATCTATTATTTAGATATAATTTTTTTAGTCTTTTTTATTTTTTCATTTATATGCAAGTCATGCTGGCAGACCTATATTATTCCAACCAGACTGCAATTTTGATCTACATCCTAATTTGTACTTGTATTATTTGGATCCTAAACTGCCTTATATGGATTTTTCTTTTTTTTGTGTCAATATTTGACTGGGTGCTCTTTGGTGGATAATTGATTCAGATACTTAATTGATTCTGGATAATTCACTTAATGGTGTCAGGAATGGAAAGAAAGAAAAAAATTTCAAAAGCGTCTAATAGCAGCAAAAAAGAAACTCTATGAAATGGAGCAACAACATGTATTTCATGGATATCAATTTGGAGAGAAAGATCAATGGAGCTTGCTTAGTGATCAGATTGTTAGTGTAAACTCCAAATTGCTCCAGGAGGCTTTACAAAGTCTAGAACGTCCCGCAAAGAGGCAAGTTAATATGACAACCACAACGATAAAAGTTTGTCACCACTAATTTAATCACTTTTGTCACCACTTCCTAGCCCCTTTTATTGACCAAGAAAAATTCCTTCTATTTATCTGTGTTTTCATTTGCTGGAATTTCTTGTGTTTTAACTTTTTTATTCAGATGGAAAGTGGCTGAGTTGGTCAGGGCCTTAGAAGCAAAGATAATAAATTCCATCCAAATATCAGAGGAATATTTCTCAAACGGAAGTGAAAATAAGTTGGTTAGAGATATGCAAGAGAAGGGACTTAAGCTCATGTCTGAGGGAAGAATGGCTACTGTCTTTCTCTTGAATGAAAAAGAGCATCAGGGGAGCATTTGTGACTCTAAGATGGTAGAAAATGAAGTAATTGACAATTTAGTTCTTCGCATGTTTCAAAAGGTACCTCACTGAAAATTTTGCGAATGTTGTAAATTTGTGTTTGATTATTTAATTTTGTAAATATCCTTCTGGTAATGATCAATGGTTGCAAAATCTGTTTGTTCCATGATTCATCAGATGGATCTTGCATATTAATCTTATCACAACAACATAAAAATTTATTCAGCAAATACTCGAAGAGATCAGAAAAATACCATCATTTACAGTTCTATTATTTTTGTTCATTTCATTTCCTCTATTTTGAAGAGAATGTGTTATCTTCCTATCATATGTTTCTTTCTTTTTCCACCTTGATGATATAAGTTAAGCTCGGTTGTCAGGTAAGTACCTTTTGGGGTTACTATATCCGGAATAGTTTTTCTTCATCTAATAAATTTGCATCTTTTGCAGGTCAAAGATCGTTTTTCTGTGCCTTTAATTTTGGTTTCTTCAACCCAACAAATTCAGTCTTTAAAAGATCTGTTCACAAGCAACAATTACTTCGCTTTTGACTCTGAAAAGGTTCACATCATCAAGCATCTCCTTTTATATCGTGTATTATCACTGTTAGATATGCACTCAAGTTTTTTAGTGTTGCATATCTCTTGTTCTATCCAACTTAAGGTTCAAAATTTTGGTTGAAAGAAAAGGTCCATATGGCTTTAGTGTCCACATTACCTTGGCTTTCATCTTTAAATTCTACTTTTAAGTATTGCCGTAACCTTTAATTTCTTATGTTATTTACCTTTCAAGATGTCATTATGTTTACCATGAATAATACCATCTTATACTCAAGAAGCAAAGTGATGCACGCATCAACATTCAATTGATAAAATAGCATTCGGGTTTCTATTTTAAAATATAATTATAGCGTTGAAGTCTTCTCATGCTTGCATATTTCACTTCTTGCATGATTTCATGTTTTAACTCTCTTTCAGGTATGGTTTTTGGAGGAAGAGAAGCTGCCAATAGTTAGCAGCTTGCCTGAAGGACAGAACAAATATAAGATTCTAATGAAATCACCTTGGGAAATACTCCAATCTCCTGCTGGATCTGGAGGACTTATTAGCTTGTTATCAAAACATAGCATTGCAGATCATCTTTTTGACATGGGTGTTGAGTACATTGAGGTTAGGTTATTTTTGCCTTTTTTCTCTATATTGATATTGATACAGATTATAATTTTAGTTGTTAAGTTGTAATGCATAACTCTATGAGCAAAACAGAGCAACGTAATTTTGTTAGGTTTTTTGGTTGCTGATTTGATGCATCTACTTTTACTGGCCTCATCATTGCAGTCTCTATGGCTTTAGCTTTTAGCCAAATAGGTAAATAAAGTTTAGACGCCCGTGAACGAATGGACAACTTGATTTTCTGATTTTTCTGTATGGGTTCCTCTTATATTCTAGTCTTTGATGAATAGTTATTATGGTTGATTTTCTTTTAAATAGTTTTCTGACTTTTCTTTTATGCACAAAAATTATTCAGGACTTTGTTTTAATAATATTAATATAAGAAAATATGTAAAGATGCAGAATGACTATTACCTCTTGCAATACATGGTAAATCATTGTATGATGAACTAAAGAAAAAATCTGCTATATGAGGTGAATCTTCTGATGGTAGCATATTCTCTTAAGCCAAAACTATTTTTCTTGTTTCTTAAGTGTACCACCTAGTTTATGTTTGAAATGAAAGAGGTTTGAGATGCTTATATTTTAACGCCACAGTGCAGAATTTATTGCATTATATGGTGATAGTTTTCCCTTTCTTCTTTTACTCCTTTTCTCTTTCTATTGATAGGTGTAGGAGATTTTCCAAACTTACTCATGCCCTGCTTTTCTATCCAACTGTTGTGCGTAGATAAATTTCTTTAAAAGAAGCGTGAGATATTTACATCTCAACTGAGGTTGTGATTTTGTTCAAAGGTGTTCCATTTCTATTTATTTGCAAGTTTTCATTCTGTGGCAGACAGACATCTAGAATGCTGCTGTTAATTTTTTAAAAATAGGCTTAGTTGCAATAATCTGGAATGAATCTAGAATATTATGCTGAAATACTGAATTAAAATTAACCATTTAACAAATTGTTCTGGATAGTATGTCGTAAAGATTATAGGTATTGTTTGGATAAAATTTTCCAAAAACACTTCTAAGGAAAAAATAAAATTAATTGTGCTCCAAAAATTAACTTCTGCACTTAACTTTCGTAAAAACTTCTACATCTAACTTCTCTAAAAGTTAGAATGCATAAGCTAATTCATTTTACTTTATTTTAACTCAGGAGAAACTCAATGCATTTTTACTTTATTTTTTTCTTCTTACAAGTGTTTATAGAAAATTTGTCAGGACAAAATGCCATATTTATTCTTCATGGCTTTTTAAAGGCCATAATATACTATCCCTGGTTCATTTCTGCTGTACATTCTTACAGTTATGCTGCCCAAGTGAAAAAATTGCTTGTGGAAACTCACTGCTTCTTGGGATGATTAACTCACGGGAAGCCAAAATCGGGATGCAAATTTCGTTTAAGATGGCTGATTCGGAAAAATATTTTGACCTGATATTGTCAACGGACGTCGTGAAGAAGTTAATGAAGCAAAGCAACAAACTCCAATTTGATGCAATCCCAAGGGCACATTCCTTTGTTGAGAAAGTTGACAAAGAGTGGGTTACTGTCCCCTCATCGTCCACCCCCAATTCATTTGAGCTCTCTTGTAGTATATATAGTTCCTTAAACTCATGTTCGTTGGATAAGGTTTGTATAGTGGAGGTTAGAGAATAATAATCCAATGAATTATATTCAGTGATAAGCATTAGATAGTGTTTCGTATACTCATGTAAATGAGGGAAAGAATAGCAAAAACTCACAAAAACAGAAAGATGGGAATATATATGATGTATCCGTGTATGATATTCCTTTAATCCTTGTAATTTCTTTAAAAACACGAGACTCAACCTTTTATTTTATGAAAGAGATTACTAGTTGAGTTGGATATGATTGTCAGACAATGAAGGTATATTTTTTCTGTCATTGTCAAAGAAATGGATTTCTTTTATTTTATTCATAATTTTGAAACTTATAAAGTTTATTGGTCAAGCTAAGCCTCAATTGTTTTCTACGTCCGGTTCCTCTTCCCCGAAATCTCCCATGGCACACTGTAGGTCAAAACTAGTATAATTTTTGTGCGATGACAAATTCAAAACCTGTAGATTGCGAAACTTTGTTAATGAATGCACGGGACTGGAGGTGAAGAAACTAAACTTTGAGTGATACCTTCGTGATGGCTGGTGATTGTTCTCGGGGTGGCTTTGATAGGTGAAGTCGTGATATGATGTGAAGAGGATGCGAAAGAGTTATGAGATTTTTTGCTTTTTTACACTTCATGATATTGCTAAATTGTTTTAGAAAGTTTACTCTACAACTTATAAATTTTGAAATGTCGTCAACCAAATCTACAGAAAAACATTTGTCTTAAAACTATTTCTGATTTAACATATTAAACATAAGCTCATATATGAGAGATACTTTATTATTCTCTCTTTAATGTAAAAAATTATATATTATCCCCTAGCTTTTTTTTTCTTTAAAAAGTTAAGTTGACATTATAACCAGGTAATGTTACATTTTATTAATTAGTCAGTATTTAAAAAAATAACTAAAATTCATTATTCAAAGAAGTTATAAATTTGTTTAATGAATTATTTTTTCTTTTTTAAGGCCTGAAGAGGCAGAGACGCCTTTGTCTGTGACACAAACGCGATAAATAACGGTTTGATATCAGCATCATCCATCCAAAGGCAGTAGAAAAGGAAGTAAGCAACGGTGATTCTATTTTAGTTTTGAACTATCGGGTTTTCGCTTCCACCACTTCGATTTACCTCGTGCATTTTCATAGCTGCTAAACATGGGTGCTTTGTTTTTTGTTAATATGATATGGATCTGTTTCCAAACACCAAAACCTCAAGAATCCCGTGTGTGTATGTGCTATTCATCGCTCTTTTATACCTGCTGTGTTTGTTTTGCTAACCGTCCCCGACTACGATCATACTGGCGTTTTTGGATCTGAGTTTTATATATTTTATAATTTTGCTCTGTGAGGTTTGTTCAATCTATCTCGTTGGAAATTGCCTTGTATGATGTCACATACACACTTTTTTAGTTGCGGATTTGTTTGTCCATTCCGTTATGCTTCACATTTTGCTAACCTTGCATTTTTTTAATATATTTGATTTTGCCCACAAACTGTTTGATGTGTGTTCTCATATGAGGAGGACCACAGATTGTGATTAGGAGGTCTAATTTTCAATTTTATTGATAAAAATATTCACAGCAATTTCTTTTGAGATACCTCCTACTTTTGTTATTGGTAGTAGCTTATTAGACTACATATATGATATGGCACCGGTATATATACATATAAAGTTGAACAATTTATCAAAATTATCATTGCTTTTGAAGGAGATCAATTACTTATCCAAATAGGGATTTATGAATTAAGGGAATTTAAGTACGCTATTTAGACAAACACATTTTGCCATTTTCAAATGCATCATTCAAATACACACCTAGATTTATTTATTTTTTTCTTCTTTTTAACGAATTTAGTTGCCTCTGATCGAGACATTCTGCAGATGTAGTGTTACAGTGTTGGCAGAGCAAGAATCTTGAAAACATGCTAGCTGCATATTCAAGCCAACATTTAATGATTTTCTTGGGAATGAGCATGGATTCATTCGAAGTATTTCAACTGTTCAAATATTGATTGAATTGACTTCAAATTTGAATTATCACTGCTTCCCTTTATCACAATAAGTCAAGTTGTTTTGAACTAGTTACATCATTTGTAAAAAAATTTTTAAGTTTATGCTGTAATGGAATTGCTATACATCAACAACATAGGATTAAATTCTTTTCTGCATGTTTTCTGGGATTTTTAATGAAGAAAATATCTGTAGCATGAACTTGAATTAATTGTAAGCATCCTATCGATATTGCCTATTATTTGAATTAGTAAGTCTGCGAAACCTTGAGGTTGATCCTAGTTTGTACTTTTATTTAGTCATTCTTGGAATCAAACATGAAAAGGATTGAAGTTCTTCATTCCATACAACTTTCTTTGTCTTTTCTTTGTTTCTCTGTTGGGATGAAATTTTAACGCTCCTCTTCTTTTTGTTGTAACCCTTCTTTGTCCTCTCCAGTCGTACTTTTTTTCTTTTATACCTTCTTCTCCCCTCATTTTCTAGTTATAGTTTGTATTTTTTTTTTCTGCTAACAAGATTCCTAAAATTATATTTTTTTGAAATATGTCATCGCATGTAGGAAAGTTGATTGTGGATATTGATAGAAACAAATGAGATCCGACGCCTTCCAAACAGCTAAGATTTATCGCCATCTTCTCAAGGCGATCAAGAAACATATTGGGAAGGAAGAGAACAAGAGTCATTTTTTAGAATTTGTAACCTCAGAGTTCCGTAACAACCAAAATTTGTCTGACGGTGTGGCTGTCCAACAGAAAATAAAACTTGCTCGTGATTATACTTTTCTTCTTAACAGTGTACACCATCAAAAGGTATTATTACTCTCCGTTGCATTTTTCTTTTAAACTTCAAATAGTCATTTGTTTGTGCCTGTGGGTAAGAAACAGTTATTATTTGTCAAATGAGATTTACGCAAACTTGTTTAGTTAAAAACTATACGTCAGCCCTCAACAGTTTTAGTTAGGTATGTATATTGTTAAATGAAAATAAGGGGCACAGAAGAGGATGTGGTTTTTTACCAGTGATCAACATCACCAAGGCGTGTCTGAGCCAGAAGAAATCGAATTCCGTTTATGCCTTACCATTTTCTTTTGATTCATATTATGCCTGCAATATATATAATTTCTTCAAAAACTGTGTTTTATCCGTCTGGCTCTTTGACCATGCATCATTGTTGACAACTTTTACAGGATTTGCTCTTTTCATACAATATTGCCGTGGATAGATCAGATGAAGTGAAAAGGACTCTTGGAAAATCTGCTTCAAGCGTTGGTCTTCGGCTTCCTGAGGTTTATCAGGCATAATAATTCGTAGTGTAACTTTTGCATACATGGAACATGCCTTTGTACTACTGCCGAGAAGGGGCAACTATTGAAGCTTACTTTAGTTTGCCTTCATTAATGGTAATTAGCAACCCATTAGATTTTGGTTGGGTGACTGTTAATGAAAATTTGTTTTCATAGCTATTCATCCAGAACGAAAAAACTTAAGAGGAAAAAGAGGAATGAGACTCAAAGCTGATGAATAAATTATACCAGTCACACATTAGTTATTTATTTCTTTTTAATACCAAATTCTACAATCTGAGTGTAATAAGTGTTTCCCTCAAATAAAGTGTTCGTCTTCCTGGTTTCTAATCGGAATTGATTCCTTGCTGTTCTAACCCCGTTATCTTGGCTGGCTATGAATCGAGTTACTTCTACGGTTATTTGCTTTGGAAGTTCAGGTCTTTTGGCTTGGGTTGTTGCCTTTTGGAATTTTATGGAAAGCTTGCGAACTTCATCTAATAAATGTCAATATTGACCCATTTGGATAGCTTCTTGAAAATATAAGATGATTATAGTTTACATGTGAAGTTTTATTTTTATGTTATTTTTTTCTTTGTAATGTTTCTTAAAACATTAACCAAGGGGATATTTTTGTTATAAAATAGCTCATTTGTGATGTTTTTGAATTAACTTTTGGTAGTTACTACTACATGAGAGCTTAGTAGAAAATCTAAGATTTGGGTCTTGAAAGCAAATTTGATAATAACAATGTTTTAGTGAAATAGTGGTTGTTTATGGATATAAAAGTTTATTTGAACAAATATATGTAAGTTCAATTCATGCTTCAAGTCCCCATGATTGGGTTTTATCCTGTCATTTTGAGCATTTAACCTATTTTCTTAGAAATAATTCTTTACCGCTTTTAGAACACTTTAAAAAAACATTTTCTTTCTCAAAATAAGTTAATTTCCACCCATGATTCAAAGGGTCTGAAAGAACATACAAGAAATGATTTTTTTTCTGGGATAGCATTACTTGAACGTATAGCATACTGTGTTTCAAATTTACACGATTAACACACTTTTGAAAAAGTATGCGTTGCAACCAAATTCTGACATATATTTTTAATAATTTTTTTAAAATAAATATTAAATACGTATATATATATATATATATATTAAATTTTTATTTATATAATTATATCAAATCAATATAAATATTTTTTTACATATCATAAAAATATATTTATATAATTATATTATTAATATATTTTTATAAATATAGTAAATACAAATATATTTAATATATATATATATATATAATAAATACATGTATATTTATATATTTAATAAATATATATTTATATCTATTTATATACATAATAACATAAATTTTATATATATATATATATATATATATATTAAGTATAAATAATATTTGTTTTATAAAAATATATAAATATTATTATTATATTTTAATATATTTGTATATATTTATAAATCCAAAATGTTAAATTCTAAACTATAAATATATTTATACAATTAACAAATACATATTTATATTTTCTTTTATATATATATATATATATATATATATATATTTTACATACTATTTAAATATTTATTTAATAAAAAAGATGTTTAGTAAATAAATATAATATTTATACAAAAAATCATTTTATTTAATTTCAATACAATATAAAATAGATTTGGTATAAATATTTTGTTAAAATTCTGTGTAAATAGAAATTTTAATTAGATAATTTGAGTAAGCTATACTATTTGAATGAAAGTGAATTGATATTTTAGATATTAAATCAATGAAATATGAATAAGCAACCAAATATGAATAACCAAGTTAGAAAAGCACAAATAAGTAGAATAATTATTTATTTAATGATTATAATGTCATGTTACAAAACTACAGTAGATTTATCTATGAGAAGTTGACCCCCTAAGGCCAGGATTATATGGACAATGATTTCTTGTGTGACCTGGAGTGTGATAATAAGAGCATTTCTTTGGGTGACCTTCTTCACACATATCCATTTCAGTCCTAATTCGTGTTGACTTTGGACTACCCTTGAAACTTCTTCTTGTTACTGGGTTGGCACAAAATTGTGGGTCTTGATGTGATGACCAATAATTTCCGTGCCTAAGCTCCCAAACAAATTATCATACACTTTTTTAACTACATCCAACCTCTAAACATGATTGATGTACATCTCATAATCATGGTGAGCATGTTTGCACGCTGCAACCACATGGTAGGAAAGTTTCATTAGTCATGTGAGTGGTAGGAGAGTTTAGGTAGGCATGTGAATAACATAAGAGTTATGTGATCATGCGAATGGTAAGTAAATTTAGATAAGCTTGTGACTGACATGGGAGTTAGATAGTCATGTGAATGGTAGAAAAGTTTAGGTAGACATGTGAGTGATATAAGAATTAGGTGGTCATGCAAATGGTAAGTAAATTTAGATAGACATATGAGTGGCATAAAAGTTAGATAGTCATGTGAGTGATAGGAGAGTTTAGGTAGACATGTGAGTAACATAAGAGTTAGGTGGTCATGCAAATGGTAAGTAAATTTAGATAGACATATGAGTGGCATAAAAGTTAGATAGTCATGTGAGTGGTAGGAGAGTTTAGGTAGACATGTGAGTAACATAAGAGTTAGGTGGTCATGCGAATGGTAAATAAATTTAAATATACAAATATATGTATTTATTAAATATCTTATTATATACATATAAATAAATAAATATATATATATATATATATATTATATAAATCCATATTTATTAAATTTATTTAAATATTAAATCTATAATATTAAATTTATTTGTATTTTTCTAATATTGTAATATATATATATATATATGTATTTATCATATTTATAAAAATATATTAAAATATAATAAAAATATTTATATATAATTTTATATTAAAATTATTTTATATTATATTAATAAAAATGTATTTATCATATTTCTATAAAAAATATTATTTTTACTTACTAAAGTTATTTTATATTAAAATTATATTTAAATAATAATATATATATATATATATATATATATAATTTATTTATATAAAAATGTTATCTAGAAAGATATAATATATTTTTTAAATTTTATTATATTTATAAAAAGATAAATAAATATTTAAATATTATATATATATATATATATATTAAATATATTTGTATTTACTATATTTATACAAATATATTATTTATAAAAATATATTAATAATATAATTATATAAATATATTTTTATGATATGTGAAAAAATATTTATATTAATTTGATATAATTATAAATAATTAATATATATATATATATATATATATATATATTTAAAAAATTATTAAATATATATATCAGAATTTGGCTTGCAACAGATCAAATGCTGACTTTTTATCAAAAGCGTGCTAATGTTTACAGTAGACTTTTTTTCATAAATAATACTGTTTTCAAAAATATTTACCAAAATAGTACCTCTCCAACTTTATTTACACAACTAGCACCGTTTACTGTTCACGTTTTACTGTTCACGTTTTACTGTTCACGTAATAAAATAATATTATTTCGCGCAACTGTTTACTGTTCATTGTATTAAAATAATATTATTTCGCGTACTGAACTCTCGCTCAAGCGAAGAAAACCTTCGCTTGAGCGAGGAAACCTGTAACAAAGGGGTAATATGGGGTAAATTCTCGCTCAAGCGAAGGTTTTCTCGCTTGAGCTAAAAGTATGATCGACTATTATCCAATATAGTCGATCACTTTGACATATATGACTTTAGATAGCGGTTATTTGGCCAACCGCTATCTAAACTTCTACATTAGAAAGCGGTTAGAGCCTAACCGCTATCTAATATATATTTTTAAAAGCGGTTGTTATGAACCGCTATCTAAAGTGACTCAAGCGAAGAACACATCGCTTGAGCGAGGACAACAATCTTTTACAACAATCTTGAGCGAGGAAAAACACATCGAAAAACACATCGCTTGAGCCAGTCTCCAGCCAAATTCCAGCTGGGTTCCACTAGAATAGATGTTTTACAGACTCAACAATCTTACACCTAATCTAACACAAGAACCAACTTCCAGTTCTTGCACTTAACCTCTCCACCAAGAACCAAATTCCAGTTCTTGGAAACCTCTGCAACCAAATTCCAGCCGCAGAGAACCCAGTACCCAAATTCCAGGCACCACACAGTATAACCACAAGAACCAAATTCCAGCTCCTGTGCTCAACCTCTTACCAAGAACCAATTTCCAGTTCTTGATAACCTCCACAACCAACTTCCAGCTGCAGAGAAAACTTGTGCCCAAATTCCAGGCACAACACAATACAAAGTAATGAAAAAGAATTTACAAAGAAGTTTGTTTTTAAAGAGAATTTTCAAATCTGCTGCATTAATTAATCTGTTGAAAGTTTGTTTTAATCTGTTGAAATAGCCGTTATAATCTGTTAAAAGTCCTTTCAACCCATTAATGCGTTCTTGTTTCTTTAACAGAATGTTTTTAGTTGATACAACCATGTTTATATCAGTTAAAACATTTTACAAACATTTTCTGAGTGATTCAATCGATTGATTCCCGTTTTAATCGATTGATTTGCTTTAAAACTTTCTTATAAAACTTTTCAAGTTATTTTAACTGATACAAAGAAGTTTTAATCGATTAAAAACCTGCACAGAATTTTTCTAAGTTGTTTTACTCGGTTGAATTACGTTTTAATCGATTGTAACTCTGTACAAAGATTTTCCAAGTTATTTTAATCGATTGAAATGCGTTTTAATCGATTGTAACTCTGTACAAAAATTTCAAGTCATTTTAATCGATTGAAATTCGTTTTAATCGATTGAAATAGGTCTGATCGGTCATAATTCAGTTCTGATCGATCATAACCAACTCTGATCGGTCATAATTTCATTCTGATCGATCATCCTGACTTCCAAAGTGGTTTTAATCGAGTAAAAGAAGTTTGTATCGATTAAAATACTGAAAAATCAAGAGCTGAGAGACCTACACCTGCTTGTAGCCCGGAACTTGAGTAAGAGCATGGGTTCTGATAGATGACCAGGTCAAAACATCCAAATTTACTGATTAGACCCTCAAGTTTTTTACTAGTCAGTTTTTGAACGTCTTCAATCTGAACCAAAGTCCCAGTTTGCCCAGATTGACGCCACCACCTCTCAAGAATCTTTCTATTTGGCGCAGAAGTCTCAACTGAGACCCAGTTTGAATTTGCCAATCCACACAAGATTTAACCCACGACAATATCGAATAATGTCTTCCTGCAGTTTAGATGTAAGCACTCCACCTGCATCAGCTAGAATCTTCCCAAGTCTATCACAAGTTTGAGCTACTCCACTGGTTTCACAATAAATGCTGCTCAATTGCTTCCTTGAATCCCAAGGTGGCCACCATTTCTTTGTCCGCGGAATTACTTCTTCTATAGTCATAGGTGGCATTGGAAGGATGAGGACACCCATTTTTCCAGGTGTCCTCGCTCAAGCGATGTGTTTTTCGCTTGAGTCACCTTAGATAGCGGTTGATAACAACCGCTTTTAAAAATATATATTAGATAGCGGTTAGGCTTTAACCGCTTTCTAATGGAGTAGTTTAGATAGCGGTTGGCCAAATAACCGCTATCTAAAGTCATATATGTCAAAGTGATCGACTATAATTGGATAATAGTCGATCATACTTTTCGCTTAAGCGAGAAAACCTTCGCTTGAGCGAGAATTTACCCCAGATTACCCCTTCGTTACAGGTTTCCTCGCTCAAGCGAAGGTTTTCTTCGCTTGAGCGAGAGTTCAGTACGCGAAATAGTATTATTTTAATACAGTGAACAGTAAACAGTTGCGCGAAATAATATTATTTTATTACGTGAACAGTAAACGGTGTAAATAAAGTTGCAGATGCTGTTTTGGTAAATATTTTTGAAAACAGTATTATTTATGAAAAAAAGTCTACATCAATGCCTCGAGTTAATTAGTTTACTTGAAGATAATAATTTAATAATTTACTTATGAAGTAAAAAGTATCTCTCCATATGTAGTTACTAAATCAGTTATTTTCAGTAAGAAAATTAATGTTTATAAAAAAATATTTATCGGAGGTTAATATGGCATAAAAATGAATAAAATTAATGAAGATTTTTAAACATTGATTAAATTCCAGATGTTTATTTAGAAACCTCGTAAATATCCAAGATTTGTTTTAAAGCAAGAAATATCTGTAATTAAGCAAACAAAATTATCTTTTTTACGTGAGTAATTATTAAGGATGTTTCTTCTTATCTTAATCAGTTTTCGGTTCGTTGTTGTAGATGGTTATTGTTTGTTGCATCTATTTATTATAATTTTTTCCCTTTTATGACTAATTTGCGCATTTTCATGCAAGAGGGTTGAAGCAAAAGGATCACTATTTTTAGAATCGTGAAAGAAATGGAGCAAATTCTACAGTATATGGAAGGGGTTAATCTTTATGGTACTAGTAAAATTTCATAGAAAATCAATCCATGAATTTGTCATCATCTCCATTTTTTTTCAAATCTTGCGGTTCTTGATTGACAGAAAGGAAATGGTGTTCATGAGACTCTCCTCAAACAAGTTCAATATCGAAATGACTTTTGCCATTGAATATATGTTTGCTTGGTTACATCGATCTACTTTGATATAAACTTCAGAACATTTATGCATACAATTTATAGTGACACCAACTTCCGCCTGGTGTGTGATGCAGAGGTTTTGAAAGGATTGGAGAAAAAATTACTCCTGACATGCATTAAGTTATTGATGTAAGTCGTCATTGTTTCAGTATTTAGCTAAATATTTACTTTAATCCTAAATTTGTAATTTCTCATTAACTACTGAATTGGATTTATGGTCTGATGCTTTTGTAAAATAAATCATGATTTTTTGTTTCATTTCAAATATTCAATAGGAATTAAGTAATAAAGCTTCGAAAAAGTTTAATAGGAAAGAAAGAAAGTGTGAAGAGAATGACCAAGCATTTTTATCTTACATCATCTTGCAGGTGCAAGTTGTATCAGACATTATCTCGTACATTTTCAAGCATTAGTAAACTTTATGATTCCATGGTCATCCTAGAAGCTGAATGTTGTGGAAACAGTTAATCTTTTTGTTGAAACTTTAAATATTGTTTTTTAAGAAAAGATATAAATGAAAATCATTCTTCTTATGTTTTTTAAATAAATTATAAAATTACACCTAATTGATCTATAGTATAAAACCAAATGTTACATTGAAAAATATGGAAGGAATTTTAAGAACTTAACATTTGAAGCCTAACATAAGTATGCATATTGAGAACTACAGGCAATATTGACATTTCCAAATCTCTATTGTTAACATACAATAAACACCAATTTCCCTTTTCCTTGCATATTCTGATGAGAAGTCAAAAAATTAAACATTTTTTTTTGCCAAATCGTCAAAGTGAAAAAATAATAGACGAAGCAATAAGATGTGGTAAAAAAACCTGTTAAAAATGCAATTGATACCAAAAAAGGGAAATGGTTTTAATGAGACAGTAAGCTATTTGAAAATGAGGTATATGGAGGAAGGAGAGTATGAGGAAGCAAGAGGGAGTGAAAAAAGAATTAAAATAGGCGGGTTGTCAAAAGAATGGGGCTAGCTTGAAGGAGATCAACTACTTCAAAAGTTGATGAATATATGAAATGTCTTTAAATATATGGGAATACAAGGTTTGATAAGTTCCAAAATTGCGAAATTTCCTAATACTTATATATCCTAAAACAGATACTCTGGTGAACCCTCGTAATATGGTAGATGAGAAGTCAATTAATTTTCAGGGCGTACATAAAAACGATCTTTTCAAGATATGAGACAGGTTTGCCACTTAGTCATCAAACTTTATTTTCTTTGGAGCAGGGTGGATGTTACCGATCTGCAAGAGCAATTACATATGTAAGATGATGTATTCGTAATCTACAAATGAGCAACCACAGAATGATAAAAGCAAGAGACTCACAATCTCAGGGCATTCGTAATCTACGCCAGCAGCCTCTATTCTTTTACGTCGCTTTTGGTCATGCTTTAGAATCCTGTCCACCATTTTCTTGTGCTCTTCCAAGGTTCTTTCCTGAATGACAACATCAAGAAACAGAACATTATATTGAGAATCAGACTAGCAATATCAAGTCGGTATACTTCATCATCCATTGAACTAGATACCTTGTCATGACGCTTCCGTTCAATTTGGACATAATCCAATGGCTTGTGACGGTAATTGAATCCTCTCCATCTACAATGAAAAATGACACATGCATTTGTTACTTATGGTGATATTTAACTGAAGAAACTAATTATTTTACCTTTAATCAAGGCACACATGCCACTAATTCAACTATCATGATATAATATGTAATTTTACAGGATTGCAATAACGTTCTGGCATGTGGGGTTATTTGGCAAAAATGCAATGCTAGAATATTTAACCAACTATTCATGCACATTTTGGGGTATGACAGTTTTCCTCGCTACTATTTGACATTCCGTTCAGAGTATCTTCTGAGATCCAGTCCAGTGGGTTTTTTATTTGGGTGTGTTAGAATAATAATCTTGCCTGTGCACAAAAATGTCACCAAACTGATGGGCTTGTAACGGAAGAACTGGATAGAAGTTCTACCATGCATGGAACAGAAGTGGTAATAAAACTATTTATCTAAGTCTAGCCAACACTCCACTCATTGGTTGACGGAATTCCTAATCGTCTGTCCGTTGGTTCTTTTATTTTTTTTCAATACTCTAAATAGATATCTTTCTTTTTCACACAGATGTAAAAGAAAGGAAGTGAAATGAAAATACAGTTAGACACTAACAGTATAGGCTTAAGAAAACATGTAACGAATCCTTAAAAAAAATAGATCTGAAAAAGATTAATTAATAACTTACAATCTTGAATGGACATGCTCTGGAGGTACCACAAAAACTTGTAGAAGATGTTCAAAGAGGAGATAATTGTGCATAGTATCAGCTACAATTTTTGCTACCTACAATTCAAGGCATTATTAAAAGGAAATTGGATTTTGATACAAACATAATAGTACCCAAAAATAATGTCACAAGTCACAACACATCAATTAGTCAGCAGAAACAACGAATACCTCAGGAGATTCAAATTCTATGTACCCAAAATGTCTTGATTTTCCCGTCTGTCAAAGAACAAGAAACACATACTCAGTATCAATCAACTAAAACCAATATTAATCATCACTAAAACAAAAACAACAAATAAATATTGCAGAAGCATAGTATTTTAACTAAACAAATAACTTAATGATTGAAAACCCATACATCTTTTCAAAAGTGAAGAAGCAAACAAAAGCAAAATTATTATAATATTGATTGATTTACGGAGGCTTCTACTTCTATGAGAAACTTATAACTATTAACAACACAATTTATGGTTTTGCATTGGAACATGTTCTTAAATTAAGAACACACATGCACAAAGAGGGGATGAGACAAGAACAGTCATTATTCACCATACAGCCATACATTGCATTAAGTCAAGATTGACCCTCATAGGAGTGCATTATCTATCCAGAAGCAAAACTAAATAAGTGTGCAATCACGAGTGCGTGGGCACGCAGACACACATCCATCCACTGAAATAAAACATTCTACAAAAATAATCGTAGAAGCCATAGGTGCCATTAACTACATGAGTAAATACATCAGAATAAACAAAGTATGCCACAAGTTGACACAACCACACAATTATGGAAACAAAAACAAACATGGATATATAACGGAGACAAATTAACAAGCACGCTACTAACCTTTTTATTTCTCGCGATTCTCAACCTCTTGATGGTTCCAAATTGCCCAAAATAACCTACAAAAAGCAATCATAAACCCTAAACACACAGCACAAAAACCATCTAAAATGTGAAAAAAAAAAAAAATCCAAAAGCACCTTCCATTTCCTTCTCATAAAATCCATGCGGAATCCTCGACACGTACAAAACCGTGGCGGTATTCTCTGGCGGCTTCTGTTCTCCTATCTTGCGAGCAGAACCACCTTCCAAGGGCTTCGCCAATTCAGAAACAAAATTAAACACAATATTTACCCAAAAATTGAAAAATAAAAGAAAAGTAAATTGAAAACCGAGTGCACACGCGGATCGGTGTTATTAACGCACCAAAAAATCAGCACCCTGAGACGGCTTATTAGACGAAACCCTTTTGAGGTTCTTCTTCATAGCTTTCTTTGCATGTGCACCCATCTCACTGTCAGTTAAGTTGAACCACCTCTTTGCAGAGAAACGGCTTCACGAGATATCGGAGATGTGAATTATGAGGGAATTCCTAGCTTCGCTGAGGTGTGAGTTGCGTTAAAACCCTAACCCCTTGATTGGATTCTCGGAATAACAATACGACACAGTTTTCCTAGCAGACACAGGACTGGACTAAACAGTTTACATAAAACCGGTTTGGACGGGCTTTTGCTCTATGCTTATCCAGCCCAATTTTAATACGGTTTACTGTTACAAATTAATTTATGAAAATTAAAATAAAATTAACCATAGTTTATACGATTATTCGTTTTTGCGTTATCTTATTTAAAAGATGCAAATATAGACTTTTTTTCATAAATAATACTGTTTTCAAAAATATTTACCAAAATAGCACCTCTGCAACTTTATTTACACCGTTTACTGTTCACGTAATAAAATAATATTATTTCGGGCAACTGTTCACGTATTAAAATAATATTATTTCGCGTACTGAACTCTCGCTCAAGCGAAGAAAACCTTCGCTTGAGCGAGGAAACCTGTAACAAAGGGGTAATCTGGGGTAAATTCTCGCTCAAGCGAAGGTTTTCTTCGCTTGAGCGAAAAGTATGATCGACTATTATCCAATTATAGTCGATCACTTTGACATATATGACTTTAGATAGCGGTTATTTGGCCAACCGCTATCTAAACTACTCCATTAGAAAGCGGTTAAAGCCTAACCGCTATCTAATATATATTTTTAAAAGCGGTTGTTATCAACCGCTATCTAAGGTGACTCAAGCGAAAAACACATCGCTTGAGCGAGGACACCTGGAAAAATGGGTGTCCTCATCCTTCCAATGCCACCTATGACTATAGAAGAAGTAATTCCGCGGACAAAGAAATGGTGGCCACCTTGGGATTCAAGGAAGCAATTGAGCAGCATTTATTGTGAAACCAGTGGAGTAGCTCAAACTTGTGATAGACTTGGGAAGATTCTAGCTGATGCAGGTGGAGTGCTTACATCTAAACTGCAGGAAGACATTATTCGATATTGTCGTGGGTTAAATCTTGTGTGGATTGGCAAATTCAAACTGGGTCTCAGTTGAGACTTCTGCGCCAAATAGAAAGATTCTTGAGAGGTGGTGGCGTCAATCTGGGCAAACTGGGACTTTGGTTCAGATTGAAGACGTTCAAAAACTGACTAGTAAAAAACTTGAGGGTCTAATCAGTAAATTTGGATGTTTTGACCTGGTCATCTATCAGAACCCATGCTCTTACTCAAGTTCCGGGCTACAAGCAGGTGTAGGTCTCTCAGCTCTTGATTTTTCAGTATTTTAATCGATACAAACTTCTTTTACTCGATTAAAACCACTTTGGAAGTCAGGATGATCGATCAGAATGAAATTATGACCGATCAGAGTTGGTTATGATCGATCAGAACTGAATTATGACCGATCAGACCTATTTCAATCGATTAAAACGAATTTCAATCGATTAAAATGACTTGAAATTTTTGTACAGAGTTACAATCGATTAAAACGCATTTCAATCGATTAAAATAACTTGGAAAATCTTTGTACAGAGTTACAATCGATTAAAACGCGTTTCAACCGATTAAAACAACTTAGAAAAATTCTGTGCAGGTTTTTAATCGATTAAAACTTCTTTGTATCAGTTAAAATAACTTGAAAAGTTTTATAAGAAAGTTTTAAAGCAAATCAATCGATTAAAACGGGAATCAATCGATTGAATCACTCAGAAAATGTTTGTAAAATGTTTTAACTGATATAAACATGGTTGTATCAACTAAAAACATTCTGTTAAAGAAACAAGAACGCATTAATGGGTTGAAAGGACTTTTAACAGATTATAACGGCTATTTCAACAGATTAAAACAAACTTTCAACAGATTAATTAATGCAGCAGATTTGAAAATTCTCTTTAAAAACAAACTTCTTTGTAAATTCTTTTTCATTACTTTGTATTGTGTTGTGCCTGGAATTTGGGCACAAGTTTTCTCTGCAGCTGGAAGTTGGTTGTGGAGGTTATCAAGAACTGGAAATTGGTTCTTGGTAAGAGGTTGAGCACAGGAGCTGGAATTTGGTTCTTGTGGTTATACTGTGTGGTGCCTGGAATTTGGGTACTGGGTTCTCTGCGGCTGGAATTTGGTTGCAGAGGTTTCCAAGAACTGGAATTTGGTTCTTGGTGGAGAGGTTAAGTGCAAGAACTGGAAGTTGGTTCTTGTGTTAGATTAGGTGTAAGATTGTTGAGTCTGTAAAACATCTATTCTAGTGGAACCCAGCTGGAATTTGGCTGGAGACTGGCTCAAGCGATGTGTTTTTCGATGTGTTTTTCCTCGCTCAAGATTGTTGTAAAAGATTGTTGTCCTCGCTCAAGCGATGTGTTCTTCGCTTGAGTCACTTTAGATAGCGGTTCATAACAACCGCTTTTAAAAATATATATTAGATAGCGGTTGGCCAAATAACCGCTATCTAAAGTCATATATGTCAAAGTGATCGACTATAATTGGATAATAGTCAATCATACTTTTAGCTCAAGCGAGAAAACCTTCGCTTGAGCGAGAATTTACCTCATATTACCCCTTTGTTACAGGTTTCCTCGCTCAAGCGAAGGTTTTCTTCGCTTGAGCGAGAGTTCATTACGCGAAATAATATTATTGTAATACAATGAACAGTAAACAGTTGCGCGTCAACAGTAAACGGTGCTTGTTGTGTAAATAAAGTTGCAGAGGTGCTATTTTGGTAAATATTTTTGAAAACAGTATTATTTATGAAAAAAAGTCGTTTACATTATGCTATATTTGAATATTTATATTCAAATAATGCTACCCCTGAAAAAAAATCTACAAGAAATATTGATAAACGTCAACTTTCTTGAGTGCTTTTATAAAGAAGACTGAAATACGATAATGATAAAAGGATATCTTTTATTTATAAAACCTAAATCATATTTATTTTTCATTTTTCTTTTTCTTACATCATATTATTTATAATATCTATATTTTTCTTTTCTTTTTCTTAAATGTTATTTAAATATCACTTTTATAAATATTTTTTGATGAAATATATCTTAATAATATCTTCAACGCTAGAACTGACGAACGATAAAAATATATATACTAGCAAGAAAAATATATAGAATTAAGAGAAATTCAAGAATAAAGCTATTCAAGAGAGATCGACCAGAAAAATCTCCGTTCAAATATAATTTTTCTTTTGTACTGTAACTTGGATTTGATTAACATGGAATTCAGTGTCAAATTTAGTTAAGTTATTACAGACTTCAAACTGTATCATGTAATAATGTATGGCTTAAAATATATTTGAAATCAAATCTTATTAATATCAATATATTATAAACTTGAGTAATTTTTATCGCTCATTGTAAAAATTAACGCGTGTCTAAACACTGATAAAATTTAATTTATTACCATCAATATTATACAATATAAGACATTTATGTAAATCTCTCATTCAATATTAAATAGTATTATCCTTCACTTTCCACCCGCTGAACCAATCAAAGCATTGGAACTTTTTTAATTTTCTTTTTCTGATTTTTTAACAGGGATTGGGGCCAGAGTGGCAAAGAATATGACTTGCCTCACAGACCAAACTACTGACAACTGCCAAAGAAGTTCCCTGTTGAGAAGGTATTTGCAGTTAAATAAACCTTAAACATAAGAGGGAAGTAAGAATCAGGCATATTTTAATGTGAAGTGTGATTGTGAAGCATCATCTTTACAGGCCTGCATGGAGCTTTTGAGCTTAACTAGCAGCCTTGTCAAGAAAAGAACCCAAACTTGTGTTTTATCCATTTCTCATATATAAGAACTCTCATCTGTACAAAACCAATGCATCTCCTGCTCCTTGGATTAGAGTCTTTCCTTCTCTACTTTTAACATTCCTCAAATCCCCTACCACTTTTCTTGTTCCAACCAGCTTTTTCCTTATCTAGAAAACATGGCTAATGAGCAAATGAAGCCTATTGCCACCCTTCTTTTGGGGTTGAACTTCTGCATGTATGCCATAGTTTTGGGCATTGGTGGATGGGCCATGAACAGAGCAATAGATAATGGTTTTATTATAGGTGAGAAAATTTATAATGTCCCTTTATTTCCTCTCATGTAACCAACCAACCATTCTGTGTTTCTTCAGCATGTTATATTATGAAGACACTATTTATGCAGGTCCAGAACTAAAACTGCCAGCACACTTTTCACCCTTATTCTTCCCAATGGGAAATGCTTCCACTGGATTCTTTGTAACATTTGCTTTGCTTGCTGGAGTGGTTGGTGCTGCATCAGCAATATCAGGAATCAACCATATCCGGTCGTGGACTGCTGAGAGCTTGCCTTCTGCAGCTTCAGCTGCTGCCATGGCTTGGACTCTTACACTCCTAGCCATGGGGTAATCTTTTCTCTATTCTTCACACCCCAAAAAAAAATTGTGGTGTTATTTTACTTATCTTACCAGAATTAAACTCATGCAGATTTGCCTGGAAAGAGATTGAGCTTCGTGTCAGAAATGCACGTCTGGTAAGACACGAAGATTCATTTACTTTCTTTCAATAACATTCTTGTACTGTAGCATATTTTCAACTGTCAGACCTCTGAAATGTTCAATTTTGCAGAAAACAATGGAGTCTTTTATAATTATACTTTCAGCTACACAGCTTTTCTACATAATAGCTATTCATGGTGCTGCTGCATATAGAAGATAACCTGAAGGTAGAGGGAAAGTGGTGGTTGTTTTTCAATTTTTTGTTTGACATAAAGGCTTGTATCGGTGTGCTTGTATATTTCTCTCCTTCTCTTACATATAATTGGTGAAAGTCAGAGGAATTAGCATTGGAGTGTGGTTTGAATGATTGGAATTGTATGAATCAATCATACTGTCATTTACAAGAGCAATGAAGGAGAACACTATGAATACTTTTCTTCTTTTTTTTCCTCCATCTTTCTTAAAAGGAATCTGCAATCATTATGGCACGAGAAAACCTCACAAACTTTATTAATTCTAAGCAATGATGATGGCATAACTCATATTCGACAAAAGCAATTTGAATTTGGTCACCAAAATATTTTTAATTTTGTCACGTTCGAAATCATTTTACCGCATCCTTAACTAAGTTGGTTTTGGTGTAGTCTTATCTAAATCACCACTCACTCATCCTCCATCAAGTTATTTCCAGTTCGATCTCAACCAAGGAATATTTAATTGACATAGCTAAAGAATCTTTAATTAGTCTAAGTAAAGACAATTCAAATTGGGCATGAGACATTTTTTGGTTCGCTTCAATGGAGACATATTCGGATCGATGTGAAATTGGACATGTTTCAATTAACCACAATGAGGTATCTTTTTACTAGCTTAGTTGAAACATTGGATAACGTTTTTTTTTTCTCGTTGGTCAAACATTTATTCTAATTGATCAAGAGATGATAAGTCAACTCTTAATCAAGAAATATTTGTCTTAATCAAATATATATATATATATATATATATATATATATATATTTGTCAAGATATTTCATGTATAACTCTTTTTTATCCTGTTTATCAGTTTGACACACATTTATGACATTATTTATCACATTCTTGATTGTAGTTTATATATTTGTTAAATACACTTCATATTATGTCCATTGATTTGTCTGCCATAATTTTATGTTAAAATTTGACATAATATCAAAGTTTATAATGCTTCTTATTCTTAACCTATTCTAGTATACTCGTCTAATTTGACATACATCTATTAGATACTTGAATACTTCCACCTGAATTCTTAAAGGGTAATTAGACATTTACTTCCAAGAAAATCAATCTACACATAATAATCATGAAATCTTCCATTAGTTTCCACATGTTAAATTTATAGAGAGGATTGAGAGCATATGTTAGAACATGAAGAATGTTGATTCGTTATGATTCTGGTAGTACATCTGATTAAATATGAACTAATAAAATTTCACCCATAGCTAACTGCAAACAAAGTTGCAAGTGTTTATGCAAGAGAATCATGCATTAGATGAAAGTGAATTTTCTTAAGGAAGTTTCAAAGTGAACTTAGCCCACTGCTGCTCTACATTACTAGAAAGGGTGAAATAAACAGTACAAAGACAATAATTCCATAAAGCAGAATTAACAAAACAGATTGAAAAACTGTCATTGTTGCTTACACAATAACTACAAACAAACCCCTACTGTAATGTAAACAAACGTTGTGGATTATACAGTTTGGCCTGGTTGCCTGCTATATTTTTGAGAATCTTAAAGGAGATAATGTATACCAACATGTCGCAAAATTCTAAACAAAATCATTCTAAATCTTCACAGGTTTGACCCATCAGTTGAGTTACTCACTGCTTGTATTTCTGCAAGAAAAGTAGAGTAAAGATGTTAATGTATACTGACACACCGATATTCTACTACCATAATCCTCAAAATAAACATTATCAGAAAGAATAATACAACTTAAAAATCAATTGATACAACATATAGAGCCAAGAAGTACATCTTGAATATTTAAATCGGTGTCCAGAATATTTGATAATGCTCAGACTAAGTAGAAGTCGACTAATAACAAAGAACGAGCTTCAGAATATTATGCAGACACATTTAGTTCTAGAAGAATCACGTCCTCCCACTGTGCTCATGAATCTCATGAGCAAGCAGTGTCATCAACACTAAAAAGAAAATTCCGATGAAGAAAGTAAATTTATAAGAGAATTAGAGGGTAAGAGATTCTTCAAAACACAAAGAATTGGAAAATGAATAACAAAGAAAAAGACAAATCACTGATGGAGCAAAGTTACCTAATCACTTAAAAGACCATGTGTTTTAAACCAAATTGACGCCAATTTCCTAATCACGTTCCAAAACAGCTGGCTCAGTCAAGCATTTCTCATCAAAAAATATTAGCTTTGTGCTCCACCCAAATGCACCAAATAATTACATGGATTGATAAGTCACAAAAATTAAGCATCTTCATTTCTATCAAAACCATTAAAGCTAGTATTTAAACATTGTTCCAAAGATCTAAGACACCCCGCATTCACCAAAGACGACAAGCCATTATTAGTGAATAAAGAAACACACCAAAGTTCCCTCCAATTTAAAAGTTCCAAGCCACAAGCAAGCACACAGGAGGGAGCGTTTCTATCTCTAAAAATAAAATCTTTTAGGCTGAAAATAGTCCACAGAAACAAGATCTTACATGGTAAAATAATTTCAAAGGGAAAACCTGAAATTATTTATTTGAAGTTGACAGAACTTCAAACAGTCCACAGCAACTCAACCATGAGGTCTTTTGCGCCACATTTCGAGCCAATGCTGCATGAGGCTGCATATTAATGCAGCAAAGAAAAATATATTTAAAATTGCTTTTAAACAAAAAATTTACAAATCATAATTGTGTGATGAAAAACTTCTAGTGTATATGTGAGAAAATGTAAAACCTGATAATCGGAACTTTCTGCGGGATCACAATCCTTGACATGTTCTGCACCATTGGTAAATTTAGTGAAAGGACTAGCAGACACTGGAGTTAAAATTTTACTATCACATTCCTTTGGCTTAGGCTTCTCCATACTTAATGTTGTCACATTCTCATTGGTTAAGGGACATATATTATCCTCCTTTATCTTCATAGCGAGATTGGTCACTTCTACAGAATGGATTATTGACTTCTCTAGTACTACACTTCCACTGTCACTGTTTTCTATCTCAGAATCAGCCGCCATAGCCTTAACTGACTTAAAAGAAGTGTCAACAGCTGAATTTACAGTCTCCTCATACACAGACTTAAGAAACTCTTGACAAATAATTGCCTCTTCGACTGAAATACAATTTCCATTCTCCGAGTTCTTGGTGGTCTCATTGTGCTCAAAAATTATATTTTTGCAGTTAGAACTCTCCTCAGAGTTCAAACATCTCTCTACCAAAACAACACAATCTTCTTTTCCTCCTAACACTTGGTCAATCTTGACATCACCAGAGACTTCTTTCATGGACCCAACATCAGAAGCATGTGGTTGAGCAGCAGATACCAGCTCTTCACTTCCATCCTTGAATGGATTATGCTGATCATCATGTTCATGATATGCAGGAAAATTACCCTCACCACCACCATCACTTCCTTTCTCGTCTATTGACTTCAAATAACCACTTCCTAACATTTTGTCGCACATTCAATCAAACTATTATCAATTAATACAACCAAATTAACAAATACTCATGCACTCAACTCAACAAACCCACCCACAATCAATCACAACATACTCCAATTTTATTTTTTAATCCCAATGAATGCGACACAAAACGAGAATAATTAACAAAACCCCATCCACATAAGAAGATCAAAAGGACCAAAAACAGATATAACGACAACTGAAAAGGGCCCATCTATTATTAAATTCTGGACGCACATGCATTTGAAGGAAAAAGAGTACCTTGGGGGTTGTTGGTTAAAGTGTTGATTTTGTTTTCCTTCTCTTTCTTTTTCCTGGCAGTTTTTCTCTTCTTAGGACCTGAAGGCATGATTTGAAGAGTGAAATAGGATGGTGGGATACTATGCTACCCCTCACTACTCAGTGGGGACGATGCAGTTACCACACACGGACCAAATCTACAGAGACTGAAAGTGAACGGTTAACAGCTATGTTTCTCTTCTGCTCTGAATATATAGTGCAATGGAGTGAGACAGCAGAGAGAATTATTGGGCGATTGGAAAGGGTGTCATGTCAAGTTCAAGTTTGAAGTTCAAACGGTTAAACTACCCACGACGAAAAGTTTCAAACTTTCAAATTTGTTTTTGCGGTAACAAATAAAAAATTACCTTTTTCGGAATCTGCTTTGGTTTCTCTTCAATGTACTTCTGATTGGTCGATTTTAATTCATTAATTTCTAAAACGCGTAATAATAATGTAAAATTTAGAAGAAAACGTTTCCTGTGGATACATGCCTTATATAAAATATTGTAAGAAAATGTTTCCATCCATATACACGTACCTTGTTTACCTTGTAAGTTTAAATTTTAAAAATAAAATTATAAATGGTGATTTTAGTATCTAGTATAAATGTATGAAAATTTAGTTAAGAAAATATAAATCTCATTTACTCTCTAAATTACTACAAATTTATAAATTAATTCTTAAACTCTGTAAAATAAATGTCAAATTAATCCTTTACAAAATATAATTTAATGTTAAATTGATCTAAATAGTAAAGAGAAATTAATCTCATAAAACTTTAAACTAGAACATAATTATTGTGTTTTTATATATTGAAAAATACAGTAAAATGTTTTTATATTCATTTACCTTTTAATATATATATATAATTTATATATATTTTTATTATAAATTAGTAATATATTGTCTCGTGATATTCGAACTTATTTGATTTCTTTTTCTTTTAACTTTTAAAAATAACTTTAGTGAACAATTTTGAAAAAATATTTTAAAAATAAGTTGAAAAAATTATTTGAAATTTATTTTATATAAAAGAGAATGATATCAACTAAAAAATGCAGAAAAGAATGAAAAATGATTTTGTGGATAATATAATGTAATTATTGAAGAATCATTTTATTAATTTTAATTTTTTAAAATTAAATAAAAAAACTTTTCTAAATTGCTTCGATAAACCATCCAAAATTATCACAATCTAATTAAATGAGTTAGTTGAAAAAAAAAGTCTTTTAGTTGATTTTAATTATTATACAAATAGTTAATCTTAAAAAACTAAATTATTGTCATGAATGAAAAACAAATTACAGTTTTAGAATTAAGAAAAAATTATGGGTAAAGAAAAAAATTTGAGATAACAAAAAAACATATATACAAATTCACTTCAAAATTATCCAAATCCGAATCAATTTAAGTTTATTACAATGGATCCATCTTAAATTTAAATTTATTTATATTTTTTTAACTTAATCTTTGAATTATATTTTTAAATTTTAAAAGTAATATCAAATTAAACCGATAAAAATAGATCGAGTCAAACAATCATGTTAATCCCAATTAAATTAAAATAGATAAGTTATAAAATAAGTAAATTAATTCAAGAGATTATAACTTTAAATTTTTTTTCACTTTGAATATAAGAAATTATTCAGTATAATTAAAAGTTTTTTAAGTAAAAAGAAATAGATTTATTTTAAAGTTTAATACGAACAATGTCGTAGTTAAAATCTATCATTATTTTGAATTAGTTTTTAACTATAATTATTTGAAGATGTAAAAATAATTTAAATATATTTGTAGACTTGCACGTGGTTTTTAGTACGTAACATACTAATATATATTCATTAAATTTATTTTTTTATTAATTATTTTAATAATATTATCATTTTAGTCTTTATTATTAATTATATTTAATTTAATACTATAAATAAAAAATATTAATTTGTGTAATAAAGTAACAAACAAATATTAAGATGATTATAATTTTTTATATGTAATATAACTAAATAGTATACTAATATAAATATATAATTTATATATTATCATTTTTTATTCAATAATTTACTTTTAACATTGTACTTTTATCAAAATAATTAGAGTTTATTTAGAACCTTCGATATCCTTTTTATATGGTTTATAATTTTATAATTAAAAATTAAAATTATATTTGAAATAAAAAATTAAAATATAATTGATTTAAATATATTTAAAATATCTACAAATATTATTTTAGCACATTTTGTTAGTGTCTATTTAGCTCTTATTATTCGTTATAATTAATTTAGTATTAAATTTTAAAATAATAATTAAAACAAATAGATTAATTTAAGTAAAATATTCAATATTTTTTAAATAAGACAATTAAATATAATTTATATTTATTTTAATATATCGAAAATGATTTTTATATAAATTTAAAATAATATTTTTATACTTGTAAGTTTTATTAATTTGCATGAAAATGAAAAGACTTTTAAACCTAGAAAAAAAGACTTTTAAACCTAGAAAAGTAAATGTTGATTACGTCAAATTATTTGACACAAAGATCAAATCTTGAAACATGAATAAGGAAGTTTCAAAATGTAAGAGAGTAGTAGTTCGGAAAATAATAAAAACTCAGAACAAAATAATATTTTAGAAAGAGAGAAAGGGGAGATGGAATGAGTGACATAATTCAAGTTGACAAGACAACTTTGAGCTGGGGTTCTTAGAAAACATTGGATTTGGATCTGATTTGGTACTTTGATTATTACTTTTGATTCTCAGAATTAAGAATAGAGAGCATAGCAGAAAGTAACAGCCATGGACGCTTTGAGGAAACAAGCCACCAAGTTCAGAGAGCAAGTTGCCAAACAACAACAGGTTTAGCTTCCCTTCCCTTCCCTTCAAGTTTGTCTTTTTCTGCGTTGTCACTTCAAGTTTGGTGACTTTCTTCTCAAATTCGCATATGGGTACCCCAAATTTGTGGAATTTGTCCATTAGTTTTGACGTTTTAATTCTTCCTTAATTGTTCTGAAATGCAATTGAAAATTGGTTGCTGACTAACGGCTTTCTGAAGTTCAGGTTCAGATAAATACTCGTTTTCTTAAGTAAGATGTTGGATTATTGTTTTTCTGGTTGTCGTAGCACATTCTTGTTGATCAACAACATTGTTTTAGTAGTTTAGATTCACAATTTTACTCTTACAGGGAAATAGTACTTTTTCCTTCGAATTTTCAGTATGTGATCTTTGTGAATGTACTTGTTATTCAGGCTGTAATAAAGCAGTTCAGCAGTAGTGGTTATGAAAGCTCAGATGTAGTGGTCATTGATGAGGTCGAAATGCAGAGACATCATCACCTGGAAAAACTGTACAGGGCCACACGAGCAGGGAAGGTATGCATTTTCTCTTCATGTTTAGATTAATTGTTAATGTTTGAGCAAGAAGAAAAGAATTTCCTACTTCATAAACTCAATATAGTAAGTTATATGTTTATTAAGCAAGTTTATTCAATGTCCATGCATGCATAGAGTGACATTATTGTGGTTGTCAGATTAATGGACTCACATCTTTTTACTTAATTTTTTGTAAAAACTTCTAATTCTATTTCTTTGTCAAGCTTGGCTCTGGCAGTCTGTGAAAGGGTTTTCAAAAAATAGGGGTCTGGATGCTTATCCTGAATATTTTCTTGTTGCTACTGTCATTACCACAAAACACCAAAACATTGATATCCTACATTTGACCTATATCTCTTGGAATACATGTTAGTTGTGGGAGCTCTTTCAATCATATTTATCTTGAGTGAGGTAGTGAGAGATGGGGAACATAATACATTAACTGGGGGTGGGGATAAGCATGACTGTGCCTCTTTGAAGCACAGTTGTAGTAGATATTGTCATATAACATTTGGGTAAATAAATTTATCTTCAATGCTTTGTACTTTCATGTTGGTTATGATTCTTGATATGCACAAATCTACCTTCTGATCCAGGACTTCCAGAAAGAAATTGTTAAGGCAGCAGAAACGTTTACTGCTATAGGTTACAAGCATATTGAAACAGGTGAAAATTGACTTTTGTTTCTTTTTTCCTGCAAATACAGTATACTTTGATGAGTAGTGATACCACGGATTCAGGAATTAGAAGCATCTAGGAATTTTGTTTATTGACTTTTAATTTATTAAATCCTCATAAACTATACCCATGGTAGACAGGAACAAAACTTTCTGAGGATTGCTGTAAATATGGAGCTGAGAACAACAGTGACAACATATTAGCTAAGGCTGCATCAGTATATGGTGATGCCCGCAAGCATGTAGAAAAGGAGCACGAAGAGTTAAATCGACTTTTATCTACCCAGGTGGACTTTTCATATGTTGATCTCGTGTATCAGTTTTAATGCAAGTTAAAAATGAGATAATCTATTAGACTATTAGTTTTATCATCTAACCATATTTGAATTTATGAGTATTCCTAGCTGTATACTAGTGTTACGAAATCCTCTCTTTGTGCCTTTTCCCCATTAAATCATTTTTTTTTTGCTCCAGTCTTGTAAAGTAAAGAAAAACGTGACTCCTTAAATCTTGGGCATTGTTCATAAGTGCTCACTGCCACACTGTTTTTTATAGTACGAGTATCATATTGAAGTGTCTACTGGAATATAAAGCAAGATGAAGTCCCAAAATGACCAAATTTTACTAATTTTGTATACCAATTGTCAAGTGAATGGTTTGCTAAATACGTAGTTGTTTTGAAAGATGATAAGGAATTGATGCTTAAAATATGTATTTGTGAAAGAATCTTATCATAAGTGAGTGTAGAAAATCCATGTTGCTACTTTAACTATCCTTTTACAGTGTACTTTGTTTCATGACCTTATCATGTGGCCGCATTTTGTTATTCTAATTCCTAAATACCCATGTTCTGCTTCTTTTTGTGTATGATATAGATGGCGTCATTGTTACTTCGTATTACCTTTTAAGTGTGAAATTTAGTTTTTGTTCAGATGAACAAGACACTCATGTTTAAAATACTATGATCTGGATATCTAGATTATCTGAGTAACAAATTGTGCGTGCTATATAGCCGCTTGTTTGGAAGATAGAATTGCCAATTTGCTTATTCAAAAATATATTATGCTAGTGTAAATTATCATGATCTCTTAAGGTTATAAAATATTGCATTGACATCCTACTCTCATAACATAAGTAATCCCATATTTTTATTTATTATCAAACATGTGCCACTCCTGTCACCTTTTAGAACAGCTGAAAATTCAATATAAGGAACATGTATACGTTCTGATACTACAGTGGAGGTCCAGGTGAGGTGACATTTGGAATCCTCAAGGGAGGTCAAATTAATTTATTATTCACATTATCTTTTAATGTATAAGGGGAGAAACATGAATCCAGTGGTTTCAATTTCCAGGTGTTAGATCCTTTGAGGCAAATGATCAATGGTGCACCTTTGGAGGATGCTCGCCATCTTGCTCAACGGTATAGTCGAATGAGACAAGAAGCGGAGGCACAGGTAAGTCAAAGTTTAGACTGGATTAACAATGTTGCTCTTACCAGTAACTTAATTGTGATTTGAATTCTGAATCTCAATTATAAAATGGAATTAATGGTGAAGTTTTGCATTTATATCATGTTTGATGCGATATAAACCTGGAAGGAAGAAACAATGTATGTTGAAATTATATATTATGAAAGATTCCCAATGGCTATTATGTGATAAAGATGTTGATAGAGTTTAAGAAGGTGAGCCCACAAAGGTCATAAGCCAGGTGCTGGATCAATTTAGCCATTGACCAAATATTTCAAAGTTTATTCTAAAAGGAAAGAGGAATATAGGAATCAAATATGAAAAGGATATCGTTGTGCTGAGTGGAGGGTAGTGGTGTCAAAATGGATTTTGTGAAGAGGGGGACTCTGCATTTTGGAATCCTTTTAGCAGTGGCTTGGGCTCATACCTCACACCTCTGGGAGCTGGGAGATATTTAACTTTACCTTTTCCATTTTCCTTTGGTTTTTCATCATGCCACACACAGATTGTCATTTCTCTGTCATTTTATCTGATTAATTGAAGACTACCATTTCTCTGTTACTTAGTCGAGTCAGATATTTTGTTGTGAGATTACAAAAGGGTAACATGATGCTCCTATTTATACTGATATTCTAGGCCAAGTACAAGGGTAGTACTACTAGCACAAGCTTGGCTCAGTGGTATTCCTAACGTTTAAGTCTCCTAAAACATAAAAATCCTCCCAAAGTTGAAGCTAGCACTCAACTTTTTATGAATACACATTTCTTAAATAAGGCAGAGAAAAGCTCCTTAAACAGTTAAACCACATAATATGAAAGGCATCCATGGAAAGGAGAAAGAAGGACTGACTCAAAGAATGCACCAATTTGAATTTGCTGGATCTCCTGTGCATGGGCTTCAATAATGTCTTGAAAGCTCACTTCTGGGAAGCACAAGTATGTGGAAAAACTTGGAATCTTTGCTTCAGGTGGCCGTAGTCAGAATACAGCCACTGGAGAAGTAGAATGTCAAAGTACAGAGATACTTTAGGGAGGAAATAATTGGAAAAAGCAGGAAAAAAGGAGACTCTGAATAACCAGAGGTGGTTGAAGAGGATACATTTAAAATAAAAACACTTATCTATTATTCATATTTTAATAATAGTTTTAGGCAAGTACTGCTGTAATACAACCAAGAATGGAATCATTGGTTAAGAGTATATTTGGATTAACTTTTACATAAACACTTTTAGGAGAAGAAAATAAGAACAAAACAAGAAAATAAAATTCTCCATCAATTTTTGTAGTAGTCAAAAATCAATTTTGAAAAATTTAATATAAAAGAGTTTCTATAAATTAGCTTATGGAAAACTTGTGAAGAAATTTCTTGTAACGGGCCAAAGTAATGGTGGAAGATGGAATAAGGGAGCCTCTGAATATTGTGGTGTGATCTAAGCAATGATAATTTGAAATAGGAAACATTAATCTCTCACCCCAGTTTTTGCCAATATCATAGGCCATGCATAATACAACTATTATGAGGTCATTGGCACTCCTAACCTGATAAGACTACCAAAATAATTAAAATCATGATATCCTGTTAGCTGCTGTTCCAAGATTAGAGAAAGATAGAAATAAAAGATGGGATTTTGTTGGTGAAATCCCCCTCAGTCCTTGATTGGTGATGACCCAGTTTAGAATGAGAAAGAATAACTGCAAAAGTGTTCAAGCCAGGATTTGAGAGCGTCAGGTCTCTCCCCCAGGATCAATCTCTCAATGAAATTCAATGCCTCTTCTCCCTGCCAAATTCTGTTAGAATGCTAACAATTACTAACCCTTAACTCCCCTAACTGACATAACAGGAACTGTCCTATTGGGCTTACTTAACATGTTCTAATACTCTGATTTTTAGATCATGATTCTTATCTATGACAGAGTTTGGAGGTTACTTTTTTTTTTTTTTTTTTTTTCTGAATCTTATCTCAAATTAGTTTTTGAATTTCAATCAGAGGGAGGAGATTGCTAGAAGACAAGTCCGGGTTCGGGAATCTCAAACTGCTGAACAGGTAGCCAAACTGCATGCTGCGGAAGCAAAGATGCAGGAGCTGAAAGCAAACATGGCAGTTCTAGGTAAAGAGGCTTCAGCTGCATTGGCTGCTGTCGAAGCACAACAGCAGAGACTTACTTTTCAAAGGCTTGTTGCCATGGTATGATAATAGTGACTGCTAGTTATTACATACCTTTATGCCTAACATGTGATGGTTTTAGAATTTTATTTTAAAGATTGTGCTTATAATTATTTAGGTCGAAGGAGAGAAAACTTTTCATTTAAGGGTTGCGGCTATTCTTGGTGAAATTGAAGCTGAGGTGAGAACCAAATTTCTTGAATTTTTAAGTGTATATAATCGGTTATTATTTACTTTTCTTCTGGTGTGTTATTGTTTCTACGAGTTGCGTTCGTTTTCTGAATATTAACAGTTTTTCATCTCATTGGAACTTCTCAGATGGTTTCAGATAGACAGAAGAAAGAATCTGCCCCTCCAGTGGCTGTTTCTGAGAATGGCTCAGAGAAAACAATGTACTTCTTGGCTGAAGTATGCTACCTATTCCTAAACCTAATCTTTCCTTTGATTATAATTATGATGATTATCAATATCACTACTACAACTACTACTACTATTATTATTATTATTATTATTGTTATTATTATTTCTCATCAACTGTTTCTCTTGCAGGCAACGCATCCCTTCAGTGCTGAATCAGAAAAGGAACTGAGTTTTTCAAAGGGTGATTTTGTGGTTGTGCGAAAGGTTTGAGCAAAACATTTTTCATCACGATATTTTCTTGATTAACTCAGATTCTCAATTTGTTGAGCCTCCATATTTACCAAAGTTCTAAATGCTTGCCCAGGTGAGCCCATCAGGATGGTCAGAAGGTGAATGCAATGGTAGAGCAGGATGGTTTCCTTCTGCATATGTGGAGAAAAGACAAAGAATCCCCTCTATCAATTCGGCTGGGGAAGTTTTCTAGATTCTACTAATCTTGTGCTATTCATTCTTTATTTCCCACATTGGTTTTGCACTGCATTGTTCAAATTTGGATAAGCAAAAGGAGTAGGAGAATGATGATGAAATTGATGGAAGTGCTACCCCAAAATGAAGAGAAAGAAGAAAGGGTGTTAAGCTGTGGGGTAAGATACATGTGGTCTGTCCTTTGTCAAGGGTGATACCTGACACTTGCTTTGCAGACAGTTTTTCCATATATATACACTCTTTTACTTTTCGGCCATAGACAGAGATTTACTTTTACCTTTTGTATTGTAATTGATTGATTGTAAAACATGTGTCTTTGTTGATGATCATTTTACGTTTGTGGTAATATTGAAAGAATGATGGAGATAAGGTTTGAATTTTGTACAATCCCAAGGTATGGTATCCCCATAGGTAAATCCCATGGAAAGAGATGCTGATTTTACAGTAACTGGGGATCCTGATCCACAAGACAGGAATAATGGGACTGGGCCAATTAATACCCTAAAGTGAGATCATGTTCTTTTGGGGACGGTTTGATCAAGTTCTACACTTGGTTATAGATTAAGCTTTACTTTTTAAAGGAGCATTTTTTGTCTTTTACTAAGTGTTGTGATTAATTACTAGTTTGCTTCACATTAAAATGGAATCTTGCTAATCTTTTTTTTTTTTTTTTCTCTTGAAGATATGAAGTTGGCGATTTCATAGTAGTTAATGTTATAACGATAGGAGTGCAATTTTTGTGTTTAGGATGTTCTGCCAAGAAATCTTTAAATCTTCTCTGTTCGAGATTACATTTTGACTGATTCGAGTTAAATGCGAGGATTCATTGAAGTTGGTAAAGTTGTTCTACTGCTTATATTACATGTAAACTTCTCTACAGTAACTTTTAAGAGACAAGAATAAGAACTGAGATGAAATAAGTTTATTATAAGTCAAATTAATTTGTAGAATTTCTTTCATGAGATTTTTATCAAATTTTATTTTTAATTTATGTATAAGCTTATTTTAGCTTGTTTGGATTTTTTTTCTTTCTTTTTTTCTCTCTTATAATTTCTTTTAGAGAAATTTGTTAATTCATTTTGGTTTTTGAATCCTATAACTCAACTTCTCTTACACAGTATCTTGAAGTCAATTATATCATTTGTTTAAAAATCATTTTATCCCTAATCAATATATCTACATTCCGTCTCTCAGATAAATTAATCATTAATATATAATGAATTTTAAATAAATTTATCTAAAATATATTAATTTTGTACACATTTATAAATTTAATTATATTATGAATTTATTTAACTTTTTATTGAGTAAAAATTTAGGGATTTAACTTAGTAATGAAAATAAATACTAATTTACATCATATATATATATATATATATATATATATATATATATATATATATATATCATAAAAAGCATTGTAAACTTTTGCTGACAAGAGAAGTGATAAAAGTTACAAAATAATATAAATTCAACTATCATTAATCTTCTAAACGGAAACTTGTCTTCATATGCTAGAAAACAAGTGTTGAATTCAATAATTTTATAAGCAAATAAAATATTTTTTATCCTTATCGAACATTTTTTTTATGGTAATTTAGTAACGATAAAGTCAAAATTCTAGTTCAAATTTTTAACTTTATCTAAAAAATCATGTATGATTGTAGAAAAATTTGACGTTATAACTTGTATTTTTTAGCATTTCACATATTTTATTTTATTTTTTAACTTTTTCATTATAATAAAATTAAAAATTTGTTTCGACTAAAAATAAAAATATTTTAATCTTATATTTTTTTATAATACTATTATTAGATTTTATTATATATATCATAAGAATAAATAATAATAATAATAATAATAATAAGTCTCCTCTTTGTTTTATTCTTGTGATAATAAAATCATTGTATCTTAGTCCAATTTTTTTATTCAATACATCTAAATATGTTCATTGATGAGATAATATAACTTCACCCCCAAATTGATTTTGAAATCCCCAACCTTTCACAATCACAAAAATTAGTCCAAAACTATCAACATCATTTTGAAATACTTAATTTCATTCAACTCAAATTTTCAATTTGTAAAGTAAGATTTCATCTCAATTGTATAAGAAAGGAATATGTGGCACGTTATTGTTACGTTAGAAACTTCTTCAGTCTCATATTTTTCTACGAAATTAAAAATTTGAACCACTAAATATATTTTAATTTTAGAAAAAAAAAACAGTTACATTTGTTACTGCAATTAATTCATTTAGGGGAGAGGAATTGGAGGAATCAAAATAGAGAAAAAAAAGTGAAATACGTTAAAAATATTGAATGTCTAATTATTTGTTAAAGCATAAATAGATAAAATAAAATAATATAATTTTGATTAATTTTAAAGGAGATGAATTATTTAAATAAGATGATATCGATTATGCCTTACTCATTTACCTGCAAAAATTTGCAACTTCCCTCATTTTAACTTATTTAATACCCATTTTTCAAATTGAAATAACTGAATATACAATTTCAACAATTAATTAAATTAATAAAATGTTATTCGAGTTATCACCACAGTAAGTATTCTAATCACGGTTAAATATTCTTTTAACGATAATAAAAATTTGTTGTTGATACAATTATTGTTAATATACTCTACTTTTAATTATAATTAATAATTGTCATCGAATATAAAATATACCACGAGAATTGAAATGAATATTATCTGCTTTATTTTTTTAAAATAATCTAGCGACAGTATTAACGATATTGTTAACGTTGATAATGACGAAGATTTCAACATTTTTTGAACGTAATAATTGACTGTAATATTTAGCCAAGAGTTGGACATTCCTCTTAGGTTTATTTATTTCATTTCTCTAACAATTAAACGGTGAGATTGATCCGTTTTAAGTTTGAGGTTAAAAAATTGAGTTGATGGTAAGCGGAACAGATTTGAGTTTTTCCCGTCGAAGCGAGGATAAGGGAGGGATGGTAATATAATCTTACCTCGTTTTCTATCTCAACTTTATATTTAAATTTAAATTTTAAAATATTAATATTTTAAAAGTATTTATTTTTCTTTTTTAATATGTATAAGGTTATTTTTTATATTTTACTATTTTTACTTTTTTTATCTATTTTAATTTTTTTTAATATTTTATATCAATTAATTTATTACATTATTCTCTATTTTTTTACTTTTCCTTAATCTTTCCAATCAATTTATTTATTTATTTTTCAATATTTTCAACTAATTTGATGAATACAATGTTATTTTTTTCTTATTTATTTTTTTTAAATGTTTTCCATAAATATTAATAGTAACTAATATTATTTTATTTATAATTTATATTTATTAAGTTTTATTATATCATATTTTTTTATCTTATTATTCTTATTTGTCATATATCAAATTTTATCTCAATAAAATATTTATATTTTAAAAGATTAAAAAGAATTGATAATTTAAACTTTTATTACCTCGAACTAATTAAATAAAAATTAACTTATTAAATATTTCCTTATAAATTATATATTTTATACTTTTAAATGAAAACTTAACAATGAATTATATGTAATCAAATGTTTAAATATAATATAATAATAATAATATTATAAGTATTCAAATGTTATAATAATAACAATAATAATATTATTATTATATATATATATAAAATAATTAAATATTTTTTTACATACATATTTTAATATAAATATAATAAATTAAAATATATATTTAATTAATAATAATTACAATTGTAAAATTATAAATATTTATTTATATATAAAAAATATATAGTAAAATTAATATATTATAAATATAATTATATTTTTAAAAATAATATAGATCATGGACAGGGCGAGGAAGGAGAAACTCAAAATCCAGTGGTAACGAGGGTTGAAGACTTAATTTTTAAATTCGACGGGAATTAGAGACGAAGACAAATACGGTTAAAAAAGTCGGAGATGGAGATCGGGGAGGCAAAATCCGCTCCACCCTGTTGTCATGGCAATACATCTTTTTAGTTATTTTAACATAAGAATAAAAATCTTTTCTATTTTTTTCTTAATTTTTGAGATATATGGAATTAGTTTATTTTGTGTAACATTAATAATGATAAACAAGGAAATAACTTATTTTTAGATTTTAAAGGAACATGTTTCATCCCTTCCTTATCTTATTCATTTGATTTTTATTATTCTTTATTTATTAGGTTTGATCAAAATTATATGAATTTTTCTTTATGAGATATATTTCATATTTTAAAAGAGATGTTTAATTGATTACTCACGTTCTAAAGTACTAATCATTTTGTTTTTCGAGATAATCATAACAAATATTATCTCATCTCACACACATAGTTATTTCTTGTTAAATAATGACTAAATCACGTGACAAAACGCGTGAAAAAGTTAAATAAACTTTGTTTATTAATAAAATTTATATATTTTTTTACATGTTATTACCACTTACAAAAGCCCATAATTTTTTTTAATTCATTAATAAACCCTATTTTCATAATTAATCTCTTTTCATTCTATTTTTATCTATCATCACTTTCAAACTGGACATTAAAAATAAAAATTTTAAAAATAAGAAAATATACACTTTGTTTATTATGTATAATATTAGACTATATATACAAAAATAAATATTATTTTTAACAATTATTGTTAGGGTTATTTCATTAATATCTTTATCATCTTAATATTTTTTTCATTTATAATCACTCTTAATAATTTATTAAAATCATTTTACAATAAATATAATTAAAAAAATAAAAATATAATTGATAAAAAGATAATTAATGTAATTTTGAAGAAACAATTTTTTTATCGTCAAAACATATTTATATAAATTAAAATAAAGGAGTATAAAGAATCATTATGGTTTTGAAATTATCCAACATTATCTAACTAGTTTTAAAATAAAATATTTAAAACCAACTAAAATACAATTTATCAATTGTTTTTGAAAAACATTGAAAAGTAGTGTAACTTGAATAATAATAATAATAATAATAATAATAATAATAATAATAATATAAAATTAAAAGCCAAAATAACAACAAGTATTAAGTTTTAAAATTTAGATCAAACAATTAAAAATGTTATTTTTTTTTCGTTTCATACTAATATAATAGCATTTTACATTTTCAAAAGATCAAAGTTTAAGCAATATCTTAGAATTATACATCATGAATATCCTAATATCATTGGTTAATAATGCACATACTTACACACAAATTATTGATTTTTTTCACTTCATTTTTTTTTTCTTTTTCATTTTTGTAAACAGAATTGCATGTTTTAAAACCACGTCAATATCCACAACACCACATCTACATCCACAGCACATAACATTTTCATTTTCAAAACCACATTTACCTCGGAATTCGGGGAAAAGTAATAACCTCTCTCACGCAGACACTCTTCCTCTATGTAGTATAAAATCTCAGCTTCTTGGGTTTTTTTCTTATCTCTGCTTATTTTCTTCAGCAAATACAAACTCACTCTTCCCAATCCCATGGCATTTTTCATACCCTCTTTCTCAACACATGCTTTCTGCCCCAAAGGTTACTTTTTTTTCCCTCTCCTCCTTCTCGGCCATGTACTATTCTCATAGGGTTTTAGTTTTGATGGTTAAAGTACTTATCTTTTTTGTTTTTTCCTTTTAGCTTTAATATAAAGCCTCTTTGGTTCTGAACTTGTTATGTCACTTTGAGTTTATTACCATAATTTCTGATGTGGGTCTTCATTCCATTTTTAATATGCTACCGTACTAGTAGCTCTCCTCTTGGGTATCTTTATGTTGTTATTCCTGGTGCTAGAGCATGCACTCCTTTGGCCAAGTATATGATCTACCTTATTCCTAAGAGTATTTCTTTGATTAGTATAGTGATTTAATGTTAGAGAGGTACTCACATGAATGTCAGGGAAGAGATTGACGAGTGTTAGTTATGGTTGGTACTTAATGGATAGAAGTTAGTGAGAAAAAAATGATAAGATGACATTGTTGATTAAGGTTGTGCGCAGTATCCATCCTCTGTGGTTTAATATTTAGTGATTGTTTATTTATGTTGCCTTCTTGAGATGTGTGTTTGTGGATATTGATGAAAGATTGTGTAGGAAACAGCTTATTGGAGCAGAGGTAAAAATTCTACTTTGCGTTGCAAAATATATTTGGTGGATGGGTAATGCAAGGAATTCTAGGAGTGGGGCCTACTAAAATAAATCCTTTCCTCATGAATCCAAATGTTTTCCATTTGTCTTCTCCAATTGTTCCATTGTATTTGACCAGGTCCAAGATATATGTCAATTTGGGTAGTTGAAGAAAGTTTGGAGGAAAATTTTTAATTGTTATGTTTTGCCTGTACCCACATGTATATCAATTCTGTATCTCTTTTAAAATAATACCACAAGCTTTTCAGGCAATATTCTCATAGTAAATACACAATTTGGCCAACCTATTGCAGATATCTTCTCTTGAATTGAAACTGTGTTTATGCTCTCAGTTTGTCAGTACATCTTACCCATTATCAATTCTACTATTGAATAGTTTATGATCAACAGAATAATAACATGTCTTGAGTTACCTAGGCAACTATCTGGTCGTACTTTTCTTTTCCCTATAATTACTGTTTTGATGTCCTCACCATTTTGTTTTATCTCTAACAATTGGCTTTACAGCTGCTCATGAATTTTACAGGTTTGGGGAAATTTCTGGTTGCTGGCACAAGGAACCTATCATCTTGTGTCAACACATGAAAGATTTTTTGGTCGCTTGAAGGTATTGGAGTTATGGATTGATATACCTTAAGTTTGAAACAGGGAATGAAGCCATTGGTCCTAGCAGCTTAATTTATATGTAGTATATTATTGCATTTTTTTTGTACATGGTTTGATGTAGTCTGGATCAACCATTTATTGTACATCAATTTGCTATATATAGTGGCAACTTGAACTTTCCTACCTCAAATGCTTATAGTTTTGTTTTTCTTTTGATGTCATTGTTTCCTATGTTTGGTTTGTTAAGTATAAGCACCAAATTCAGAACTCATCTATTTCTGTGTCACCCTTGCAGCAGCTATATGTTTCCATACTAAGCAATATATCAGCATTCTCAAATATTTTTTTCCTCATAACATCATTAGGATGATCCATGATTTGTTTCCATACTGCCTCAAAAACCAATTCTTAAATCTTTAATATTTTCGAAGAATTCTTTTTGTGCATGAACATCCCTCAACAAAGCAGATAAAAGCTTTTTATAAACTGGCATTATGCCTCATATAAAGTCAATTAACTTCATATTTTACGAATCTCTCTTGATTTTTAGATTTTGATAAATTTCAACCAAAGAAAAAAAAATGTATATTGTTAACTATCCTTATTGTAACTGTGCTCAATGTGGAATCAGTTTCATTTGTCTGCTGTTTATTTATTTGAAAGGGGGAAGGGTCAGTATTTTTCACATCTTCCTGTTGTTTATATGTGGAATCTATGCAGAGTTTGAGCTTCGCTGTAGTTGTTAATTAAATTAATCCAGAAACATTTTCACTAAATTAAAATATTATTAACTCACGTCTGTAACGGAATTGGTTCTTTTGATGCAAGCATCAATTGTCATGCTTGAAACTTTTTGAGTAAATCAAATTGTATGGTTGGAATAGCTTTAAAATGAAAAATTCACTTCGATTTAGCAATTATACATTGTTCAGAATAGGTAAAAGCTGGTAAACAAAGACAAAATTATCAGTTCAAGCAAGCAAAAGGAAATTAACATGAACTCAAATTCAACCGTATTTGAGTGGAATATTTAAATATACACAAATTAGAAAGAATCAAATTAATCTAAAATTTACTTATTCCACACTCAAGAGAATGTAGAAAGCCTGCATTCACGAGGTCGACCTTGAGGAAATCGCTTGTAATCTTTGCAGTAGTTATAAATCATGTAATACTTTTGCACCCATCTCAGATTTCTTCTACCATAAGCATCTAAATCATGAACTAGCCAAGTATCATTATGAGTAGTAATGGCAACTGGGGTTGAAGGACAGGACGATGATCCTTTGGACCACACACATGCTTTAGCATCAAAGTTCCTATAGTAAGCTTTGAAAGGAGCATAGGACCAATTGGTTTTCACAAGCCCTCCTCTTGTTGCCCACTGGTCTGCACACCATAGACTGGAGTATAGCCTCATGGGCTGGTTGCTAGCAAATGGAACTCCCCTGGCTTCATAGTTGTTGAAGACTCTAATAGGGGTGTTATCTACCAAGAAACTAGCCAAAATTTGGAAAAATAGAGGATCAATGGAGTAGCTATGCAACACATGTGGAACATGGATAGTTCCATGAAATTTTTCATTTTACTGAACAAAATTTCATAAAGAAAATAGATATCCATAGTAAAATATAGGATAAATGGACAATGAAAGCTTTATGTTTCTTACATGATGCGTTGAGGGTTCCATAAAATAGTGTAAGTGTGGAAATGTTTTGTTGGGTCAAACCAGAGATAGAATTGTTGTTCCCTATTGCCTATGCCTTGGGTGTAGATATTAGTGTGGACTATGTAGGGCTCTCCACTGATGTTTCCCAGGAACTCAAAATCTATCTCATCATGATTTGGCCCTTCAGAAGATAACTGCATCACCATGCATGACACATAATCTCAGTAAGAAAAAAAAGCATAATAATATTTACACAATGTGGTAAACACTTCTGCCTAAGCCAAGTAATAGTTGATGCATTACCACTTTCTAATATATAGAATATTTTTGTGGCCCAAGATTTATATGATTGTTTAGTATTGGCTGGTTTAGTGCACAAAATAATTTTTCGTATGCTATGCATGAACGGCATCAAATTTAATTACAATTAAGCTTAAGATGAGAACAGAAACTGAGGACTTCTCACATAATATGCAGTGACTGTGCCAGCTGAGTCGCCAGAGACAAGCTTAAGCTGCATGTCTATTCTTCCATACAGATATTCTGCCTTGGATCGAAAGCCAGAGCCAGAGAACTGGTCAAGAGAAAGCACGAGAGAGTTGCTTCCGAGTATCTTCACACCACCATTTTCACCCCAAGTGATGTCAATATCTTCATAGAAATTACCCTCAACAATGACTCCAAAGAGACACATCAAGAGATAGGCCAGCAATGGAGCAGAAACTCTCAGATATGTCTCAGGAATTGCCATATTCAGTTTAAAATCTTGTGGTTTAAAGTGTGAGAAGATAGTCTCTTTATATGGAGTTTATATGAGTGATAGAGACTCTTTTGGTGCACTAGGACGCTTCATGAACTGCTGAAAGCAATGGAAGGAAATAAGCTGGCAATTGGAAGAGTTTAGCTAATAATTGAGTGGGTTCCTGGGCAGTCATGAACTAGGGATGTTATAAAGAGATTTCTTTGTTAAAGTCATTACTTATTTTATTAGATCGCCACCTGTAGAATAAGCAATTTGTTTGAAAAATGTAAAGTAAAGCAATCTTAATCCTAATCGTTGGTGATAAAATCAAATGTCAATATTATACGCACATGCATAATAAATTACAGGTTGAAACATTATTAACTGTTAAATTTTTCATCAATGATTGCTTATTTTACCTTCATTACTTGGAGCTTTTATTTTCTATATTTTCTAAGGCCAACACAAGAAAAAATAGAGTAAGAGAGAGGATAAAATGAGAAACACATTGTAAAAATGGAACCTGCATGTGTACTCAAATCAACCAATTTCCTATAAAGGGGACAATACCTTTGAGTATTTGTTACAGATGATTAGTGATATTGCGTGTAGAATAACTATCTATGTCTTGGGTTGTACATAAGTAACTTCAGAGATCAGAGAATGTCAAAAAATGTTGTCTGTTTTGAGGATATCTAATTTCATACCATAATAAATTGAATGAGGAGTGGAATTGGAAGAAACATATATGCTTAACTGGCTATGCTGTGGCATTAATTATGGCTTGTCTTTTCTTCAAGAGCAAATTTAGATTTTGAGGTAACTGGGTGGATTCAGAACTTGCCAAAGTAACTCAAAATTCAAGGTTACACGTGCACACTTGCATGTGATTTTTTCCCTGTAAATGATACAACTGAAGCAATCTATATGATTCCAAATCAGCATCTTCATAATGTTTTATCAATAAACAAATATTTAAATTTGTCTATTGGAATTGGCCTAGTAACAGAGCAGAAGTTGAAGGTTATTTATATGAAACCTCATTCCAATTAAAAATAAATAGTCTTGTTCTTTAGGTGTTCGTCTTGAAAAAAATGTTTAGGATACAAAATAGGCAACTACTTTGATTTGAACCCAAACCTGCCTCTGTTGCAGATTATCCGCATACCATCGACACACATTTGTATTCTTTTAAGAAAGAGTATGTTACATTAGAAAAGGTTTTATAATCGAAATATTAAGAAAAAATGTTGTTTAATAAATAGAACAAAATAATCTCTAGTGAAATTTCCTCTTCCAATTACACTTTTTCCATCAATAAGGTTATATTTTGAATGTTTATGCTAAAAAAAAAGTCCAATACCCCACGTTTTTAATATTATCATTTTTAATTTAAAATATATTTTTTAATACCATAATAATAATAATTTTCTCTCCACTTTATTCTCCTCAGTATAAATAATAATTATTTTTCTTCTATTTTTTTCTTCATTCTTTTCCAATAAACCATATTAGTTCTCTCTTCCCATTTTATTCTCTTGATCATATATAATAACAATTTTCTCCGGGCTCCATTGGTTTTCACGAAAACTGACAAGTGATCAATAGAGAAATGAAAATAACAATTTATTTTATTTAATAATAAAAACTATCATTTTCTATTATAATAAATATATTTACTTTTTCTTTATAAATAAAAATATTATTTTATAAAATTATTTTTATTTAAATAAATGATTATTCATTTTTATGTTTAAATTTTAATATATATATATATATATATATTTAATTACTATTTTAATAAAATATTATAAATATGAAACGAATAATTTAATATAGTTTTTTATTTTCAAAGTATTATAAATATTATATCAAAGTATATATTATTGAAAAAATGAGATATATAATTTCAAAATAAAAAAATTATTAATAAAAAATTAATTAATAATTATATGAATAACTTTATAATTAAATAAATATTTAATTTTAATTTAATTATTTATTACTTTTTAAATAAACACTTTCATTCATTTTCATGTCACTTTCCTATTAAATAAAATAATATTTTACACTTTGTTTTATCTTTCTCTCTTTCCGTTTTTTTTTCTTTTCTCATATTTTCTTTCTTTGTTACTGACCAGTATAAGTATAATGTTTATAAATACTAGCAATATATTGTTTATAAAATGGCTTATATCACTATTTGGCTTCATTATACTAGTTTAGTAGTTTCTTAAATTTGAATTATGTGATAAGTTTTTTTTAACATTTTATTCTATAAAGCATTCTCTACTTTTAAATTAAGTAAATTTACTCTTATTCCAATTATAATTTTCTATCCTTCTTGCGAAACCCCAAAATTCCCATTTTATGTTCAAAATCGTCACAAATAAAAATAATTAATCATTGTTTAAAATAAAAAGTAAAAAGATATAGTAGATAAACTTTATATAACTCTTTAAAAATAAAATATTACTTGCGCAGGCCTTCGAAAAAAGGAAAATGCCTGGATCTCCATGTCCAAAATATAAACAAGACATGCAGTGATTATAGATACGTGGATCAATCTATGCTGAAGACTAGCCATTAATAAATAAAAACAATTCCATCCGACACATACTTTTCTGTCTCTTCGTTCAACTAGTTGCTATGGTACACAAAAGTCCAGATCTTTTGATAAGAAACGCTCTCGTATGATACATGTATGGTGAAAACATACAGAAAAACTTCACCATTCTTAAATAATTCACATATTAACCCATGTGGAGCATAACTTAACCTAAACTATGATGGCAAACAAAGATACATGGTATGTTGAGAACCCCTCCTTGTTATCATTTTATCTTATTTGATGAATGTCATAAATTAATCTCCATCCTCAATTATTCTTGTCACAACTCCAACAGCAATTGTTCTTCCCAGGGATCTTAGGGACACCCTTCCAAGAGCTCTACAACTAGAGAACTCTACCACACAGACTGACTCATGCAAAATCACCTAAAAATCAGATACAATAAAAGTCATTCTAAGTTTTGCGAATCCCAGGCATCATAGATGTACAATAAAGTGAAGATCATTAAAACAGAGAGTTTTGCATTGATTTTTCACCTGAATTACTGCACTTTGCTTTGCATTGAGACAGCGAGGCGACTTTTTGGTCACCTTACCAGTCTTTGGATCAAGTACTGACAATATTCTTGAAACTCTAGCAGGTTCCTTCGCATGGTGTATATGAAACTCTAACTGCAGACATAGAAAAAGAAACTTGAATTTCCCTGCAATGAAATAGAGTGGAAAATAAAGTGCAAGGAATGTCATTCGCAAAGTACAAACCTGTGTGCCCACCAGTACTGGACTCGCACCATCCAACACTAGCACTTTCAACTCCAAATGCTTAGCAACTGCAACTGGAAAGTCAGGATGGCATAGTACATCTCCTGCCATCACATGATTTCCATCGACACCTTGCAATGTTACAGATACATTATCTCCAGCTCTAGCAACAGTACAGGGATTAGAATCACGCTCCAATGAGCGTACTGTTCCCACTACAGCTGAAGGCATAACCAAGACCTACAATTTTATAAAACAAAATAGAGTTACAGGCAAACATATTCATGTCATGTAAGAAAAGCTCAGAGATAAAGAAATGTGCCATTGGAGATATTATTATCTCAATTTTCGTGCTAGACAGTTTTCCTGCATAAAAATTTTAGGCAACATCCCTTGCAGCCTGAGCATTGTCTAACCTAATAGCCCGGGCGGAAATGACACATTTATAAATTATTGTATAAAATGAGTTCATTAAGTAAACAATTGTTTCATAATAAATAGTAATAACACTATAAGTTGAGTTTAATTTATATATACTGTAAGCATAAAATATTTTTGGTTAAACATTCAATAAAAATCTACCATATCCCATCATTATATTAATTTCTAGGGTAATGAAGTAAAATGGTAAAATCTAATTGAAAGTTTGTACAAAAACATTTATACTAATAGTGTATATAAATTCAATTAAATTTTTATTGAGTCCTTTTTCAAAATTTTAATTGTAGTATCTATACCATGTACATTCAATAAAAACACTGGGAATAAAATACTTAAATGATATTAATGCCTAGCAGAAATTCAGTTAGTTTCAGATCAGTAAATAACACTTCTAATTTGGAGTGTTCCAAATTTAAATCTATAATTTGATTTTTCATCTAACAGCATTCCTAATCAATACCTTTGATCCATTCCGAAGAGCTCCTGCTTCCAGTTTACCACAAGCAGACACCTGTCCAAGCATTGTTGATTTGATGACATCACATACTGGCATTAGTAAAGGTTTTGAGAATTCTCTAGAAGGAGGTTGGAGAGAGTCAATCGCATCTAAAAGATAAGGTCCACCGTACCTGTTCACAATGAACACAAACATAATTTTAATAGCAGTATAAATTGCATACAATTCGAAACAAGAATGAAAGTGACTTGCTAAAATGCTATCACACCAAATTCAAACCTACTCTGCCTGTATATAAACACCATAAAAGATGCCAAGCTATCAGTGTTATTTATTTTATATTAACTAGGCAGTACTCCTGTAAACAGTATGGGGCTATTGGTTCTATCCCATTGCACAGTTTCCAGTATGTCTTTATTCACTAATATTTACAATAATACCTATGTAAACATAAGGTTACAATAAATAAAATAAGCCCATCCCTTCCATAGACCTCTTGCCCATCATGAAAAGTAAAAATTAGGCCTAGAGTATCAAAGATATATACCAGTTTTTTAAACTAGTGTCAGAAGGGGAGGCTACCAAATTTTGATTTTCCATGGCACTCATGGGAATCCAAGATAGAGAAGAATCTTTGAAACCACATGAGTGGAGAAAAACTCCAAGCTGCTGCCTTATAAACTCAAATCGGTCTTTGGAGTACGAAACAGTATCCATCTTATTTACAGCAACTATAACTCGATCAACACCAAAGCTTCTGATAAGTTGTGCATGCTCCCTTGTTTGCCCTTTGCTGCCATCCATACCAGCTTCAAATGAACCTAGTGAGGCATCTATAACAAGAATTGCAGCATCAGCTTGTGTTGCCCCAGAAATCATGTTTGGGACAAAATCTTTATGGCCAGGGGAGTCGAGCAAAACAACATGATATTTCTTGGTGTCAAAATAAGCAACAGCAACTGTCATAGTTATTCCTCTTTCTCTTTCTTCAGGGCTTTCATCAAGTGCCCAAGCATAAGCAAATGATCCCTTGCCCTGATTAACAAAAAAAAAATAAAAAGGAGCAGAAATTGGCACAAGTTCAGAAAAAAATCAAGCATTAAAAGTACAAAAAAATGTCAACAATGAAAATACCTGTAACTTGGCCTCCTTTTCATATTTATGCATTTCTTTCTGGGAAATCCGTCCCAATAGGTGCAGCAACCTACCAGATAGGGTTGATTTTCCAGAATCAACATGGCCAACCTACAATGACAGTAAAAAAAATTAGACATTGATTCCTAGAACTATTTTTCTGGAGCAAAAAAAGAATGGGCCATTCACATACAATTGCAAGATTCAGCTGAGTTAATGTATCTTCAGCATGTTCAGGGAGCATCCATTTTTCTGGCTTATAAGAAATATGTGGACGAGGTTTCTTAGCATTAGTATTGTCTGAATTTCCAGATCTTACATCAACAGCCATGTTGTTGAAATTGCTGGAAATACTTTCAGATTTTCCATCTTTGATAGAAGAGAAACTATTGCTATCACTTTCCTTGACTTTTGACAGTACAGAAAAACCAACTGACTTCTCTTCACTTGATTGAATACCAATGGTACCATTTTTTGAAGAATTTGTTTTAATAATGTTTTCAACTTTGTCTTTTGGCATAGATCCTGGCAAGCTGTTTGATGTTTTACCACTTGTCTGCAGATCAGTTGCTGCTTTTTTTGAGAACTTGCCCTCAGCTAAACTATCCCGCTTGCTTTTTTGCATTAAGGATGATAAGTTATCCGAACATTCAGCATGTGAATGTGATTGTACAGAAGGTTCATTCTTCTCTCTAACGCTTGATGACAGCTGCGAACTTTTATTGTTCGTAACTTTGTCTGAAAGAATTACAGAAATAACATAGATTAATATTATGTACAAAAACCTAGAATGAGAAGATAACAAATATGGAAAAGCTGCGCACTATTCAGTTTTTCCTAGAAATATTTCTTCATTTTTTGGTAAAAGCTACAGTGATAAGATAATGACTGCTCAAAGAGAGAACGATTTTTGGATCTGAGAATGTTTTTATTTCTCAGCCCAAATATGAAATGAAAGAAAGTCATAAAAAACTGTATTATTTACTTCAAAAGACAAGTGGTGAGAGAATATGAACAGAAGAATTCTCAATTTATTTGACCTGATTCACAGATTAATAACATATTATATAGACTATGATAAAAGAAAATACAAACTAAATCAGCCCTAAATCAGGAAACAATCTATATGAATTCCTCCACCTAAATCCCTTTATTTCAGGGATTTCAATCTGATCCGAATATTTACAGCTTATTTACATTACAACAAGATCAGGAATATGTTTTCCATCCCAAGCTTGAATAATATTATGGAGGCTCAAACTGTTTACTCCCTCTGTTAAATTAACACCTAATTGATGTTCTGAAATCCGAATGCAATATAGGACATACACACCAACCCTTCATTTTTTCTTCAACAATATTGACGATTAACTCACAGTAAAGCTTTGTAGGACCTTCCAATTTAACTCTAAAAATATCTACAATAATTTTCAGCCAGAGCATTATACATAACCCTTGAGCAATATTGCCTTGAATTCTGGTTCTGTGCATAATCTTGGACAATATTTTGCTTGTTACTTCTCAATGTTACCATATTACTTCCAAGATACAATACCCCATAGAAGAAACATCACCATAGACATCAAACACAAGGGTATTATTATTCTTTCAGAACATAATTCCTTTCCCATTTGTCAGACTTGAAACAACCTCAAGGAAGTAGAAGAATTCTTTCCAAGAGGGATTCAAGGACACAACTTTGATAGGAAACACATTGAACAGATAAAGCCAAATCTATTCCCTCTGCTAATTTTGTGAGACTTGAGCTCAAATTTTTTTTAAGAATGTCAGAAACTTGGATTTTGAAATCGTTTCTAATAATGTTTCATTTTCTTAAAAACAGATTTTTTTCTTAAAAAGGTGTTTTCGAAAAATATTGAAGCGAACCACAAAGAAATGATATGCATGAGTTCTCAGTTTCAAAATAATGGTTACTAGCTCTGTCAATGATTAAACTCTTTTCCTTCAACTTTCTATGCACAAATTAAATTTGTTGAGGGAATGATACCTTTCAATCCCATTTTGGAAGAATGCAGGCCATTATGCACCATATCATCAGGGGATGGAACATTGAACTTGAAAGGATCTGTATACGAAGAAAAGCATGCTTTTATGACTATTATTTTAAAAAAAATGAAAAAGTAATTTGATCTTGTATGCAAGGAGTTGCAATTTACAAGATCTAAATCATGAAAACTTATTATAAAACTCTGAACTTCAACTGATAAGATTTTTCTGCCCTAATTATTATTGCATTACATTTAAATGTCAAATTTAAAAAAAAAAAAAAAAAAAAAAAAAAAAAACTGTTTTTCTTGTCAAATGCATATCCTGAATTAAAACTTGTTAACACCTATTTTTAAGTGAGGATGGCTCTGATTACTAAAATCCTTATGAATATCATGAAATTCTCCTCGGACATTCTCAAGCTTGTAGAAGATACGGCCATCTGGCGGAAAACCATCACCCGGCTTTTGAAATAATACAACCTTTTTGGGAATCTGATGCGGAAATGATCGAAAAAGAGACCTGGCCAACTTGGATGCTCCAGGATTTTTGCTTATGTTTTCAACTGCACCAAAGACATTTTTCAATAGGTTATAGGCATGTCTATCTTGTTCATTGTTTTAAGTAGGGGTGTCAAAAAATGCTTAACTCAAAGGGCCGGCCTAAAAGGCCCAAAAAATATATTAGGCTAGGCCATAAAATTTGTGACTTAAATTAATTCAGACCTATTTTGACCTTATTTAGGCCATGACCTACATGGACTTATTTAGGTCATGACCTGTAGGCTTATGGGCGGACCCGTTTTATAAAATAATAATTATTTTTTAAATAAAAATAAAAGTAATATTATTTTATTAAAAAATATATATGTATTATAAACTAATTTAAGGGATTCACTTATTCTAAAAGTAAATATCATAATAAATCTATAACTATCACTTATTCCAAGATCTATTGATTAAGTTAATTACTATTTTAAGTTAATAAATTACTAAAAAATAAATAATGATAATGAAGAGTAAGCTTTTAATTCTTATTTTGAGATTGAACGAATGTATTCTCTTATAATTTATTAATTAAATTATTACATTTTAAATAAAAACTAATTTATTGATAAAATTTAAATTTTAAAAATATATTTTATTTTTATTTAAATATTTTTTTAATTAAATGATTTGGTATAAATATATTAATATTTTTGTTTAAAATTTCAATCAGGTCAAAATTGGTCCATTAGTCCATTGGCCTAATATAAGATCAGACTAGATTAAAAATTTTGGCCCATTTTAAAATATAGATGTGGACCATCAATTTTTTTTACTTGGCCCATAAGAAAATGTTAGGCTAGGCCGCTCGTTTTGACAACTCTAGTTTTAAGCCAAACACTATGCAGCCAAATACATGTTCTCATATTGTTTGACTCTCCTCCCTCCCTTTTCTTCTTTATTGGATATGCAAAACGATTAAAGTCATTAGTTTCCTTGTATTTGTTCTGGTTTTGCAACATTCACAACCACCTTCTGACACACATTCACTTAGTTTTAGGTAGATTTTCTTCTTTAGGCCTTGTTTGAAAATTTAGATCTTTGTTATTCTTATTTAAATTTGATAGCCCCTCGTTCAGTTTAATTAAGCTTTTATCTGGATGATGCAAAATGATCAGTTTTCAGGAACAGAGTTGAATTAATTTTTCAGGAACATTCCCTCTAAGTTGTTAAAACCAACCAATAACTAATACATGAGCCAATATCAATTGCTTATCAATTTAGATGAATTATTTTAGCTTGACAGTCATATTTTTCTCTTGTCGAGAAACCTATGGTACAGTATTAGAAGTGGACTGGGTCTAGTTCACTCTCAAAAACTAGCTCAGAAAAAAAGGATGACCCAAGTATTTATAAGGAGCATTTTAGCCATATTCCTATTCATGTAGGATATCTTAATACACATCCCTCACACATAGGACAAGATATTTAGAGTTAGATTTGCAGGACTAAACATTTTCAAATGGTCCAACATTATGGTGAGGAACTTGGGGTAATATGGAGTGTCTAAGTCTCACATCAAATAGAATGGGATGCTCAATTAAGTTTAACAATGTTTCATTCTCCCCCCTCAATAGCTAGCTTTTGAATGTGGCTCCTTAAATACATGGTGTTTATCAATCAGTATTAGAACTTGTTGGCAACGTTGAGAGATAAGTGGCACTATGTTAGGGACTTGGGTATTATGGGATGCTTAAGCTTGGCATCGAGGATGCTGCTTAGTGGAGTATTTAAGTGTTTAATTCTCCTTCCTCAATAGCTAGCTTTTGAGGGTGAGACCCCAGGTACTTATTAAGGTTGAGAGAGAATGAGAAAGAGATGTAGCTTGTCAATAGAATTTGTAACCCAAAGAGAAACTGAATACAATCTAGTATATAAAGCTAACTAATATGTCACAAATCTAACAGGAGATTGTAGAGCTCTAACTAACCTATAACAAACCTAACTATAGTTAATTTGGAGGTTAGAAGAGACATATGTACTACTACAGAGACAATTTTATCTACACTACTATTGTACAGAAAAAAGAACACTATATTTTTGCTGAGTAACTATACTCTAACAGTACTTGGGTGCCTATCATAGGCTCTCTTATACCACATTCAAAATCTATTAGTCTTAACCTATTTTTTTTAAACAGGTCAAGACACTGATGAAAGGTTCAATGATTCAACCAAAGTCAAATCGGTGTTAATAAAAATATTTGACAATTGAAAATACACAAATAATATAAAAAAATATAATATCATAACTTTATGATGCTAGAAACTAAAATAAAACAGGCTATATAAGTTCTCATCTAAAATACACATAAATAATAAAATTTTAAATAAAATGTAAATTTAAATTTCAATAATATGCATCCAGTATCACATTCATTGTTGGTTTTGTTCTCCACTCATAGTAATACGCAATGCATTTAATAAGATGTGTATACCTAGGTGAAATTCTAAATATGATTGAAAAACAGAACCAACAATACCTATTTAAAAATAATAATAATCCTAATAGTAGTAAGTTTATATGTACAATAAGAAAATGACAAACAAATATTTTATATTTATTTTTAATTTTTAAGAAAAATAAGTTAAAATTGTAATTTACTAAAACTTTTTTGTTGACCAGGTTTTTACCGGTTTTTTTACCTAGTCCACAAATAGAAAGAGACAGAGATTAATTTTAGACCCTGTAAAAGTGATGTCCTTGTCATACAAAAAATCAAAGTAAAAACCCCAGCAATAAATTAAATTATCCTTCATTAACTGGATTACCTATTTTGCTACTGTTGGTAGTTCCAATGCTAGGCAAGGGCCGACGTACAACACCACAAATATCACACGATGTCATACTCTCCTCATTGTCATAAGTGCAGATGGAGCATTGCCAAATCCCTGGCCTAATGTTCTCTTGCTTTGTATCAGGTCCTCCTGTTACAGCAGAAAAATTTAGGAGGTATATATACAATAATAAGTAAAAGAATACACTTAGCAAATAACAACATTCCGCAAATACTAATGTAGAAAAAAATACTTGTTTAATCCATATCATTTGTCAGTTTTTGGTTATACAGAAGTTGCTTAAAATTATTGTCAACAAAAGTATTCAGGATAAAAGTATATTCAAGAGCATCAATTACCAGTCAATACTTGATAAAATCCATAGTGTTTATTTGTTTAGGGTTTTAATAGAAGGGGTTTTCAGGATGTATATAAAAAATTATTTATTTTTTACAAATTTTAGTAAAACAAAACCTATTTTTTGTTTAGTTAGAATTTAAGAAGTACATTTTATTTTAACAGGGCAGCTATAATTACAGTTTTTTTCTGAAGTTACTAAAAGTAATTAAAAGATATAATTTTTCATATTCTGATTTCTTTAGAAATGCATATCAGATGCTTAAACAAACACACAAAATTTTTAAAAGAGATTTTTTGTTTTAAATAAAGGTATTTTCCATGAGGAAAAAAATAAAATCTAACAAACTCATAAACTTTAAGATAAAAAGATTATGCATTTGAGATAAATTTAACAGACTCATAATCTTTAATAAAAAAAAGCTATGCCTTTGAGACAAAGTCCTTAATGGCAGGCCTCAGGCACAAAACGGCCATCTCCAAAAATGCTATAGCAGATTGCAGTGCAACCGCTGCACTGAAGATATCAGGTGACAGTGACAAGATTCTAGACATCAGCTAAACACACGTACCTAATAATCCTAGTAGTTTTAAATTTAATTATGAACAATACATAACCAGTCAGTGAAAACACTTAATAGCAATAACAAAAAGTCTAACAAACACAGGTTCAAATCAGATAACTGGATGGGAACATGGTGCAGAGCTAAACAGAAAACAGTGTGAGACAAAGGCTTGAGGTGTGCAAAATATAACACCAAACCAGCTAAAATACAAGTGAGACAAAGCATGGGAGTGGGGCAGAACAGAATCACTGCAAAATAGAGGCTGGGTGGAGCAAAAATGGTAGAATGACAGGCTGGTTGAGTGTGAAACAGATAATGGGCTCAGTCATGGGTGTGAGTGAAGCATTGGTTGTATTGTACAATTAAAGAGCAAACCCTAAACTTCTAGATGTCCTAATTTGTAGATGCTACATGGGTTCCAAGTGAACACCAGCTGGGATTAAGTGAGTTGGTTTATGGAATTTCTTGAATTCGTTGTCCCAAAAAATTAGTTTTAATCTTTTCACAGATAGAGTATTGAGAACCCTGCTTTTTGAAAGTAATGACACTATGATGCTTAACTATTTCTTTTTCTCACTGTAAGCCAACAACCAACTTAACTCCTTTTCAACCACTACTAAATTTTTAATTTGATAATAATGACTAATTGAACGTGTATTGATCAATTTCCAATGCAATATAATATATGTTTTTCATCTCATCTATAGTTTATTGCATTGCAATCGATATCCCATCATTCGCATTTCTATCCATCATCTCATCCCCAAAACCCAATTGACAAAAACCTTTTATCTCTACTGCAGAATACACGGATGAACTACGTAATTAGCCGAACAGAACACTGACACAAACCAGTTCTTCAACGGACTGAACCTTCCAAGCCAAAGACACTAATTCTCCTACACACGGCCTAGTTTTCTTAAATATGGCAACTTGCCTAATTTCTTCAACCAACTAATTGAACTAACTAACTAACAAAACTACAAATAGAAACCTAACATCAATCAAACAATGCCTTGTTACAGTACCCAACAAAAGTTACAGAGCGAACATGTAACTGAGCTGGAGAGGAAACCTAACTTTAAAAGGATAAACAAAAGCCCATTTAATAAAAAGCAAAACAACAACAACCACAAACCAAGCCTAGCAAGCGACTGAGAATACATTATCAATTAATAACTACAATCAACAAACTCGCAAGAACTTGAAGTGCCCTCAGTAAACCAAACTAATAATACCCATGAAAGAAATCACATAACTTAAGCAAATCTTCAAGCATCATAATGGGCAAGAGAAAAAAAAAAGTTGAAAACAAACTAACCATGGTCTTTTGCATCGACATCATCATAATCATAGTCGTCATAATCATCATCATAGTAATCGTCGTCGTCGTAATTGAGTCCGTAATTGACTTTACGAGGCATGGTGGGATTGTGCACGAAAACGGTGCAGCGGATCAATTAGAAAGTCAGCGAAACAGGAAAATGAAACTAAGCTCGATTCAATTTGAGCGTGTCCTTCGCAGAACAGGTTTGGCAGTAGAAGGCAACAGTTCCTGAGACTCAATAGACACGAACGGGAGACCCTGTGTAAAGCTCTAAGACAGCACCTTGTGGAGCATGAAGAGGAAGAAAACTGCAAAAGTTATGCGCATAAAACGAGAGTGTGAGCTGAATTGAGTGGAAGAATGTGGATGAATGAATTCCATAGAGAAACGAATTGAAATTCAGAAACCCTACCTCAGGATTGGGAAGAGAAAGAGGATGGAGTGAAAAACTGAATGGCCGTGGATCGAAGCAAGCGCAAGGGATCGATTGGGTTCGCAATGTGGATGATCACCTGCCTCTATCTCTCCATCTTCTTTCTTTTTGGACTTTTCACTTTTCCGTGTTATTATTGTTAAATAGGGTTGGTTTGATGATTATACAAGATAATAGATACCATAATTATTTAAAAAAAAAAAAGATATGAATGGATAATTGTTTTATCTTATTATAATATCTTTTTTAGTGTATGAATATTACAGTATATTGGTGAAAAATATCTCTTCGTGTCCAGTTATTTTATTTAAGTGACTTAAAATTATATACTTATATTACATTTAAAATAAAAATAGTTAATATATATATAATATGTAAAGAATAAAATAAAAATTTATGTAAAAAAAACATATATAATGTTCAAGTGTCATCTGTTAAAATTTTAATTAGAAAATATTTACTTAAAATTTATTAAAGTGTGAATATCATTTTGTTAACACAGGAAAGTAAGTAACATTATTATTAGGTATAATATCACAGAGGTAAATGTAATATTTAAAATTAATTATTTACCAAATTATTTTTATAGATATTTGAAATTAATAAATAAAGTTTTTTTATGCATTTTCTTATATTATTTACCATTTTAGTATATTATTAATATTATTTCATGATAAGTAGATAGGACAAATTATTTTTATAAATATTAATTATTTTATTAATTTTAAACATAATTAATGAATGTTGTTATCTATTTTATCATATTTACCGAATTAATATTTTAATAATATTATCTTATTGGCTAATTCAATATTTTACCAATTGATTTTGGATATGATAATAAAATATTTTTATGTATTATTTTTTCTTTATTACCAGTTTCATATTTTATATCAGTATTTTTATTCACTATAAATGTAATACATATATTTTTTATTTTATTGACCAATTTATTCAGCTTAGTAATGTTATCTTATTCAATCTGAATATAATGAAAAGATCTTGTCATCTATTTAACTTACTTATCAATTTAATTTTATTAATATTATCTTTGACTGTTAAAATAATAAGTCATTATTTATAGGTATTTTTTATATTATTTATTGATTTAAATTTTTATGAATATTAATTTATTGACTCTAACTATCGGTAGTTTGGGTTATGGTCAATTTAATATTTTTACCAAATTTATTTTATGGAATCAGAATATTAATAATTTTTTGAACTTTTTTATTTTATTTAATATTTTATCAATATTGTATAATTGATTATGAAAATGATATATAATTTTTTATGTATTTTTTATTTTATTTACCAATTTCAATTTTTTTAATGATCTGAATATAATTAATAAATATTGTTATCTATTTTTATCTAATTTACCAATTTAATATTTATCATTTGGGTGTTCTCTGGATTTGATAATTTATTTATTTATTTATTTTTGCTATGGTATTTTATAAAAAATATTTTATTGACCCTATGTATAATAAACATATATTGCTTTGTATTTTATTTTAATTTTAGATTTAAATTTTTACCAATAATGTTATGTATATTATTTTACTTTTTTTATCCTATTTCTCATTTTAATTTTTTATTAATGTTATTTTTTATTATATTTGCAGGTATTTAATATTCTAAATATTTTTTAAAATAATTTAAGCATTCGAGGAAGAAAATGAATTTTCAAATGATAATAGTTTAGATTAATTGTTATAGGAAATTATTATTATTATTTTTCAAAGAATAAAAAGGTTAAAAATAATATAATAATGGAGATGCAAAGAGAACTGAATAGAAAAAAAAATACAAAGAATATTATTAAAGAGCAAGTAACGTTTTTATTCTTCAAATTTGTTTTATAATTCTCAAAGTGAAATATGTGATTTTAGTTTATTTACTTAAATTTAATATCTAATAATAATTTTTTTATTTTAATAAAAGTGATAAAATTATAAAATATAATTTTAATTAGTGTTTATATTTAAAATTAAATTTAATATTTTAAATGTTGTTTTGATGCAATAAAAATGATTAAATAATTAATTCATATATTTTAAAAAAATTGAAGACTAATATAAATTTTTAAAATATATGAAAACTAAAACAAGTTTGATGAATAATATATGTTTTTTTAATGAAAGAGATATACAGTGAAGAAAATAAACGGATATTTCGAACGTTAAGTTATTTAAAACAGTTAAATTATTTTATATTATAAAAAATTGTTAAAAATAATTCTTTTGTAAATATGGTTATCGCCCTTGTTATTTTAATAATAATATTTTTATTTAATAAAAGACATAATAATTTTATTAAAAATTACACTAAATTATAATTCTATATCATTTTTTTATTATTTGCCATATGAAAGTCAGGTTTGATTTTAAAAATTATCGAGGGATTATTTTAATTAAAATGGATGATTAAGTAATTATTAATTTATTTTTATTAGAATAAATATTTATTTTTATAATTAAAATAAAATAGTCATGAATGAAGTGAAGCTATTTAAGTAATTTTTATTTTTCTTAAATTTTTTTTTATAAAACATAAAATAGTAGGTAGGAAATCAAATAGT